AAACTTGTAAACTTTACCTTCCGACCGACCCTGCTCTGCCCGAACCGGATCCTCCGGTGCGGCATCCACGTCAGCCGGACTTGCTTCCCGCAACGTCTGGAACAAAAATTTAACGTTCTTGGTTGGTAAGCTGCAGTAGAGAAAGAATGTTTGGTTGGGATGAGCGGAGAATATTCACTACGATTTTTTTCTTCATTGACATTGAATATCTAGATAGGAGCTCTTGAAAGAGCTGACGAAAAAAAATGACAACAAGAAGCGGAGACAACAGTTATGTGCTCTCGAAAATACTCTTTTACGAATGGACATTTAAATTTAAATCCCGTAACGAGAGTAAAGACTTGAAAGAAGCGCTGACCGAAAACAAAAAAGGTCGCAGTCTAATAAGCGGTATGATGTTGAATATTCTACACAAGACCAGTATACTCACATGGTTGAGAATTATTCAGAATATTTGATTGAGAACATGATGAATTAGAGATCCGCGTTCATGGACCGTTATCCGTCTCTGTCTGGATCAATATCTCTTGTATACAATAACGCAATAAATAATTAGACAGACAGAGATTGACGAGAGTAATTGCAGATTCATAAAGTGTCTATGATTACTAGTCGGATGATGACGGATCGTAAATGCCGAGCGCTAAATTCCGACTTCTTATTCCCGGAAAATTCGTCAAACGTCCGCTCTCGTTATCGGAGACCTCCCGCATAATAAATTATTCCACATACCTGGAAACGTGACGTATTGCTGCCGGCGTCCTGCTTTCCGGCTGCTGGAGTCCTCCGGATTTCACTCGCTCACTAATGTCGATACTCGCGATTCGACCGTGTGGTTAATCAACGCAATGCCGACGCGATGCTGATTGAGTATCTCAAGGACCGACGAGATATATTTCTTTCAATTATACGAGACGGAAGTGACGAGCGCGTCGCGCACGGCTGCTGTTGATGGAATGAGGTCGAATACACGAGGTGCGCGAGTATTATAATACGAAGGGCAAAAAGTGTCGTCGCTCGCGAGCCGATCAACACAATCGGCGCGATGTAAATATTGCGGGCCTCGGCGGCGGTTGAAGCAGGAGAAACTTGCCCTTGGGCGTCTCTTCTTGTCTCGAAGGTTCCAAAACGATGAAGGGAATGCTAAGAGGCCTGTCAACTGTATGCGATATTGATGCACTCTATTTATTGATTACTGAAAATAAAGAAAATTACTCTGTCGAAGCATCGGACATTTGTTAGCTTTATGATAATTAAAGAGGAATGTGTACGATTAGAAAATGTGTTAGCAACTAATTGTACAGAGTGTTGAAGTTGTGACGCCGTTTTCGGAGAATAATTAAAGGTAGCATGGTAGCGTTAAAGAGAATTTCATCCTATGCGAATTTTGTCTCGTTCTTATTAAATGTTAGTCCTGTATAAAATGTCGTATTTAAAAGTATTGTTTCGCATTCACGAGATTTTGTCGTGAATTCTGCTTTGCGGGAATCTCAGATTGGATCGCGGGCCAACACTTTTCAATGCGACGGGGAATAGAACGTGAAAATCTTGTATGCCTCTGAATCCGAAAACAATTAGGAGTAGTGAATACTTTTCAATACGAAAGTTCGCATTTGAAAATTATCGATTACGATTGAAGGCATATTTGAAATGAATTGAATCCTTTTTGATGCGAAACATTCACCATTGCCATCTCGCATTTAGCGCAGTGAAATTTAATGAGAACTAATACTTTTTAGTCCCTTTCTTCGGATCAGAAAGCAGAATTCAGATGTCAATATTCAAAATGTCAATACTTTTTAATATGTTTCAGTTCGACATTTTATACAGGGAGATTATCCGCTGCGGACAATAACTCTTCTACTTTTCATCTAATATTCAGTGATGATAAATAACATTTAATTGCATTCGTTTGGCTTTTTTTATTTCGAAAATAAAAAAATATATACCAGGGTGAGATTTCACCCATGACAACATCAACGTGATGTTCTTTGATGTCTTTTTTAAAAGTTCAAATATTTCGTCGACTTGCGAGATATTTATAATCGGAGTCTCGTAGCGTTAATTAACACGTGCTCCTCCGAGCGGATCGAATGCTCACCGACGGCCACTGTCAGTGCCACGAGCGAATGTCTGGAGCGGACGGGATGCTGAATTGAGAAGCAGGACGAAGGGAACGGGATGCGGGCATTATGCGATACATCATGCGTCTCCAGACATGTCAAATCGTTTATTATAAAGGAGACTTTGATACGGCAACATGTATTCGAAGATTTAACATTTAATACGTACTTTTATTTTTCTGCTCCTCCCCCTCCCCTGCCCCCGCTCTTTTTAGACCTCCGGGCATAGTCTGGTATAGAGATGGCAACTATGGTTGCAGCACGGACATAAACTGCCTGTAATAAACTGAAAATGGATGTAGCACGGACTTCCACCACATGCAGATTTTACCACCGAGACCTGAAAGTGGATATAGCATCATAGTTCCCCTCTCAAAATGGATGCAGATGGCGTCCTTTCCCAGTGCGGAAAGTCGGTGTCGCAGGAAATGTCGTGTTGGCCGCTTTCAGGTTTCTCTCTGACTGGCAGTGTATTTCGGAACGCAGCCTGACGTCGCAGCTTGCGCATGCGCATGGAAGCTTCCGCGTGAGAGAAACGGTCTGTTCTTTGTAGCTGCATTGCTGAACTGGTGCAATAAGCTAGAATGAAAAAGCCTATATTTGTCTCACTTTAACTTATTACACCAGTTCAACAGTGCAGCTACAAAGAACAGACCAAATATCTTGCTAAAGCACATCACTGCCGGTTGCGGACAATCAAGCTGTAAGTTGTGTCTGACGAGACGTCTGTTATATCCGACGAAATCAAAAGAAATCTTGAATTTCAAATTAAAAAAATGGTCTAAAAGAAGGTAAATTTACAAATTTATTATATATAAATAATAGTTTCGGCAAGTAGCATTATTAGTAGGAAATATCTACGTTCAAAATGTAAGCGTGTTATGTCGGTATATAACCAGAAAATATGTTTTTATTGAACAACCAGTTAAATCAATAATTCCCTGCGATAATTATTAAAATCAATGTTATAGCATGTAATTACAAATATTATTTAACACAATTTAATTCGGTAATATATAATATTTGAAATCTTATGATTTAGTTGCATCATGTTACAATTAATCTTTAATTGTAATGCGAAAACGATTCCTTAAACTTAATAAGAATATTTTTTTAAGGAATATATATATAATTTTTATATTGTATTATACTCTTCCACTGAATAAAAATGAATCTGTAAATCTCTGCAAATTATTAATCTCTCTGTTTATTAATGAAAAGTAATGAGTATAATATATACATTTATATATCAAACTTAAACTCAGTTTGCAATCATTAATAAAATTAATCATGTATTTGCAATTAAGTTAATGTTGTTTGCTTTTGTTTTCATCAGAAAGATATTGATAAAGGATAGTTGATTGTACTCTTTTTTTTTTTTTTACTTAATGTATATAGCCAAAGAAGATGGGAAAGAAAGTAGCTGCTGCACTTTTGGTAGTAAAGAAGATTGAGCCAAAAAAGATGATCAACCTACTTTTTGAAAAGAGGAGTAGAAATTTTGGAATTGGTAAGTCAAACTAATTTGGTACATTTGTAATTTAAAATAAAAAAAGAATATAATGCAAAATAGCCACATGTACTTAAAAAGATGTTTCAATATAGATAATATCCAACAGAAACGAGATTTAAGTAGATTTGTGAAATTTGCTAAATACATAAAAATATAAAGGCAAAAGACCATTTTAAAAAAACGGTAAAGGTCCCACCACTGATAAATGAATTTTCACAAATTATAAAAAGTAAATAAATAGGTAATGTTTACAAATATATGTCTAAATATCTTTTTATAATACTTTTTGATATCTCACATAGAGAATAATGTGATATGGCATTGTTTTTGTGTCATTATAGCTACATAGCTATTCAAAGTATTGGAAAAATATAGACTGAAAACTGCAATCATGAAGAAGACTAGGCTGAAAGCAAGAGCTGAACAAAAGGTTACGAAAAAAGGGGATACATCGATGAAAAGACCAAATGTTATTTGTAGTGGAACCAATACAGTGACCATACTGGTGGAGCAAAAGAAAGCTCAATTGGTTGTCATTGCGCATGATGTTGATCCTATTGGAGGTTAGATTTAATTTCTTATATATGATGTATAATGCAAACTTTTTATATTATTTAACTATGATGACTGAATTTCTTCACCTGAGGACAAAAAGACATTATTTTTGTTCATACGATGACACATGACACTGAGTAATATTATATTTTCATGTTGATGTATTTTTGCAAATAGTATTCGCAATAATATAATATTGCATGTTATGCTTCTTTATCTATAGATTATATTATTCCTCCCTGCTTTGTGTCATAAAATGGATGTCCCATATTGCATCATTAAACGCAAAGCACGCTTGGGACGTTTGATGTGACATAAGACTTGCACAGCAATTGCCCTTACTTAGGTATGCAAAATTCGGTATGCAATACTAGTATGCTATGCAGACTAGTTATGAACATAACTCGATTCTTATTATTTATATTTTATTCATACATGTATCAATCTACATGACGAATACAATAAGAGCCAATCCAATGACAACATCGTGATATATGAAAAAATATTCTCTAACATAAATTTTCATGATCTTGATTTCTCTACTAATACTTTGATTTTACTGATATGTCATTGTTTATTTCAGGTGGATTCTGGTGATAGGGCCAACTTTGCAAAGAGTGTAGAAGCTATAAAGACGAACTTTAATGACCGATATGATGAAATCAGACATCATTGGGGCGATGGTATACTGGGGAAGTAAATCTGCAGCAAGGATAGCCAAATTGGAAAAAGCTAAGGCTAAGGAACTCGCTCAGAAGCAAGGTTAATATCATTTGTATCTTCTGCAGATTATCAAATAATAAAGGATAAAACATTTATATCTATATTTATTCGACAGCATCCCAATATTCACACATTCTTCCATTCTATATAGTATATAAAGAGTTTATATTAATCTAAAATAAAATAAGAAAAATCCCGTTCTCTTTTGCTTTAAATATATACAGTTGTAATGAATATTCTAATTTCATATTTTCAAATCTTCTTAATAAGTTTTTCTAGCCTCTTAATACTACCAACTTCGTGTTCGGGGCTGTCGTGTGTCGTATGACTCTTGGCAGCATACGCGGCATCCGCATTTTCAAGTTGCTTGAATTGCTCAAGCAATGGAACTTGTTCGGTCTTTTTTAATCCCTATAAAATACATATAAATTCTCTGTATTGAATATTTATTCACTTGAATATACAAACAATTGTAGTATTATATATAAGAAAAGTTACCTTCATGTCCAAGATTTTTTGGAACTCTGAGAACGGCAGGTCAGGCAATCGCATTCTACACTGTTTTACATAGTCACTTGGAGATTCGATTGGAGACATCACAATTTTTAATATCATTTCAGCTTTTGCCATTCCTTTGATGACAACCTACATAATAAAGGAGATGAAAAAAAGTATTAAATCAATATTTAACGTTCATCTAACTTTGTAGATTACTCAATTACCTTTGCATACGCTAGCGGAGCTTTCCTTTGTACTTGATAACCCGTCGATGGAAGATCCAGCAAAGCTGTTTTTAACATATGAACATCTAACAACAATTGTTCGGCGCCGACAGTGTTCAATGGTTTGCACTTAAACAACTGTTGTACTAATTTTGGTATAAAAGAGCTGAAATAAGTGTAGAATATAGGTTGAAACTTTGAAAAAATTTTACGCATTTTTACGCCGCGTATGTGCAGTAAACATTTTACCTCGCAAATTTAACGCAAAGCTGCGTGAAATATTTTCTACAAGAAGACAGCCTATCTCGTATAGTGGGTATTGTCTGTCGAAGATGCGCGATTATAGTATTAACGTAATTACTTTGATCACCTACAACTTCCACTGAACTCCATTGTACCTATAAAAAAATATATTTTTGTCGTATGATATTACTAGATAGTTTTCATAACACATATACATGTAATATGTTATTATATTGTTTTTTTTAAACAATGCAATATGGCATTTTAAATATTTTATAGCATCGCTATTATATGTAACTGCCAATTGCAGGTCTTTTCTGTATAATTTACCTTGGTCATTACAGTTAAAGCAGAATCGCAAGCAGTTTCTAGATCTTGAACTAACGACTGAATACAATTCTTAATCACACTGAAAATAATTGTCAGGAATAAATAAGCGTAAACTGTCGAATGATTAATAATATTACATATGTAGGAATTAATAATAAAAAAATGTACTCATTAAAGATATCCTGTTCCTGAGACAAGTTAATTTTTCCAGAATAACATTTATCTGTCTTCTCGCGCAGCTTCTCCTCCAATTGCTGTGTCGTTTCTAAACAATACTCCGCTGTCGTTAAGATGCTGAAAATGATATATTTCTATAATTATTTCCTTTAAAAAAGAAAATAGGACATAATAGGAAAATAGGAAATAATTATATAGATAAATAATTACCAGCATATCCGAGATTGTTCCTCTTTGTTGAGTCTGGCAGTTTCTCCCTCTTTCAAAAAGCTCTGGAAATTTTGGATAAAACCTGACGTTGACAGATCACGAAAGTCACGTGTGATGTTGCTCATACTCGTGCCGATTCCTACACTACCTGCGATTCTATATAACAATATTGTTGAATACGAGTAATTCTGAGATTGTCCTGATCTATGCAATTCTTACACTCACTTGGGTAAATTGTTCTGCAGGATCTTATGTGCATATTCTCGCAAATACTTTTGAAAAGTCTCAGCGAGACTTAACATAATAATACCGGTGCTCAGTTGTGTGCACTGCAGCATGCATTTCTTGTAAAACACGAACAAATCGGCGCATGAACTCAAAACACTGCTAGGGCCTTCGATACCGTCAAATTCTTTAGCGCCCGGAGGTTGTGTTTTAGCATCAGACACAAATTTGTCCATGAGATCCGCCAAATTGCGATCCAAACTCTCTATATAAATATTCAAGTATGACTCGAAACATCTTCCAATAAGATTTGCGAACGGGGACGGCTTTGGCTTTTCAACTTCAGCCTAAATGAAAATGAAAAAGCGATATGTATTCTAAAATATCGATTTATCGATAAAAATGTAATTACATAACAATGATACATTAAAAATAACTTTGATACCTGTTCATTTTCTTCAAAAGGATTTCCTGGTACTTGCTCGGCTAAGTCGTTACTGACTGTTGCACTCTTGGCATCGGTAGACTCCAAAGTACTACCGACGAAACGTTTTGCCAAGAGTGACTCAAAGTTACTGGTCCTCTGAATTGCGTAAAGCAATAATTTAACATCTATTTCACCACGTCTTTTGTTCATCAGTTTAGCAAGATCCTCGCGTGTAACGTGGCAAAATTGTATCGCTATTCGTTCGGAGACTTCCCAATCTTGGGGAAAAATAGTGCCGAACTTTGACTCGAAATCGAGTAAATGTTTCTTTATCCACGCGTATCTTCGATCTATCTTGTCCAGCCATGCAAAGTCTTGATTTTCATCGAATAGATGCGCGTATTCTTGCAATTGAATGTTTACAAACCAGACAAGCAGGTCTTTCCTGCGAAAGAGGGAAAAAGTGAATCTCTCACTGCTTTGATGTCGTTGACATTAATAATGTAAGTGAATATAAATTTTCGATATACATACTTCACTTTAGGATCTAATACTGATAACACTAGGCATCCTTCTGTTAATTGATTAAAGTGCTTTGGATTTTGGCCTGAAAAGGCCTGCTTGAAATCTGCTGTAATCTGTTGGGCCAACTCCACATGAATTTGACGTACCTTTCATTAGAAAAAGTTAACATTTTAAAAGGATTAATTCTGCAAATTACCAAGGAGATGTAGCTTATACCCTTACTTGGTCAGATAACATCTTCACTTGTGGTATATCCATGTAATTATGAAAATGTTGCATTACTTCCATCACTGCTTGCAATGGTAAAATAATTTCACCATATTGTTTCTTTTGTGTCAATACTCTGGAGTATAATCAAGAGAAAACATGATTAATATTCATATAATTTTTAAAATAATGTCTGAGTATGTGGTATATTTATATGTGATATATTTATATAATACACACTTCAAAGTATCTACTCCTTCCACAAGCATGTGCAAATGATTCAGAGCTGTAATCGAAGCTGTGAGATTTCTCTTAGCGAAATCTAATTGCTTAATATCCCTTGTAATTTCTTTCACCACTTCTTCGGACTGTTCAGCCTTATCTTTTATATCTTTTATATGGTCAAATAACTTCCTTATCACCTTTTGTGCATCTTCCAATGCTGCTCTACCATCCTGTCCTACATTTGTTTGACCACGTACCACCGACCGTATCTCTTTATCAATAGTATGTATTTCAAACTCCATTTTATTCACTACATCGTCAATGTTTGACAAAGACTGTTCGGTGGGAAATAAAGAGTTTATATAGTCCACCACATTGAAATTCGACTGATCCAACGGGTCGTTACTAGGTAAAACCTGTGTGATATGAAAAATAACATCACAATTGTGAAATTCATATAACAAATATTCAATATTTATAATCTAAAGACATGTTTTACAATCTTAATAACTGTCCTTGATGAATCGCACATTTGTGAGCGTGAATGATATTGGTGCTCAAAGAAAGACAGGCATGGAGAGAAATACTTTTATTGAAAGAATCATACATCGTACAGAGGAACTTTTGCAGGAAGCTCAAACGAGAGAATTTTATCTGCCACGTGCTCGTCCGATATCTCGCGAAGGAGAAACAAATGTCTCGAAATGTCGAAATGACAGAAGGGACATTGTGCGACCGTAATTACAGGAAGGCGACGAATTTGACAATAGATTCACGAGGAACCTAACCTGCTCGATCACATTTTGCACGTTCTGTGGGAATGTATAAACCGTAGAGCGCAGCTCTTCTAAATTGTCCTCTTCATGGCTTTCCATTATGTTACCAGTGAACACGAACTCGTAATTTCACACGAGCATCGCGTTACAACACTCGATCCATGCGTGCGGATTGTGACAAGGTGAGGACGAGGCAGCTGACATGTTTAGTGACGTTTGCACGAGCGCAACGCGGCGCGCGCGCGCTTATCCAATGCGAGTAATAGGCGTTGCGTAGACACGGCGACGGCGAGACCGATCGATTACGCTACATAACATACATTTTATGGAAGTTCTGACAGTAACTGATTCGCATTATCTTTCGTACGTGGCCTCCGAGACTGATCCCGAAAGTTGCTCATACGTCACGTCGGGGTTTTTTACCATTTTCTCGACCCGATTCCGGGCGGTTTAAAGAGTTCTCGTCCCGTCAGTTGTTTATCACTTGATATACCGTAACTATGTATCTTTTTATGTATAAAAATAATTTTATTGCGTGCACATTTATATGAGACATTTAGTACGACACGACATAGGTCAGGCTAGTGAGAAAAAGAAAAATAAAGTCACATTTCTCGCAGCTTTTATTAAAGTCTATCAGTGGAACAACGGCTGAGGTCACCTTCTCGAATGCTTAATAGACTGAAAATTAAGAAAGAAACAATAAAATGACTGAATCGATAATTAAAACAAGATTAATAGGAGACTTCTTACCGAACTCTACACTTCTCTACTCTTCATAATGACAACCTCGAAATCTTTTGTTATTTTAAGACGTTCATCTCTCTCTTTCTGACGAAGCATAGATGATGATCATGTGTGATATGTAAAATTATTAATTTAATCCTATATGAAAATTAACTGTTCTCGATTATCAGTTATCACACGCAAATTCAATTCTATGATAATTAAAGCAAACAAGTAGCAGCAGAAACGGCGAAATCCATCGACCTTGAAAAACAATGTCGAATCTCGTGGCCAAATGGCAAAAAAGTCGTAATTTCACCGAATCCTCGACAATGATTTTTCGTCCGGCGCGAGTCGACGCGAAGAAGAATCGACAAACGGCCGTCTTATCGCGTAAAACCATCGTATTTTCGTCCAATTTGGTCGAGAAGCTCGCGCGTGGCGAGCGCTCGCTCCGGCTTCGTCGTCATCATCCCTTAATAAATCGCGAAAGGCGGCCGCGAGAGTTCCACCTGAAGTACGCGTCGCGGCGCCCAGCGCCGCGTCGTCGCGCGTCGCGTCGCTCCGCGTCGGTGGGGGTCAGGTCGGTCGAACGGGGAACGGTCGAACGATCGAAAGGCCCTGCTCTCTCTCCTCGAGCTCAGTTGTAGCGCCGACATGGCACATGAAGTCGCGTCGTAGTTTAAAGGCACACTCTGTACAAACTAGACACGCACGCTCTTTTTTTTCTCTTCCTACGTATCTCCGTCTCGTCTCGTCTTGTCTTGTCTCGCCTCGTTCCGACCTGCCTCGCCTTGCCTCGCCCCGCCTCGTCTCGCCTTGCTACGTAGTGAGCAACAGATATACGTGCACGTAGAAACGGAAAAGCGAGCTCCAGCGAAAAAAAGAGAGAGACAAAAAAAAACGAAACAGAGAAAAGCAAAATGCAGCGGCCGGCCGGTGACTGGAGAAAAGTCCTACTCGTGTACATTTTGCAATTATTTTCATGTAAGTGAAACGCGCGCATGGGCGCGCGTGCTCGCGCTCGTTTATATCCCTCTCGATAATCAACATCGCGCTCCCTCCGCACGCGTGTTTCTCCTTGTGCACTCGGTTCCTCGTCCCTTCAACGAGCACACACATACACACCACGTCACCTCGAGGGCCTGGCACAGCGCCGGCAGCCGGAGTGAGCGAAGTCACTCGGCCGGATCCGTCGTCGCGGCTCCCGCCGCGTCGTCGTCGGGCGTGAGCTCGTCATCTGACCCGGGCCGCGTTCACCCCGCGGAGAGTCCTTGAGACCCTCGCAGGTCTCGTTCACGTCTGCCGATCCGTCGCGAGGACGATTTTTCCTGGACGAACATTTCATTGGACGCCATCTTCGTCCCTCCTTATTTTCGACGTTAAACGTCTTGGCATCAACGCGTCAAATGTCACATTTTCCATATCGACTGCCAGACGAGAAATGACTCTTCGTCGACGAAAGCCCGCGTCTTCCGACGACCGAAAAGCGCTGTATTTTCGATTGTCCGCAGCTGAAGAATTATTGATGTCCCGACGCTGCCCGCGGAGAAAAATATTGACTCCGGGTTGATCAACACAGAGGCGTAGATAAGAGTTTCTCGGCGGAGCTCGAGAGCACTTCGCAGGGGTGGGTCTCACCCCTTCACGCCAGTCGTTTGAAAATAATCGCGTTCTCACTCCGGCGATCTCCGAAGAATGATCTCCTCGTTTCAACGATACACGAAAGATTCACGAGTCTTTGACGTTTTTTTCCCGTCAGCGACCAACTCGCGTGATTTTTCTTCGAATCAACAGCAAATTCTTTCGGAGTGAGAGAGAGAGAGAGAGAGAGAGAGAGAGAGAGAGAGAGAGAGAGCGAGAGAGAGAGAGAGAGAGAGAGAGAGAGAGAGAGAGAGAGAGAGAGAGACGAACACCTTCGCGTCTCGTTGTTTTAATGTCCTGCAGTGTCTCGTTGTCCTTGGTAGAAATTGTTGCGTTGTTTCAGTTGACAAACGATGATGGTGGATGTTGCAAGCTGTGCAATTCAACACCCTGACGTTATTACACATTTTGCGTTTCACAGCAGTTAATAGTCCAGTGCATCTTTATGTGCCCTCATTGTTTTCGTGACGGAGAATAATTCTACGCCATGTTCCGTGGGATATTTTCCGGAGCGTATGTGGAGCGACACACCGTTAGCAGGTCCCAATGTTAGCAGGCGCAATGTTACACCGTGGGTAGAAAAAATATTTGTACACTCATCCATTTTAAAATAAATTTGCACAACAGAGGAAAATATTTTCCAAAGTGCACTCGCCGGGGTAAATATTGCTTTTACTTTGTATCAATATATTGAATCGCACACCGTGAACATGTTTCTCTCTTTGTCGCATGCGTACGATTATCCTAGAAAAATATGTCGCGTGTGCAAATACTCTACTCTATCCTACACTGCTACATTTGCTCCTGAGCCAGTCATTGTGAAAACACATTGCCAAAAATGGCAGTTATTTAAGTAGTTGTATCGAGCTTGCGCTCGCGCGGTTCTTAAACGGTTCACAGATCTTGCTTTTAAATGCGAAAAGATTTTCAGACAGAGCGACGTACATTAGAGACGCGTGTGTATATCATTTTACACATCACGACCCGCGCTTTGTAGCGTGCTCTACGCTTTGCAGACTACTTTGATTTCACTTTGATTTACGACAGATAATATTATTTTTGAAACGACCAATTAATTTCTTCACAGAATAACGAGCGCGACGGGACAAAGCCGCGGTAAATCGACAAAGCCGGAGAGCGGATCTTTTTCATTGAACCGCTTAAAAAACATGTAACGCGTGTGTATTTGTGTGTGTGTGTGTATGTGTGCATGTGTTGAATTCGACAGGCCGCTTGCAGCGTAGGAAATTCAACAGCGAAATCAATCGGCTCGCTCAGCTTGTGTTCACGCCGGAGTGAATAAAATTAGAACTCTTCGTTTCGTGCGAGCACACGAACACCTATCATTCATACTATCCGGTAGCAGAGAATCACTACAATGTACCGCATTTACTACGAGTCTTCAATGGCCTCTATTTGGCTGGGCACACGTACGACTCACATGTCAATATGACGCATGAACGAAAGCCGAACACGTTCAAACACTCCGGTCGCCGCACACGCGTAATTTTTCACCACCCGCTGATACATATCACTTATGCACGACGACTTACCTCCCCGTTGCCGTTTCTGAGAATGTTTCGTTGGTTGCGATCGCGCCGTTCGCATAAGTGTTTCCATCACGAAGTACCATAGAATCGAGTCAGTGTTCGTGACGAAAAGTGACTTGACCCAATTCAATCTAGTCCAGCCCGACTTTAAAAGACGTATGCATCGCTAATGCGTGCATTTATTACAGACCCGAGTGCATAAAACATTGAGAGCATAAATCGAAAGTCGATCATGCAATAATCGTAATTTTTGTCGCGCTTCATTCAACGTACGATGGAAAGAAAGAAAGAGAGAGATACAGATAGATAGATGGATAGAGAGAGAGAGAGAGAGAGAGAGAGAGAGAGGGAGAGGGAGAGGGAGAGAGAGAGAGAGGGAGAAAGAGGCGTTCGAGCACCGTCCGTTAAACGAACGCGATCCCGTAGTAATGTTAAATCGATGATACGTTGCAAACGTACTTAACAGCGCTTTGTCAACGTTTCCCTCGCAGTGGGAACTTTGTACAAGTCGGAGTTACCGCGAAACTAGAACTATATTCGCTCCACGCGGGAAGGTAATGTCAAAGGAAATGCTCGACATTGCTGTTTCCCGAAATTCCAGCAGACAAAAGCTCTTGATAATGGTCCGCTGCTATCTTAATCGTTAATCGCGAAATTCCTGCTCTTTCCGAAATTCCGCCGCTCGATGGCCCTTAACAATTGTATACGCGGTTCTCGATTTGCCAAATATTATCTCGATTTCTCCATCTCTTTACCTCTCTCTCTCTCTCTCTCTCTCTCTCTCTCTCTCTCTCTCTCTCTCTCTCTCTCTCTCTCTCTCTCTCTCTCTCTCTCACACACACACACACACACACACACACACAGCTTGAAAATAATTCTATCATTTTCTCGCAATTCGCGCGCAAACTGCTAGAGTTTAGCGATTAAAAGTTTGGAGCCGTACAGCCGTACAGCTTTGCGCTCATATTGGCTCCAAATTAAAGTTGCCAAAGTTTCCCTTTGTGAATATACAACTGGTATTATGCACAAGGTAAATAAAGCAAAAAGAAATTGGAAAAGTTCGCGCATGATATTCAAATGTATGTATTTCTTTTGCTATCAAGGGTGTGATATATATAGTGAAAATGATTCGGATAATTTTATTAAAATCACTATACTCACAAGTATATGGGATAATAAAAGTTGATACAACTTACTTTGGAAATAAGAAACTACCCGGAATTCCATATATTTACTAAACGCACGCGACTATTTTTATCACAAAATAAGTAAGTCGGTGATAAACGCAGAGAAGTCTCGGCGATACATCGTCCAACAAATCGAGAATCCAATAAAAGCCAAAAGGTCAATAAATCGATTTAATTAAAACTATCGGAAATAGATATGTTTTTTCGGTTACTCAAATAGCGCGAGTTTAAAGGCCATTGCGCAAATATCACTCGGCTCTTTATCGACTCGTTGAAATTGCGATTTTATCCTAACGGCGCAGTGTTTAAAATGCGACTTTTGAAAAGGAGCTTTCTGACGCGTTCCGCATCACGCCAAAGTGAAATCACGAAGGCCATTATCGAGGGCATTTACATTCCCGAGATTACACGAGATCCATCGCTGATTTATATTTTTTTCACGCAACGCTTCGTGCAAAAACCGCCCGTTGCAAAACCGCGATGCGGCACCAATACGAAGCTGAGCTCGAAGGGCACGTTGAAATATTGCCGGACACGCGTTTCCAGCGAAAATTGCGAAGCATTAGCATTATCCGGCGACACGATCGACCTCGAAAATAGGCCTCTCGTCTCGAAACGTCTCGAAATAATGCCGTGCGTGCGGCGGTAACGCGCGCTTTCACTCTGATCGATACAGTAACACCTCCCAGCAACAGGGCAGGCTGCCACAAGTAGTTACGGTCAGCCGAGGACCCTCCATTCTTCCCGTTGGATTAATTCACTCGCTGTCACGTTAAACACGGCCTGTCCTATGAAAATCGTATGCAACATGATTGCCGATCGCGATTGCGTCTAATCGAATCGCTAAGCGGCGACCTGACGTTTCGTCATTACTCTTTATAATTTACTTCGTCCGAACAAAGCTTCGAGGCTGGTAGATTGCCTCGCAACAAGAGGCGCACTTTGCCTTTTTGCGCGAGATGCCTCAAATTCCACATTTTCCCTTACTTGTGGCGTTCTTCTCCTTGTGGCGTTTCGGAGTCGATTTCTCCTTCACGAAAACGTCGAGCAGTCGACGATTTTTTAGTTGCCATCAAAATCAAGTACGCGGAGTGATGAGAAAAACCTTGTTTCCCATTTCGAATTTCTACTGAACTCTCCATACCTGGGTTTTAAATTTGATATCTCTAGTTGCACGCACGAAATATAACCTGTATGTAATCGAATATAGGTTTATGAGCTGCGACACCCTTCGAAGTTAAACTCGACTCATAGGCGGCTCCGAGCGAATATCACGCAAAACATTGATGACATGAATACATCGAAATAGCGGTTTTATGACCTAAAAACCTTGATTTATTTTTCCCGTGTATAGCAATTTTTTTGACATGTTTGGTCCATCGCGAAACGTTCCACGTTTGCTGTTTGTAGCGCATTGTAAAGAAAAAAAAAGAGAATGCATGTAGGCGAGACACAAAAAGATTTTGACGTGTTAAGAGTGGTGAGAGGAACCTATCACAAAATCTGATCGAGTGCGGGCATCCTAAAATGCAAGATATTTTGCCTCATGACGATTTCCACCTACGAAATTCAACCTCGAATTCTCAATTTTCCATTCTCACGTCCGCTCGTGTTGCAACTCACGTTGTCATCGTAAAAACATCAATCAATCGGGATAGCGTCGCGTCGCGCGACTTTTGCTCGCGCACAGCTCCAAAACAATGTATTGTCCAAGTGCGGCGGTTATCGACTCTCGTGTCGATTGCCAAAACTACACGCTGTCACGTACGTACGGTTATTTCACGATTTTCAGACGCGACACCGGCGGTGCACATGAATGTGCAGCTGATTGCACCGCAATATGTGACATATGGCGATACGGCCACCCTAGTCTGCAACCATACTGTCTCGGAAGAGCTGCTGCACAAAATAGAGTTTATGAAAGGCGAAAAGAGGATATTCAATTATATAAAAGAAAGGAATCCACCATACATTGCCGGGAATCGCATCGAGGGCGCCAGACTGGAGGTAAGCGTGATAGAATATTTGCATGCGCGCGAGAAATCGCATGAATTTTCAAAGGTATCTTTTGCCAATATGAATTTCTCCGAAGTCTTTACTCTCCTAATTGTTTGTAAATTTATCGTAATTTTCAACGATACATCGAGATGAAAAGCACAAGAACGGAGGACAATGTTCGATTTTACACGAGACAGTCGCGTGTATCGGTGAATCTTGTACAGCGCTGCTGAAAGTAAAAGTTTAACAGTTAATTTCATATCAGCGTTGGTTCACTCCAAGCTAAATTTACCCGCTAAATCTCCGTCCCATTATACATTATTTTTAGATGAAAATAAAGACTCGGTTAAGCTTCAAGGGGCAATTAATGTTAATCAACTTTGCTGAAACCGCTGGCAAATATCTCGCTGACGTTGCTACATTTGACGTGCGTCAGTTTTGCTTTGAAGTTCATAATTATCTCAAGAACACATCTTGTCGTCGCGTCGTAACTGACATGCAAGTTCAATAACTCCTCTGCGCAAACTTCACGCCCAATTTATATAGCTAACATCGATGCATTGACCTTTGCTTCTTATTTCATTCACACAGATTTATATATAACCGTATCTACATGACCGCCTTATAGACGTGAGAACTTAAAAATAATTTCTGTTTTCGCGACGAAAAATTGATTGAACGATCACGTGAAGCTTATAATTCGACATGGATCTGTAATATTCGATGACACTTGCCGCGCGAAAATAATACAACTCGACGAACATGATCCTTGAGTCGTAGAGATAATAATAGATCTGAACATTTTATGAACGAAAGTTTGTAAATTCGGTTTGAACTTGGTTTAATTTCATTTAGTTTCACGCAGTTGTCAAGGTTTATGAAATTGCCTAACGCGACGATGTACCAGCCAAAAGACTCGCTAAAATTAACATTCTCGTCGTTCTTATTTACGAAGAAGATACGTAAAAACAATCGTCCAGAGACAGAGAGAGAGAGAGAGAGAGAGAGAGAGAGTTCCTTCCAACTCAATCGCCGCGCCGAAGTCGACGACATCGTGCCAACTCGTCCTGATATCACTTTTTTCTGATCCCTAGGTAGTTTATCAAGTACCGAGCGTGTTTTGCCGCAATCGTGCACTTTGTTTCTTCATCGTAACAATTTTTACGCTACATTCTTATTACATCACCTTTTGCTTATATAATGATATATCGCTTTATTAACCCGCCGTCCGACATTACTACGACAGGCGTAGATGAAAATACACCGCTAGCGTCGATACGTGAGCTACGAGAAAAGCTCATCAGTTGTAAACAAAAGTCCAAAAATAACCAGGACACCCTCGATAACGTAAGCTGGATAAAGTGTCCAGAGCCCCTGTCTTTCGCCAATGGTTAAGGGAGCGAGGCTAACGCATTTACCTAAGGCGTAGTCTTTATATATCGACACAAAGCAGAGCTATTTACGTACGTGTACGTACACTCTACCATATAGATACCCTCCCCCTCTTTAATCCAACAGCACTGAGTCGCGACGTGTGGCAGAACAATTTCCTTCGCAAATTTTCGCGACGCCTGCAAGCGATGTAAGCGCGCGCAACGCGAATATATTTAGAAAAAGCAAGGAAGGAAGGCAGGAAAGAAAAAGAAAAAGGAAAAAAGAGAAGGAAAAAAAAGAGAGAAATAGGCGGGAGAATCGATACTTTCAACAAGCCGTATATAGAACATAATAACGTCGCGAAGTCGGACGCTTCGCCAGCGAGTGGACGCACGAGTAACGAGAGAGAGAGAGAGAGAGAGAGAGAGACTGGCCATGGTAAAAATGGAACATCCATTTCGCAAGAGTGGCAAAACCGCGCGCTGTCGAGGAGACGGCGATGCAAACGCCGAAAAAACACCTGTCACACCTTCGCCTGTGCGATCGTTGTATTTTTCTCTCTTAATGCCCCTCCGCGCGTCATACGCTTTATTCGTCTCTCGCTCGCCGAAAGTACAAATCGAGCGAGTTATCGAGCGACGTTACTTCTGAGGAAGATGATATCTCGCGGTTATCACGGTGTATCGCATGAAAGGCGTAGACTTGACAAATGAGCCACTGAGAATCATGTGCATGTAAACTACTTAATAACGTGGCCGAGCTAACGTGACAGTTCTCGCAGGAAGTCTCTCTCCTCCTTGTCTAGTCACTGTCTAAATACAACACGACTGTTATTCAACAAGTGGCGAGACGATAAAGAAATCGCCGCGACTTATTATCGCTCGAATTACGGAATTGCTCGAGTATTTATATCGACCGAAAGCTCTCGAAAATTCTCTCACCCCCTTCGGCGATACGCCGATTTTTATCTCCTCGGCGAATCAGGCTAATGTTTAATCGCACACGCTAAAGCCAACAGTCCAGGCGGACACGCGGACTGTATATAGCAGGGAAAGCAGAACAACCGTGAGCTTGGACTAAATTATCCGAAGTGTTCTGTTTGTATTTTCAGAGCCTCATACAGCCTCGTTACTCGTGCATCCACTCGGTATAATTGAAAGGGCCGAATGAAAGGAATACAAGTGACAAATCCTAACAAAACGCGTCATTACCCAAGGTCGCACTCGGGCTTTTACATGAAAACAAACGTAGCGTTCTTCAATTATCAAATTTGACACGTGTGAAAACGAGGGAGCGATATATTTGCAGGAAACAAAACAACGTCACAACGTATACTCGCGCGCGCGCCTGTGTATTTTATTCTCTCATTGTGCAAACACAATTCTCCTCTGCTTAATTGCTAAATCCGAAGAGTCCGGAAAAGCTGGCAAGGAGTGCGAGAAGCCGCGCTTTGAAAGGAGGCAACTTCGTCGCGACGTGTGTGTGTGTGTACGTTTAGGTCATCTTTTCCGGAATTTGTCACTTGTGTCCTTTTGAGTCCCGAAGGGACGCTTAATTGAGAGGGCGTGTTGTACAATCGCGCTGCCTCAGTAATCGCCAAGACACCGTTGTCCTTTTCCAGTATTCGAAGAATGGCACGACAATCAAATTGCACGATGTACGTTTCGAGGCTTCCGGCACTTACACCTGCGAAGTGACCATGACAACGCCCATTTATACCGCGGATGCCGACCCCGTGCAGATGAAAGTGATAGGTGAGTAAAATATACGCCTTACGCAAAAATAAAGACACCTTCTCACTAATAATGCCGATGCTATTATTGGATTAATTCATCGTAAGTTTGTCGCGGATAAGTTTGTCTAGTCGGCATCCGCATGTTGGTATTAGAAGGAGTTTCATACTTTTATTTCTCAGCATATCTTGTGATATTTCGGCTGACATTTCGAAGCATATTTCATGATATAAGCGATGTTTAAAGAAGTACACAGTTGTCCTTGTTGCGACTTGAAAATAGAAGACGATAATATGAGTTCCTCTGATGAATTATGCTTTATTATTTCCGTAAAGGCGAGAATATAAAATGTGTGCCGCGTGCGAGAAAGATGCCACAAGCGAACGCATGTGCAAAAGTGCTTTTCGAAATCTCGTGTAGGGCAAGATATCCAAGATGCTCCTCGCTCTGGTAGGTTGATATAATCACGAATGTCCAGGAAATAGCCACTTTAATCGATTCTGATCGATACATCACAGCTCGAGACACTTAAATCAAATTGGAGTGGTAAAAATGTTCGATATTTGGCTATATTTAATTATTTAACGGAAAGAAATTTAATGGATTGCATATCCATCTACGATTCATTTCACAGGAGTGATGAAACTGAACCATTTCATAAACAAATGGTGACCAGAAATGAAAAGTGAATTATTTAAAATAACGTTGGATGAAAATAATCAAGCGAAGCGAATCTCCATTACTTGCTCCTAAATCTGTGATTTGCACCAAAAAACATCGTTTTTTTCATCTGGCGAGATAACAATAAAATGATTAATTCGGGCAAACACTACTCAACTGGACACGCTGAAGAAATCGCCAGAAAGCCCGAATCCCGAATTAGCCAATCGGAAATGTGTCGTATTCCACGAGGAATTATTGACGCCAAATTTTGTATTAGCAAGATCTCATCAATGTCAATGTAGATCTGACGAAAATTGTTAGAATTTGGCTGAGATATTTTGCCTCACCTACCATATTCACCAGACATTGTCCCCTTACGGTTATTACCTATTCCGTTAATTACAAAACTCCCTATAAACTTCGCCTTTTTGAAGACGTGAGAGATAACTTGGAACGTTTCTTCACCGGAGAAGACAAGAGTTCTACGAGAGAGGAATTATGAAATTAAAAATGAATGAAATGAGAAAAATGGCAAAAGATTGTCAAAATGACGCATATATTATTGACTAAAACTGTGTTTTTGGCGTGAATAAAATATATTTCAGTTTTGCTTAAGAATCCGCACGAATTTATTAACCCAATAAAATCGTGAGTCACGAGATTCAATAAATCGACTAATAGCATCGAGCATGATGTTCATGTCGAAGTGTCTGAAATATTCTCGATGAGCCAGGCATGAAAATTATATAGTCGAATATCCGCCTCGTGATAGAACACATTCTAAATCTCAAAAAGTCGTGATCTAAACGCTGAGAAATATCGGTTGGATGTAGATGTCTCGATTTACATCTACTTCGTTTTCGATATACTCTTCACAGTCTCTTCTAGTTCCACAGACTGGCAATCCTAAGATTACGTTCAAGAAGAGCGTATACGTGGTCGGCGAGAGTCTGGAGGCGAACTGCACCTCTTCGCCCGCACGTCCAGTTCCTTACATAACATGGTTTATAAACGGGAAAGAGGTAAGGAATGCGCGACACCTCGAAAATACGGTCGCGCGGAAACGCGCTGCCTCGCCTCGGACGATCGTCAGGTCATTTCTGATCGTCGATTTCGCCAGGTGGATATCACTCTGGTCAATCACTACCCGCACACGCATCATAAGGACCACCTGATGTCCGCCACCGCGAGGCTGAAGGTGGAGGTTTCCGAGTTGCACGCCGGGCAAAATGGTTACCTGGAGATCAGCTGCCGGGCGACGATACCCGACTTTCCCATGTATCACGAGCAATTTGCCGATATCAGGAAAAAGACGGTGTCGGGTAAGTGACCGCCAATGAAAACAACAGATCGAAGCGACGCTTAAACGTGATAACCTATGCGATGAATTGGCACGGCGCGTATGAAATGTTGATGAGCATTGAGAGACGTACGGCATGGAGGATTTTCTAAAACGGGAATATAGGCGATGAGAAAAAACGCGACGCTGAAGGGAAACGATCGAAATGCTGTTCCGTCATGAAATTATTTGTTCATCCGGCACATCGTGCCGGTCATTTTGTTCCTCGAGTTACTCTCTCTTGTCTTCATTTATATCTGACTTGCATTTGCCTCGTCAATCTTACGTAGTATGCCGTTTTCAACGTTTTTTAGTGACAGCTTCCGTCGTCTTTTGTATTATTCATAAATAACAACGGCACGTCGCTTTGTTATCTAAGCGTGCATGAGTGCCTTGTTATCTGAACGTGCGACTTGTTTCAGTGCAAATCATACCAGCGCCGGATGTGACGTCTTCCGCGGCGATTCTCATACGAGAACTAACGCTACCTACGATATTGTGCATACTGAGCGCGATGCACGAGTTTATTCCTTAATAAAAGTCAATTGTTCTAGGATAATTCGGCTGTAACATACGTAATCGTAAGGTATTAAGGCGAAACGATGAACGTAAGATCGAACAATCACAATGTCTTCCTTCGAAATATCGAAATACACGGGGGCAGCGGTTTTATTGTCTTTGCAGAAGTTTTGTAACTCATAGACGCGGCTTCTTCGTGCGCAACTATTTTCGATTATTGCTTATAACGAGCGTCGTCTGTCTCGCGAAACATATCAATTCCCATGAGATGTAACGAACCCGAATGTTCGGTAAGGTGTGTCGGAAAGTTATGTCCTCTTCTTCTTCTTCTTCTTCTTCTTCCTCCTCCTCCGGATAGATCCATCTATTTCGCAGAGCGTTGCAATCTCGACGTTTCCAGCTGTAAGATTGAAAAGCACGGAACGGAAAGAGAATTGCGCAAAGTCCCTTCGCTCCGCGGCTCCGGAAAATTTCAACGGATAATGCACCGATATATCGCTGAATTAGTTCTGAATGTACTTCAAGAACGGAAAAATCATCTTTCCCTTATAGACTCTCGTATACCGTGCACAAAATTTCGTCTAGTTTCTAAGATTAAATGTGACTTTATTAAATATAAAGTGATCTCCACGTATAGTATAAAGTTACGACATAGTTTTCCGATACGCGTACTATAACATTTCATCTAGTCTCGCCTCGCCGTTTGGAAGCATCGTATTTTTCAAGCCCGCGAAATATACTTTCTTGTTATTGTGAGCGCATTTTTAGAACAACCGTGCAAAATGGCAATGGGGAGGCGTAAAAAAAAGCTTCTAGATGGATTGTACCAGTTGTATAAATTCTTCTTTTTTTCCTTTCTTTTTTTTACACGCTTCTTCTCTCGTTGCTTTATTTATGGCACTGCAACGAATTTCGAGCAAATTTCGCTGCAATTTGCGACATTCACGAAACGATTTCGCACGTTTTACGTCCCGTTTCAGAATGTTCCGTATCGATAATGTCAACTTTCCGACAATAATTTAGCAAGACGACGTCTTTTTCGCGTCTATTAGAGCATAGATACTAGAGCAAATTTTCACTGTCATTTTGTCATTAACTAGAGGAGAACCTGGGGGCGCTCCATTGAAAAACATATACACGAGGGATTCAAAGCAAGAACGGCGTAAATCAAGTGTGACGATATCTGAGATATTTACACTTTTGCGTACTTTCACATTGGAAAATATTCTCGAGCTATTTTCCACTTTAATAAGTTATATATCATTTCAATCTCAATTATTTTTTTAACAATATAACGAGAGAAGAGAGAGAGAGAGAGAGATAGTGAGAGAGGAGAGGGGAGCGGTACACAAGACTGTAAAAATATTTTATAGTCTCGGGCTATTTTTGCTTTCAATTCTTGATATATACATATATACATGTCTCATGTATAATAAAGTGAAGAACGTCGACGGAACGGGACGTGCGACGTACTTTTGTATGACGAAATTTCCTATGAGATTCGATGTACCTCGCCAAATGAGAGAGGCAAGCTTGAAAAAATACTGCGTCGACGGCTAGGCATCTAGAGAGAGAGCTGCGAGAAACTAGAGATAAAGAAACTAGAGACACTCGAGTTAGAGTCTGGTCAATGAGACAACGGTAAGTAAACAATCCGGCTTTATCACGTAAGCGAACGATAAAGCGTCATGATTTCTTCCGTTTAATTTAGTCGATAAAGCTTAATTAAACTTTACGGCGAAAAGCGGCGAGCTGGCCAAACCCTGACTCGACTATCTGTAGAAGTAGCGATTACGGCCGTCGTGCTTCGCGGCCAACTTTTCCGAAGCACTTGTCGGGCGCGTTACTCGTCGATACGACGCGACACGCGAAAGAGACGCTCCGATATAACCATCTCTCTCGTATCTCACACCGATCGGTTCGTCGCGACTGGACACGCGGGATCATCTTTTGCCCGTGCTTACGGCTTTTTGTAACGTGCGAGTCCTCTCTCCGCTTGTATGGACCAACAGCTTCCACACGATCACATGGTCTGTAAGAGTATAAGGAAATGCGACAGCGTTCAAGCTGCTGGTACTTGAAAGTGTGCCAAAGATCGCAAAGGATCACATCAGTACGCCGGAGCGAACGAAAAAGACGTGTTATCGAAAGCCTTAGTCCTAATCGTGTCCTAATCTAATCTTGATTATTGGTAGAGTGCGGAAGTGTTCGCGAGAACGGCCAGCTCTCCTTGGCTTTGGGTGGTCTAAACGTACTCAAAGTAGAGAGACTATATGCAATATTCTCTACCTAAAAGAATCGTTAGCTTCAAATTGATCCTCGTCGATATAAGTTTACGATTACATTACGAATAGATACTCGCGTGCGAAATTAAATATTTTTTGCTTATGACGAATAATACGAGGAGGAGAGGGAAGTTTATAAAGGTACGTCAATAGATTGATGAATTAGCTCTCTATAGCCGGGACCGAAGAGACATTAGGGAGTAACTCAGACTGTATATGCATATAGTGCGCTTTATAGATACTAAAGAGTACATCTATTTATGATTAATAACTTTTATACGTATTTCATATCGCAACTGTTTGCTAAAATCGGAACGACTAGTCCAATTTGATGCCTGCAGATTCTCGTATGCTTTCAAACTTGCAATAAACGTAACGTATACACCGCGTATGTACCGCGTTTCTTAACTTTTTATTATATTTCTAGCGTAAGAGCAAGCAACGGTATTGTCTAAGCAAAGTTTGAAAGCTTGGTAACAATATTTTTATTCGGAAGTGCCTTTTCATATCTGCAAATTAGAAAGGTGTAGACCTCGGGCGGATATCAGTCTGCCGGCGGGCGACGTTTTTCGCGTGGAAAGTAAAGCCGTAACATTGAGACGGTCAAGAAAAAGAAGTCGTCGCCTTATCAACGAGATTACACTCTCTAATAAAATTGCTTTCGTTCGTCTTCAGCGTTCGCTCCAGCGCATCGACGGCTCGAAGTCTATTACTGCGCACATTTGCAGCTTTGCTCTTTCTAATCACGCTTTCCTTTAGGCTATGTCATTGACCGTTTTGAGATTCTGGTGCCTACACTCTCTCTCTTTGCGGGAAAATTCGCGTTTTCATCATTCTGCACATTCAACGATATTACAAAACGCCATTAAAATTTCCAGTGTTTCTGCACAGAGAAAAGATTGCAATCCATTTGTTTACTTATAATAAGATATTTATTATTACCGCTATGTTATTATCGTATTACGCTTGCTTGCATACAACACAGAAAAAATGTGGACAAATGTATATATACATATATAACAAGAGCAAAGCTGGTGCAGCTGCAGATTCGCGCGAAAACAAAAGTTGACGGCACGTAGCACGGAAAATAGAGGATTCTGCGCTTTTACGATGCTCCTGGTGCTCGTACTGACGTATATCTGTCCGATTTCCCTGATGGCCGGCGAAATGAGCGCGAAACCGCAGAAACTCGCGACGACCGACGAGGTGGAGGTGCGCGTCGTCGGCGGAGAAATCACCGACATCAAGAAGTACCCGTTCATCGTACGTGCGACGCGCCCATCGCAGCCCCTTAACCTTTAACCTTTGGGGAAGATATCGGCACCTTCCCACGCAATGCGACCCACACCTAGCGGAAGTGCGTAAACACGCAGTAGACTCCGGGAGTTCTGACGTCGAAAGCGAGGGAATTGCGACGAGAGTTGAGGATGTTTCGTGTGAATACATCACGAATGCGACAAGACAAAACTTCGAGGAGATACCTAGACGAATGAATCGGCCTTTGACCGCTGATGACCTTTCCTCCAGCGCTCTTCCCTCGTAATGAGAGCCTGCTTCGTACCGCACGTTTCGTTTTCCAGTCGGCGGTTTACCAAAATAAACACAACAACATGAGAGCATTTGTGAATTACGTATCCCGCGGCTGCTAATGATGTTTCCAGTGAAATACCGTTCACTTGTAAAACCAGCTAGCGTGCTAGCTCTCGACGTGTCGTTTCTATCTTAAAACCTCCTACCTTGAGCTCTTGTACGCTCACGTCGCATGTTCGCTCGTGCATTTTCCGCGCTGCTTCTCGGTTCCCGCGGTGCAATTACCTGTTTACACACGTTCGATAGGTACCGATAATGTACACGATACACCTTTACACGCTCGTCAAACCAATTAACGTAACTGCTCGCATGGCGTTTCCGAAGCGTCGGGGAATTTCCATTTCGAGATGAGCGAGTTCCACTGCGGGGGATGTTGACGTCGCGAGCCGCATTGTGCAGCTCTTACTTTTCAATGCAAAATAAGCGGAAGCTTAAATGAATTTACTCCCGAGCCGAATTTTCTCGACGAATACCACATTCATCGCCGGTATCGAGAATAAAATTATTTAAAAGGGATAGACAAAATAAAATTTAAATTCGTATTTAAACTCGTGAAATTGGAATTTAAACAGCCTCGGCAACGCCATGTGTCAAAGCTGTCACTCTCATCCGCTCGAGAGCGCGAGGGCACGAAGGTTAAGGGGCGAACCGACTCGACTCGGACTCGGTGAAAATCCGAATTTTTCAAAGTCAATTCCTCTTAGGTCTCGGTGCAGCGCCGATTCCTTAGCCATATATGCGGAGGCACCTACGTCGCGCCCAGGTTCGTCCTGTCGGCCGCCCATTGCATGGTCAGGTGCGTGTCACAAGACTGCGTTTTCGCATTAGCGCTGCGTGTCGCGCGCAGGAGAAAAGGTGGTGTAGTTCTCTTTCTCTCTAGCCGGGGCATACACTTTAGCACTCGCTGTGAAATACTCGTACACACTTATACGCGTAGCCACCCCCGACGTAGCCTTTTAACCCTCGGATGCGTAAGACCCTCTCTCGCATGATGTTTCATCAGCACCGCGGGGGGTCCCGCGGATTGATCCTAGGATTAAAACACGAAGATCCTCGAGGGCCAACGACGGGAGTAAAACCCGGGGGGGGGGGTGAAGATCTTGTGAGAGATTTTTGGTATAAGAGTATAAGAACACACACGGAGCTAAAAGCGTTAGTGCACACTGCTCTTTTAGCTTTGAATTATCCGTTGTGATTCTCACGATGTGATCGTTTCGATTGCATGCAATTGAAACGTGTGTCTGTCTCGTATATTCGTTTGCTTACTGTTATTTTTGCAGATGTGTACGTGCGAAGGCATGCACACGGGAGCATGTTCAATTAAGATCTACGTAATCCTTTATCGATTTTCCAAAGGCCTCCGTGGCCAACTTTAATTAGAAAACACTGCCATATCGTACAGCGAATTTGTCGTCTTTTCATACTTTTCTGTGATAAAAATGTAACTCGTGATGTACATGAAATTGGAGAGATTAGCTTATATGTTGTTTCACATTGTTAATTTGTTTTTTTCTTTTGAGGAAAAACTGCAAATAATTGTTTTAAACTGTTTGTTTCTCTTAAACTATGCAAGGTTTCATAAACTTGAATAAATTTAAAATTGAATAAATTCAAATTTAAAATTTCTCGAGAGAAAAGCAAGATGAAGAAATTTAAATAAATAAAACACAGGATTCTTCATGATTTTTCTATTCGAAATGTACGATATAAAAGATATTTTGTCTATTTCGTATGATATTTTATCGTTTGCTTTACGTAGAAACGTTATCTAGAACGTTTAAGGTAGAATTGAAACATGAAATTTCCTTCGATGGATCAAGGGAAAAACGTTTTTCGCTTTGAACTAAACTTTTTAAAAAACTGAGGGAACCGTCTCAGATTTCAGCGCGATTAACTTTTAAACGCGGGGCTGTACTCTATGTGATCTAAAGTCCTCTTAGACTTAAAGCAAGTTTCGCGGATGAAAAGGTCTTGAAAGAAGAGATCTCTCCTGTTGACTGAGATATTAATTATACTTGGATATTCTCGGGAATATAATGATTATGTACTTGTAAAGCAAATCTTGGACGCCCTGGTAAGATATTTCAGGATTACACCACACAATCACACGAGGTATTAGTAGCCGTATTTAACCTCCTTGCTACTGCAGATGTACGTGTAATGTTTGTTCACGGGAAATGCGAGGCTTGAGTTTCGACATGTTAATGATGTATCTTGCGGAGATATAATTGCGCTGCCATTTGTGAAAGACGATCGGGGGCGAGTCGACCGACTTAAATTTTCAGTGATTCACTTGAGAAAAATCGCGCGATACGTGGCTTTTAAGAGAAGGAAAGAGAGACGGAAGAAGAGACGGAAAGAAATCGAGAGAGAGAGAGAGAGAGAGAGAGAGAGAGAGAGAGAGAGAAGGAGGGGGGGTAGAAAGGGCGTCTTTTAAATCGTACATATTCGTACGTTTTATTGAAACAACGCAATATATCCGTACAGCGATTGTGTAATGTATAAATCTCAGACGTGTTCACGGATGGTAGCCGATTTATATCGCGCCACCAGACCACGTGGTGTAGATATTTGAATTTGTATTTTCGCTATTAAATGGAATCTCTGTGAATCATCGTATACAACGGCGGCTGGACGGGATCGGGCGGTTGAAATTGATCTCAAGCCGGGCAACACACCCGAGAGAGACATCGCAGCGGAACTCGACTATAAGAATAACTGCTTCTTGATAGTCGCGGTTACGATAGGACGCTACACGTTTGATTCGTCCCGTTCGCCCGCCGTGATTACACTTTGTTTGTTTCTGACTGTGAGTAGCGATGTGCTGTCTAGAAATTATATATTTCACGAGTAACGAGGAAGGTTAGCGGCGCTAGATCCTAAGGCAACGATATCTGTCGCGATATCTATCTGTGTATCGATTAGCTGTGTACTAGCGGTGATGTACTGTTCGCGCGAGAGCGTAGTTTCTGTTTTACGAGTCAGCTCGGCCGCCCGTGATTGTGCAGGTGGGTTGAATCGGGGGCGCAATCGGACATCTGCTCGTTTACATATGATAAGACTAGTTATATGCTATGCTCAAGCGATGAGTCCAAAGAACAGAACAAATTGGAATATAATTGAAAGAGAGAGAGAGAGAGAGAGAGAAAGAGAGAGAGAGAGAGAGAGAAAGATTTCTTATCTCTTGCAGATAAAGACCGATTTGTATACCAGTGATTCGAATGCCTTTTTGATCTGAATATCCCATAAATGAAGCAGGAGATATCATTGCTTGCAATTAGCAAATTCACTCTGGTTTTAATATTTTTTTATGATTATTCTATTTCTAATTTCTAAACTCTTTTCCTAAGTTCCAAAAGTTCGTCATCCTATTTCAATGTTTCACATGACAATGCGCTGAGGAAAAACCGAGTCGATGCATGATGCTGTCGTTCGTAATAGGAAGATCAAAGGGGTGTTGATCTTCCGCGGGGTCCGATTGCTCGCCCATCATTTTCGCCCACCACTCTGATGTTAGGTGAAACAAACTGGATATCATTAATTCGTCGTTGTTTAAAAAGACGGTTGTCCGACGGCACGTGGAGGCCGGAGAATCCACGGCGATTCTACGTGATCGCCGGCACGACTAACGTGTTCTTACCAAGCTGGGGTTCCATGCAGATGGAATTGATAGACAAGACATTGCCGCACGCGAAGTTTCGATTCTTGGACTTGCAACACGATATTGGATTGTTCAGGGTGACTATTTATGCCGTGTATATAATTCTGTGTCGATAATAAAGAGAGTAAACCTTGTAACCGCGCGAGATGGCGATTCTGAATGTCACCCACGCTCGCTTCCGACAGCTGAGGAGGCCCCTTCGTACGAACGCGTACGTTCAATACGCCCTGCTGCCACCGGAATACATCGCGAACTTGCTGCAAACCTACATGAAGCAATGCATCGCGGTTGGATGGGGTCGACACATACCTGATTCAAATGTACGTCGTAAGTGCATAGTCGACATAGGACTGTCGATTTGATTGTTAGTGAGAAACTATAAGTTTGTTTTCTATTGCTGAACTGACTGCGTTGCCTCATTCTAGTTCTCTTCTCCTTTTTTTTTTTTTTCCGACAAGTCACAACTCTATACCTGTCTCTGTAAGTTCCGGGAATATACACCAGTTCAACAATAGAAAACAGACTTCCATTTCAAACTCTGCTTGAAGGACCTGCGCGACGATATTCATTTCTTTCCCGTAGTTTATCCAATAGCAATCGAGTTAGAAATCCCTTGAAAAATGAAATTAATTGATTGCGAAGATATTTATCGGTATATTTTTTCGACCATAGGGTTCTCTTCATAGTTAATTTTAATTCTTAACACCTCTTAATTCTTATTTTAACTCTTAAATTAATTTTGATTTGAACTCTTAAGCGTTAATTTGAATTCTCCCGTACCTGAAAGAACTGTAATACGTAGCTTTTTTCACTCGGTACTGCGAAAATCGAATTAACAATTTTATGATGTATGATTTATTTGTTTCTGATTTATTATCAGAGGGGAAGCGGTACATATTTACGGCATGTTCAGATGCCCCTGATCTCAGCTGTCGAGTGTCCAATGCCGAATGTACACAAGGAAGCGCAAATATGTACCGGTCTGCAGGAAGGCGGTCGCGATGTCTGCTTGGTTTGAGCTTGAGAACTCTGTAAATCTGAAAGGGCTCCTATGTTGAAACTTCTACACGTCGGTTTTGCGAATTTTCAGGGCGACAGCGGTGGACCATTGATCTGTAATGGAACGCAGGTGGGCATTGTTTCCTGGGGCAATCCCACGGGATGCGCTCTTCCGAATTCAGCGAGTGTTTACTCCCGCGTGGATTTTTACCTGGATTGGTTGAACTGCACTATTCAACGAAACGGAGTCTCGGAATGTTCATTTCGACCCGTGACTTCGATCGCCTTCGCGTTTTATTGGCTATACTTGTTCTTAATATGCTAATTATCATATAGTATGCGAATGAGAGAAAGATAGCGATTGCATTTTGCATTTAGCTGATTATTATCACGTCGGAACCTCATGGAATATCTCTTCAATTATCTCAAATAAAAAATTACTTACCACTACAAATGTAATTTTTTTTTTATCGTTAGGCTCTCAGATCCACGATAAAGATAACAAAGTAGATCGATACGTAGATTAGGAAGGACAAAGTTTATGAATTTTCTTTTTCGTATCTTTGCTTGTTCATTCATTTCTTACCTCTTAATCCTCCTAATCCTTCTTTCTTTATTTATTTCTCAAACTATGTATAGTTATGAAACATGCATGAAATCGTAGGATATAACATGAAGCTAATGTCTCAGTAATTACTTTAAAAGCAATTTACGAAGAGCAAGTGAAAATGATCTAGCATGGCTGACACACGTCTGAGTTTTAACAGTTTGTAGTTCAATAAAATCTGAACAAATTGTCACCGTGTCCTACATCGTAGTATGAAGTATGCAATCAGTATTCGCACTATTAAGAAAAAACACGATACTCACGATAATAGATATCATTATTTGCGGAGTTCCGGTATCATTTATTTAAGATCAACGCTATCAATACGATCAATCAATCGATACAAGAAATTATCGTTATCACGTGAACAATATAAGAATAAAATAAACATTTTTAACAAAACGAACTTGTTATATCATCGACGGGATCCATTAAATACGGCAAATACTAACTGGTCGCTGGTTAGATCGCAAGTGCGCAGTGCAAGAACGACAGATCTTGCATATTTGGATATTGTTGTAACAAATTGCAACGGTGTATATATGTTTTATATTAGAGAATTTCTGCAATACCGTATTTCGAGCCCGATAAAAACGAAGACTCGCGTTCGAGGTAAGATTATATAATAAATTAACGTATGAATAGTGTTGGGCAAAAATTAATATATTGAGGTACGATATTATAGAACTTTTTCAATATAAAATACAGACACACACTGTTGCAGGTTGTTACAACACGTTAAGCAGCCATCAGGGCATTTGATGCGCTATGATGTTCTTCACCGGTCTGACGTTTCTGCTTACGGTTCTACTTGTTGGCGCTTTTGACGATGCACACGGTGAGTTTATTTATGTCTTTCTCTGTTTGTTTGATTAATATCTAATAAATACTTATACTACATAAATTTAATTCCTACTCTTATTCAAGCTATCATAAATATGATATATTTCGTAAAAAAAAGAAGATTTAAAATATCACTCTCCAGAACTGAAACTTGATAGTGAGACTAAACTATTAAAATCTTTTATTAGAACTCGCGGATCCAACACATGATAAGGTCGTCGTTTGTTACGTCGCATCCTGGGCAACCTATAGGCCATCCGATGGCGCGTTCTCCGTGGACAATCTGCGTCCAGAACATTGTACTCACTTAGTTTATGCGTTTGCTGGCTTAGACGTTGCAACCTGGACTATCAAAAGTACCGATCCTTGGACAGATACGGAAAAAGACGGTAATCTAATCAATCCAAAATCGCTCTGAAACAATACCAAGTCCCGATCCCGTAAATATAATAATATAATAATTTAAAAATATCTGGGTGAACACACAGGAGTAGGCAACTACAGGAAGATGACAGCTCTCCGGCAAAAATATCCAAAACTAAAAGTAACACTCGCTATAGGCGGATGGAACGAAGGAAGCATAGGCTATTCGTTACTCGCTTCATCACCGGAACGCAGGAAACTATTTATCGCCAGCACTATCAATTTCCTCCAGTACGTTCGCTGCTATACTTATGCCAACGATAATGAGATATCTCTTATTGGAGAAGAAATTAATTCGGCAGAAATTTTCCTTGTCTCACAAAAATTTTTAAAGCTACGCTATCTTTTAGCGTAGCTTTTCCAGCTATTATGAGATTTTAATTTGTTGTCACGATGTATCTTTTGACGGTTAAAACTTTACTTTATTTCGTCCTTGTATTTTTTCTTCTTTTATATTTGATTTCTGCTTGTATTTTCGCTCTCGCCTACGTTCTTTTTCTAAATTGCATTTTGTTACAACAGAACATACGGATTTAACGGGCTCGACTTTGTTTGGATGTATCCCGGACATGGCGGAGGCAGCACGGAAGACAAACAGAACTTTGTCATTCTCTTGAAGGTATGTTTATTAGAGTTTAGTATTTCTTTAACTAATATTTTTAATAATTTTATTTTTAGGAACTGAAAGAGGCCTACAAGCAACCCGGCCTTACGATAACGGCAGCTATCAGCGCGGTGAAAGAGACTATTAACTTAGCATACAACGTAGCCGAAATGTCTAAATATGCTGATCACATTCACGTAATGTCGTTCGATTATCATGGATCGTGGAACCAGAAAGTTCTTCCACATGCACCATTTCAAAGCAAGGATGGGTTAAATGTGGTAAGGGTAAAACTTTCATATAAAAGTTATCGTGTTATACAAGGATGCGAGACGTGATGCTTTTGAATAAAAATATTCAAGTGCTTACTTGTATGTATAAAATCCTATTTGCTAAACAAAATTCAATGTTGTCATGTCATAATTCGCATATTCCGCGACAAAAAGTATTGCCGAGAGATATTGCTGATCGGTTTCTAAAATAACAAAATATATTGATCATTGGTATCAATATTTAGGAAGATTCTGTTACGTACTTGTTGCAACAAGGAGTCCCGGCCGCAAAAATGGTCCTAGCGTTGCCGACGTATGGAAGAACTTACATTCTGACGAAACCACTAGAGAAACCAGTGAATCCAATTGGTCTACCTGCTCTGCCAACTGGATTTAGGGGACCTTACACTGGCCAAGATGGCTTCATGGGATATAACGAGGTATTTAATTATTATTTTACATATTTATATCGTATTTTATATCATTTTATAGTAGAGATGTGCGAATTATTCGAATTCGAATCCCTATGATTCGAATCCGAATAATTCGAAAATCTCGAATCGCGAAGATTCGAATACGAATCAAATATATTAGCGTTTGTGCGTATCAGTTATAAAACGGGCCATCTGGGCCTGTATATTTGAACCCTTAACTTATTTTTAATTAATTATTAATTAATAATGTTTAATTACCGTAATTAACCTAACTTATAATTAATAACTTAATTATAAATTACTATAAATATTTAAATATATATTTTATTTTAAGATAATATTACAATATTAATAATCCCTTTCATATTAAAATCTTCCATCATTATTTGCACGTTTAATATTCATGTTAAATTTTTTAATGGTTCGATTCGATTTGATTCGAATTCGAATGAAATTTCATGGATTCGATTCGATTCGAATTCGAATTTAAAAAATGAGATTCGATTCGATTCGATTCGACATAAAAATTCTTGATTCGCACATCTCTATTTTATAGCTTATGGCGAAGATTGAAAATATACATCTTAGATATGCATAAATTGTACTTTTATGTAGATTTGCGAGGCACAGACAGAAAATCCGAAAGCCTGGACAGCTGGATGGGATAATGAAACCAGCACGGCTTATTTAATTAATAAGGACCATGTTATCCTTTACGACGACGTTAAATCTATACAAGCCAAGGTATTTCTTTTCATGAAGCATAGTTTCTCATAAAAATTAAATTTTATCGTATCGGTTGTGTGTGCGAATCGATTTTATTCTTACTCAATGCATCGTAACAATACATCGAAACTGTCAATCAGGTGAAGTACCTAAAGGAGAAGAAGTTAGCGGGTGTCAAGATATGGAGCATCGACACTGATGACTTCCGCGGCAAATGCAAGACGTCCGACTACCCACTTATGAGAGCCATCAATGCAGCTTTGGCGGCCAAGTAATTCGTGCAATTCTTTTCGTAATAATTGTGTCGCGAAGAAACGTCAAGCATCTGCAATTGACGTAAAACCTTAATAAATTACTTTTATCTCAAAACTTGCGTTCTCTCCTTCAATTTTATTTCATCAGTCTGAATTCTATTGTATATTTTCCGTGATCTTCTGATTCCGCGGTGCGAAAAATGATTCGCTCAGTAAACGTTCTTACCAATCGTCTCATAAGTTCTAGCTCTCTTGATCAATTTGTTAAGCTTATGTTATCCCTACGACGAATTTAAACCCGCCATTCTTCGCAAGTTCAAAGACTCCACATTCTACCGCCTTTTCCCCTACTATCTGGCGGTTGAAAGGAGGAAACCTGAATCTTAGCATCACCATGAGCGCCATCGTAGCGCTGATGCTTTCAGGCTTATCCTCTTTGCCACAACATTCACGTCTCCTTCCTCCAATTTCTTTCACCTAAATTTCCTTCTTTCCTTCCTTCCGAAGGCTTCTTTGATTTCTCTCTGATTTTTATTTCTTCCCTCGTGCATACTTATCCTCCTGTTTACTCCTCCAACTCTGTATATATCCTACTATATTCTTCTCATACTTTACTTACTTCGCTCTTCTCTTTTTCCTCCTCCTACTGCTCCTTTCCTCCTTCTTTTTCCTCTATTTCTTTTTTAGGCAATGTCTATTTATAAAAGCAGATGTAAAGTCTACGCGGGATGTGACACGCGAGTGACGTTGCATTGTTTACTCGTAGGAGAATCCGCGGAGAGCAAAGTAAGTTTCACGGCGATGTGCAACAGGTTCTGAACGCGTCCTTCTCGTTGTCCTGCTGCTCCTCGAGCTCTCACTCGAGAATAAACAGTTACGAGTGAAAGTAATCTGGCCTGGCTGACGCACAGCTATCCGACTCCTAGCAGTCTGCAGTGCACGGCCGAATGAATTGGTACCGGTGTTTTGCGTTCTTTCAGCTACGTGCAATCGGTAGATCTATGCTGTTAAAGCATATCGTTCACGGTTTTATCTAAACATATGGCATACTACACCATCACTTTACTCGTACTCGTTATCACACGCAATTAGTGATAAAAAAATATTACATATCGCTAACAAGTGAGATGTGTTACCGCGTCTTTTAATTACCAAGTGATAACATTAGTCTACAATTAAGTCTCAAGCGCGTGATAAAGAACGACAGATCGAAATAAGATTCATAACTTTTTGCATAGAATACAAATTTTATAAGTGTTTTCCAAGATGTTCTCCAAGTGCAGCATCACAGAAATCCTCTAATTCAGAATACCGTTACAGCTCGTGTCACGGTGTGTTAAATAAATATATCGCATTGAAAAAGATCGGCGTGTTATTACTACGATGTCCTTCACCGTCGTGGCATTTCTACTCACAATTCTACTTTTTGGGATCTACGATGCTCGCGGTGAGTTCGCCAACGGTATAATCTCTTATTTGCATTTTATATCCAAAGATGTTAATATATAATTAATATATGCAATTGTATGTGATGCAATGTGACGGTACGAAACGGTCAAATAACGTACATTGCGTTCGATGAGTGATGATAATTCCCGCATTTCCCCGTATCAACGAACGAAAGCAAATGCCGACACGCCGCACAATGGGGACGCGACATTTCCATAAGACTCATGAATGTATATACAAGGTGACGCAGAATCACCGTCGTTTCTTTCACCTGCGAATCCCCCGAGTAACGCGGAATCAATTTTTTCTCGATGCGTTCAAACACCATTTCTCAAGTGCTTTTTAATATACCACTTTAATGCTCACGTATAACTAAAATACTCAATTTAAATTTGTAAAAATAAAGGATATTTAAATTAATTAAGAAATATAAAATTTCCGACATATATTTTTATTCAATAAATTTCTCATTCCTACTAAAACTATTCTTTATTTAATGAAGAATCAAAACTTTATAGCATCGTCTATTTTCAAAACTGGAAAATGGTTAAATGATGCTATTTTTTCATTTCTTTTTTCAGGGCTTCTGAAACCAAAACATAATAAAGTAGTCGTCTGCTATGTCGCATCTTGGGCAGCCTACAGGCCGGACAAAGGCGCGTTTTCTATAGGAAATCTGCGTCCAGAATTCTGTACCCACCTGATTTACGCATTTGCTGGTTTAAATATTTCATCCTGGACAATCAGTAGCCTCGATCCTTGGGCGGATACGGAAAAAGACGGTAACCGCAATATTGATTAAAGAACAAGTCGTAATAATAGATTAAAGAACAAGTCGTAATAATAAATTACTATAAATAATCGATTATCTTATACAATTTTCCAATCATTATCGCAGCATGAGATCGGCATAGTAATTAAAAAAATCAAATAATGGTAATTAAAAAATCCCACGACAAACTTTTAAAGTATAAAATTATCCAATATACAATAATTATTAATTCCTAATTATATTAAGACTCTCGTTAGTTCGATAATTTTATTCAATCTTGAGTATGCTAAATATAATTTGGAATATATCTGGGTGAACACAGTAATAGGCAACTACAGGAAGATGACAGCTCTTCGACAACAATATCCGGGTATAAAAATATCGCTGGGTATCGGTGGGTGGAACGAAGGCAGCAAAAATTATTCACAACTCGCTTCATCACCGGAACGTAGAAGAACCTTTATCGCCAGCACCATCGAATTCCTCAAGTGCGTTTACCCTGATATTTATACCGACGATTATAAGACACCTCATTAGAGAGGAAGTCGATTTTTCAAGTGAAACAATTATTACTTGGGAAGAACTTCTAACGTACACTGATCGATATGCTGTCTTTCCTGAAATACTCTTTATGAAAGAAAGATGACCATTCTTGGGGGTTTCTGGGATCTCTCCTCTATGGTTCAAGTATTTTATGATTAAAATTATTTATTATAAAATGCTGATCAAAAGTTGTTAAAAAAGTTTTCTTGCAAGAGATATGTCCCATTGGTCCTGAAATCTTTTGTTAGGAAAATTGGTTTTTATCTTATTTTCAAAGATTTACAGTATTTTTTCTTGATGTTACCCTAGATTTAGACTACATTGAGTTCTGTCAACTATTTAGTGCACGCTTATATGTTGTTTATGCATATTTATTTGTATCTATTCAATTCATTTTAAATACTGTCCTACGCGTCTCATTCGTTTTATTTATCATGATACGTATGCATGTGTGATTATTAATATTATTAATATTATTAATATCGATGTATTATTATATTATTATCGGATTTATATTATTATTAAATATGCATTATTATGATCTATTGAAAGAAGATAATAGTCTCATTCTCGAATTCGGATATATCATCACGTCATTCTGAAAATATAAAGTATTTGGTTTACTTCTTAAATTATATTTTGTTTTATATATATTCTTTGCCAAAATTCTAATGTTCTCTACTCGTCCCCTGCATTACCTGCAAACTTAAGATGCTGATTATGTTAACCTTTCAATATAAGTTTTCGAATAAATCTTATTTAATTTCTAGAGAAAAAGACCAAGAATGATCACCTTCCTTAGTTTGACATTACGATGTATTTTTTGGTAGTAAAAATTTTATTGTACTTTCTCCTATTTTTTTTTTGCTTTTCTTTCACTGTGTACTTTATTTTTTCTTATTTTACTTGTTGTTATTGTACTCTTGGTCTTATTTATTTGATTCCTGACAATTACTTTTGTTCCAACAGGACTTACGGATTTGACGGATTAGATTTTGATTGGGAATTTCCCGGTAGTCGCGGGGGTGTTCCAGATGATAAACAGAATTTCGCTAGCCTCGTAAAGGTACAAGAGTTGCACATTTTATTATCTCCCTTACTGACACGTAAAAACACAATTTATTTTACGTTTCGTAATAGGAACTGAGCGATGCTTATAGAGAGCCTCGCCTTTTGCTGACGGCTGCTATAAGCGCGGACAAGAAGACTATCGATCAAGCGTACAATATACCTGAAGTTTCCAAATATCTTGATCACATTTCTGTAATGGCGTACGATTATCATGGTACGTGGGACAAAAAGGTTCTCCCAAATTCTCCGCTTCGGAGCAACGATGGATTAAGTGTGGTAAGAATAAAATTTGTACTCGAAGGTGAGCTTTTTAAAATCGCAGCATGATTTTTTCGAATGAGAGTAATCAAAGATACATCATGTATTTGCATTACCAAACCCGTTATTCTAAAAATCGCTGAATATATTCATTATTATTTTTAACATTTAGGAAGATAGCGTTACATATTTGCTGCAACGAGGAGCACCAGCCGAAAAACTTGTCTTAGGATTGCCAATGTACGGAAGAACATTCATTCTTACGAAGGAACCCGAAGAATCCAATGTAAATCCAATCGGCCTCCCAGCTTTGATAACTGGATTCAAAGGACCTTATACCGGCCAAGAAGGTTTCATGGGATTTAACGAAGTGCTTAGTTACATATTTTATAAATCTATATCTTATTATATATACTTCTGATGAGAATAAAAAATATATATCTTGAATATGTGTACGTAAATTGTTCTTATATATTTCAGATATGCGAGGCATTGACAAAAGATCCAAAAGACTGGTCGACTGGATGGGATAACGATATTAGCACGGCTTATGCGATTAAGCAGGACCATGTTGTCGTTTACGACAATATCAAAACTATAATGACCAAGGTATTACTTTCTGTGTATGTTTTGTGCAAAATATAATTTCTTATTATGATTAAAATTTCTATTGTGCGATTCAATATTATTCTTGCGTGTCAAACTGCGTATTGAAAATATTAATAAATCATTAGGTGGAGTACGCAAAGAAGAAAAAATTAGCAGGTGTTATGGTATGGAGCATTGACACGGATGATTTCCGAGGTGATTGCTATGGATCCGAATTCCCGATCATGAAAGCCATCAATAAAGTTTTAGCAAACACCACTGCCTTCGTAGCTCCGCCAATAGCTCCGAACGCATCGTCCGTACAATTATTTTCATACATCTCGTTAACATTATCAATCATAATGATTTATCTTACAGTTTAATCAGAATTATATGTATTATTATCTTTAATAAAATTTAATTATTACGTACATATCACGAATGATTATTTTGTTTAAATAAATCAACAAAGAAAATTCGATTGTAGTTAGACTTTTGTTTAGTCAGAGGAAGTGAATATGTGCGTGTATGTATAATAATAACGCTAATATAACTTTATTCTGTCTTCGTGTCTTTTATACTATTTGAAAACGGAGGTCTCTTTCAATCTGTTGTTATATCATACTAATTATAAATTAAAATATTGTTACCTCTAATATATAGTTAAGTCCGTAATATTTGATAAATAAAAGTACATCTAATAAAAGTATATCTACTAAATGTAAGTATATCTACTAAATGTAAAATGTAGTAATGAAACTTAACAAAATTAAATTATAAAATAACGACAGAAATCAATTAAAATTCAAATAAAATATCGAAATTCAATTTCAAAATATCGAAAAGACAATCGATTCTCTAAAGCTGAATGTATACAATGAACGAACAACGAACGAACAGCCAATGCAAATGTTCGGATTCTCATTCGTTGTTTGTCTATCTCTTTTCAACTCAGTAAATTTAATAGAAATAAACAAATAACGAAAATAAATGCAAACCTTAGAATATTTAAATTTACTATTCATTGATTGTTCATTCATTCAGTGTATATTAGAAAGGAACATGAGAGCGGCCAACACAGCGTTTTCAGCGACACCGACTTTCCACACTGGGAAAGCGCGCCATCTGCATTCATTTTGAGAGGGGAATTACGATGCTACATCCACTTTCAGGTTTCGGCGGTAAAACCTGCATGTACTGGCTACTGGGTCCGTGCTACATCCATTTTCAGACGGTTTATGTCCGTGCTACAACCATAATAGCGTACTTGATAAGCACGGTCTCGCACATTGTTACGCGTTTATAACATGAATTAACATGTTAACATGTTAATTCATGTTATAAACGCATAAAAAGAAAAGAATTGACATTGTGTATGATTAATATCATGAAGATCATACGGAGTGTTCGGTGATTAGCTGCCAACCCGAAGTGTGAGGGTAGATTGGGTTGAGACAAACATAAAAGTCCCATACCGTTTTGCAAGATTCGCAATAATTATCGAGTTATTAATGACAGAAATCTGAGGAGTAGGAGCGCACCGACATAGATGATTGGAGAAGCGTTGCGCAGCGGCCGAATGTCCAGAGCGGACGGGATGCTGAATTGAGAAACAGGATGAAGGGAACGGGACGCGTGCAACGATACATCATGCGTCTTCAGACATGTCAAATCGTTTATTATAGAGAAGACTTTGATACGGCAACATGTATTCGAAGATTTAACATTTAATACTTTTATTTTTTCTGCTCCTCCCCCCTCGCCACCGCTCTTTTTAGACTACCGAACATAGTCTGGTATAGAGATGGCAACTGTAGTTGCAGCACGGACATAAACCGCTTGAAAATGGATGTAGCACGGACTTCCACCACATGCAGATTTTATCACCGAGACCTGAAAGTGGATGTACCATCGTAGTTCCCCTCTCTGGTGTATATTCAGCTTGAGAAAGAGAGAATCGAACATCGATACATCTGCCTTGAACATGGCCATTCCGAATCAAAAGTGACAGTGGCAAAAATGGCGTTCTCCAATAAGGATGTGTTACCTCTGTGGCAAAATGGACCGTCGCCTGGTGCATTCTATCATTTCCCAGGTAGCCAGTGTGGCACTGGTGGATTCCAAAAATCACAGTACGTCTTATTCAAATGTAATTCACAAATTTTTTGTGTTTTTGTATATTTACATGCCATAACCTACACAAATGGTGCTCGTGAAACTCGCTTGTCATCTTCTCTTGCACAGTGAAAATCAATGAAAATGAACTGGAAAAGTAATCGAAACTGCATCGAATTAAGCAAATTTACGAAATATAATGTAGAAGAAACTTAATATATGTGTTTTATCTCTTTTAAATTTATATTCAATTTTTTACAGGTCTCCGATAACAACAGGTACATCCGTTGTTGGCATTCAATTCAAAGATGGAGTGATCATTGCAGCTGATATCCTTGGATCTTACGGGTCGCTGGCTCGTTACAGAAATCTAGAACGTATTATGAAAGTTAACGATAATATTATTCTCGGTGCGTCCGGAGATTATGCGGATTTTCAGTGCATCAAGAGTAATATAGAGAAAAAAATGTAAATCTAAAATATTATGGATCCTTACATTTAAAGGCTGCAACAGAAAGTATAACTGTATCACTTAATATTCATGCTTTAATTTTAGTCTGGAAGAACAATGTTTGGATGATGGGTTCAGCTTAAAGCCAAAAGCTTTGCATTGCTGGTTAACACGTGTTATGTATAACAGACGGTCAAACTTTGATCCATTCTGGAATAATTTTGTAATTGCTGGCTTAGAAAATGGAGAGCCGTAAATATCACATATATCTTGTAACTTTTCAAGTATGTATGAATCTTGGTCTATTCATAAATTCTTGCTTTACTTTTTAGATTTTTGGGAACTGTAGATAAACTTGGTACAGCTTATAATGATCCAGTGATCGCAACTGGATATGGTGCTTACATGGCAACACCTATATTGAGAAAAGCTTATGAAGAAAACAGCCAAATGACTAAAGAAGAGGCTATTGAACTCTTATACAAAGTAATGCAGGTCCTCTTTTACAGAGATGCCAGGTCTTTCCCAAAGGTGAGTATATAAAATTAAACACTTATATAAATAATGTAGATCGTATTGTTAATGTTTACTTTTTTAGTATCACATTGGTATAGTCATGAAAGAAAAGGGAGTAGAGATACAAGGACCACAAACTTTAGAGAGTTATTGGGGACCAGCAATCTTGTAAAACTTCTCTTAATTCTTTAAAATAAATTATAATAAAGATATTCATATATGTATAAAACAAAGATATTGAATCAAATTTTTTTGTCAATATATGGCAGTTTGTGACTATCCACTTTTGTGTTTATATAAAATAAAATATAGACAATGGTAATAATAACGCTTTAATGATAATGATAGAAATTTTATAATTTTATAATAGAAATTTTAAATAATAATAGAGAAAATAGAAATTAGTATTTTTTATTTTATTACATTTACATTTTGATCGTGCAATGAACTTCGTTACATACAAGCGCGCGAAATATAATAAGAGTATCTTAATTGATATTTACATTAACAGATGTGACAAAAAAACAAACTAAAATGTTAGTACTTCACATCCATCATCTGTAATTAGAATCGTATGTTCAATTTGTGCCGTCCTGGAATTATCGATGGTGCAAGCCGTCCATCCGTCCTCTAAAATTTCAAGCTGTGTCGTTCCTTGACTTAAAATCGGCTCGATAGTGAACGTCATTCCCGACTGCATTCTCTCAGAATAATCATTTGCTAAGAAACAAAGAACATGCATCACATTCTAGTGTATATGTATTGTTCTAACAATATTGAATAATCAAACTAATATGTAATTAATTAAAATATGCCCGAGAAAGCGGACGTGTGATGTGATTTCAATCGGTAATATTTATACATTAACACGTACCAAAATGATAAATGTCCGGAGCACCGTGAAAATAAGTCCCAATACCATGACCTAGACATGCTGGTATCACGCTCAAGTTATGTTTATTCGCTATTTCTTCTATCACGTTACCTAAAAAGAAATGGATGTTTGACAAAGATATAAACGATAACGGAAACAAAAGTAATGATTCTCAGTTTTGTATACACATTACTACCAATATTGCAGAAACGTTCGTTCGGCTTGCATATTTGTATGGCTTCTTTTAGGCATAATTCTGTGATTGTTATCAGTCGTTTACCTTCAGAATCAACTTCACCTATTTGAAACATATTCGAGCAATCGCCATGATAGCCATTGAGATATACCTACTTAAACAAAAATGTCAAAATAATCTTTAGTAATAATTTGTAGCATTGCCACAGTAGAATAAAGATGGTAAAATATTTGAAATGAGAAAAATAAAGAAAGAGAAAAAGAGAAATATACATATTTACCGTTATATCAACATTGAGAATATCGCCATCTTGCAGAGGTCTATTGTCTGGAATACCATGGCAAGCAACATTGTTAACACTTGTACATATAGACTTAGGGAAACCACGATAATTGAGTGGACTCGGATAAGCTCCATTGCCAATAATCATGTCGTGCACTTGTTTGTCAAGTGCATCAGTTGTAATACCAGGCTAGTATATGCCGATTTCATCTTACATTCAGACTTACAATATATAACATGGTTGTATATCTGAAAGTTACTGATAAACTTTGGGAATATATTTCATAAAGAAATTTTTGTGCAAACAAAAACTACTTAACCTCAAATTACATATCTTACTTTGGTAAATATATAATGCAGAATTCATATGCATTAGTTTAAGTTTGAAATCTATGAATTTCTAATTTTGATTTGTAAAACTTATACACCCAAAGTTGGTTCATATCTTTCGGATATTCTCTATATAATGTTCCAGATTTTGATTCTTTAATTAATTAATAGTTGATAAAAACAGGTAGTGCAAACCTAGAACATCCTATACAATGCATATAAAATATAATTCACCTTAATTAATGTATTAACTTGACGCAAAATATAACTAGCAAGTTTACAGCTGTTCCTCATACATTCTATTTGGTACATATCCTTGATTTCAGATATTTCTGGTCCATTATCAGGTATCGATGTTTGACTATAAGATGGCTGAGGTATATATGCAGGTACATCATTCTTTCCAGAAACTAACCATGGTCTAACAATGTCATATTTGCCGAAAGAATTATGGCCAAAACTATATGTCATTACATTATCAATCTAGAACAAACATTCTCCATTAACAATCCTGTAACAAATATATCGAAGTTGCACTCAAATTTTGAAAGGAAAAGATTGATAAGAAATGGAAATATCAAATTATATGAAATATATAGAAAAATATACTTTTGACAAAGTTTTGAAAAAGTTCAAAAAACATGTTTTAAAAGACTGCGCCGTTTGAATGATGCTTTTGGTCGACCACATGCTCCACGTATTATATTTATAAGATAACTTATCGTAATAACAGAAGACTAATTTAGTAGAGATTAATTTAGCTTGATATATAGCTTCCTATTTTGGTGTTTTTATAAGCCAGCACTGTACACAAACGATCTTATACATCAAATCTGTCTCCATCACACTTTCTATCTACACTTCCTACACTTTCGTTTCTTTTCTGTTTTGAAGACAGCATACATATACATGCATGTAAAGTGATGGAATTATTAGATAATATTTCTTTTCTACATGTTCTGCAATTCTCTTCAAAAGAAATAGATAAATATATTCAGCCTTAAAAGAGAATAAAATAGAAGAATTGATTATGAAGTACACAAAATGTATTGGGTGAGTGCAAAAGTTCGTGCGGAGTTTCAATAGATGGAGTTATAAGCGTCGTAAAGTGTTGTCATTAATACTTCCATCTACATATTATATAACGTTGGAAAGGTGACGTCTTCAGCTGTTATTAAAAAAAAATCATTTGTTTTCATACAAACTGCTTCGAGAAATATCACTTTAAAAATGAGTATCGATAAAGTGCATTTACGGCATGTTATGCTTTACGAGTTTCGGAAGGGAATAAACGTTGCCGCAGCCGTAAAAAACATTCAGGATGTTTATCAGGAAGCACCAGCTAAACGAACTGTGGAAAAATGGTTTGCTAAATTTCGGCGCGGAGAATTTAACCTTGAAGACGAGCCACGCTCTGGTCGACCTTCTGACATTGATGACGATGTTTTGCGTACTTTAGTGCTCAATAATCCGCGAATTTCAACAGAAGAAGTTGCTACAGCACTAAACGTTGACCGATCAACCGCTTTTCGGCATTTAAAAAAGATGGGATTCGATTTGAAGCTCGATATATGGGTGCCCCATTTGCTGACCGAGAAGAACAAAATCAAGCGAATTTCTGCGACAACGCCAGACCACACGTTTCGAAAAAGACGCTGCGCAAACTGAAGAGCCTGAAATGGGATGTCTTAACGCATCCACCGTATTCTCCTGATATCGCACCATCTGACTATCACTTGTTCCGGTCATTGCAAAATTATTTAAATGGAAAAAAACTTTGACTCTTTGAAGGCCTTAAAAAACGGCGTCTCTTCGTTCTTCGAATCTAAACCGCGCAGTTTTTATGATCGAGGCATCCGTATGCTGCCAGAACGTTGGGAAAAGATTATAGAAAACGATGGAGAATATATTATTGATTGAATAAAGATTTTTGTTTGCCTAATCATTGTGTGACTTTTACTCACAAACTCCGCACGAACTTTTGCACTCACCCAATACATTATGAAGGAGCGATATCATCTCGATTATTTTGATCGATTATTTTTATCTTATAAAATCGATTATTATATGGTTTCTCACTTTGATTATTCCTTAATTATTCACCTTGCTTATAGATAATAGTTTTTTGTTCGATTATTTTAGAAACATATTACCTTGAGAAATACATTCGATAATATGTAATCAATAGAATAGCTTTGTGTAACGTAATGTTTTCTTGCTGAAAAACGGAACATAACAAATCAAGTTGAATCGATCCCAAGTTGAATTGATTCAAACCGAAGTCAATCGAAAATGTTATCCTTCTTGCTCATTAAAAAATAACAGGTCTAATGAATACTTACTGATTTGAAAAATATAAACAAATAGCTAAGCAGGCGCTCTCATAATTCCATTGACAAAAAAGAGCAAAAACACTTTTTCTAATCGCCATTGTGAATATTTCACATCAAAGATTGATACGGAATGTTTTTTCAACTCCTAACGACAAAACGGCTGTTAACTCCCACCAGAGAGCATCTAACTCAGCTTGCATCTAGAGCAGCTTGCCTCTTGGTTGATTTGTAAAGGAAAAAAGGTTACAAGATAATTCGGAAAATATACAACAATAAAGAAAATACAATCTATTATTATACAAATACATTATTATATTTTAATATTATAATTTATATATATTACTAATAATTTATTAGTAATATTAAAAAGTAGCAGTATATGTATTTCCATGACAATTTTATTTTCTTTTTTGCAATTGTTTTCGTTTCACTACTTTCTTTTTAGGCTTTACAGGCTTCTTTGTCTGTTTTGCTTTGTCCTTTGTAAACTCTTCATTCTCACCTGAGACTTCAAACTTTTCTTGCACTTCTATTGCTTTTTCTAATATACCACCCTTAAATATTTCATCCGTGGGATTAAGAGCATAAGATTGTTCAGGCTTATTTACTTCTTGTGCCATTTTTTGTTCTATTCTGTTTTTATATTTTCCTGCTGCTTTTTTCGACAACGATTGCCGATACTGAAATTTTATAAATTATAATAAACAATGTTGTGATAAAAGGAATAATTTAGTCATAACTTATTTCTACAATAGAAAATAATTTTACGATACCTTAGCAGGGGAAATATAATGGGGATTATCCCACAAAATATCACCAGTAAAACTTCCAGCAAATATCTTGACAGGATTGAGTACAAATCTTGGCCCAATTTCAGCCAATGCACCATCTTCAGTTAAAATTTGAAAATTTCGGAACCATATTCTATTATCCAGAATACTAAACATGTATACGTGATCATGGAATGGTTGACTTTTTGGATGATGATAAGGTACTCCCAATATTTGCATCAATAACTCCTTCAAGAGATTATAATGTGCATGTTTGACAAAAGATTCATCAAATGAAAGTAATGGTCGAGATCCTTTTAAACAGTTTCCAGTCATCTTCAGTTCTCCCATTGTGTAAACTGTAAAATATTAGATACAATTATTTTCTATCATGCAAATTTCAAATACAGATAGATAGAATACATACTGTTTTCCACAAGGAATTTTACAGTTGGACCATTAGGTACATTAGCGATCCACATATAAAGATCCCGCTTCAGCCGACCTTCAAACAAGATAACTTTATTGCAATTCTTCATCTCGCACATTTCATTTACCACTTGCAAAGTCTTGGTACGTTCCATTTTGCATTCAGGTCGATGATGTGGCATAAGTATTTTCAAGTCTTCCATGAGATGTCGATGCCTGTGATTGATCCCTCGAGTAGCAAATATTAATACTCGTTGCCTGTTGGTCCATTTGGGCTAACGTGTAAACATATACAAAATTATTCTCTAAAAATCTTAAAACCTTATTTTAACAAGATTAGAAAATCACATGCATCCAATTGAATATACCTATAATTATATATAATGACATTAACTTTTATATTTACATTGAAAGTATCAAAACATATAACATTATTAAATTTCATCAAATTTGATAAAACGATTTTTTATTTATATCTACTAGTTTAACTTACCTTTGTAACAGCGGATTCTTCCAATATTTTTTTCGTCGGTACTTGTGCATCATTATTTTCTTCTTGCTTTCGTTTTCTGATTAATTTATGTTTTAACCCCATTATTATTCTTTATAAAACAAATATATGGATGATCAAACGAAAGACAAGATTACGATTATGTACACACGTGTTTCAATAGAGTAAATAGAAACTTAGAAGCGGCCATGCGCATTTTATTCAATACTGCTCTGCAGACCGATGTGCCATCTGGCGTTATAAGATCAAACTAGTTAACTATAATGATAATAAAGCTTCTCAAATGTCCGTCAGTTACCATTTTTACCAGTTTTACCATTGAGACGTATTTTGAATATCAGATTTTAATAAATTTGTACATTTTTTATTTCAAACATTATAACTCAATTACTGGCGAGAGGCATTTCTTTTTAATTTTAAATAATCTTAACTCGATAAAAAACAAATGAATTTTGTTTCATTAGCACAATTAAATAGCATGTTACTCAAAATGATGTAATGAAGACTTCTTGACCAAGTTTGTTCAACAACGAAGTTGTCTCGTCGAAACGATTCTCGTTGATGTTGAGCATCACTATTCATTTTCAGCTGTTGCAATCCGTCGCAACTCACCCTCGCGTGATCGTCAATAATAACTTGCAATGAAATAAAATACAAACGTTTCTCGTTGCCAAAACGATTTGATATTGATACAAATAAATTATCATTTTTTTCGTATACACATTAATCGCTACGTACAGCACATTTGAGTTTTTTTGGCACCACCTTGATCCTGTTGCGAGCGTGAGGGCTTCTCTGTTCGCGAGTCCTGAATCATCGTCGATCGGGATTTTTCATTCTACCGAAGGTGAAGACACGAAATTTCGATGTAACAAATACGCGTTCTCTGGATATAAGGCACATAGTGATACGGCACAATTAACTATGTTTTTTTAACTGATTGGAAACCATCTGCTAGCGAGATGTGGTGCACGAAGATTCTACGAGTGTGCTACGGGAGATATATATGTATACATACATATATATGTGTATGTACGTATACATATGTGTATATGGTGCCATTGAGAGAGAATACACAGCTATCCATAAAAATCTACTTAAACTAAAACTAGCGTACGATTATTACCGTTTTGCGGCTTAACAGTAATTATGCTCACACTTGTCGCGCATTGTAAGATCGTTAAGCGTGAAAATGTGTGATCTATCGTGATTTAGCAACCGCGCAGCTAATTCGAGATATGTCAAAGTATATATATAATATATATAACCTTTTTATATATATATATAACCATCACATGTGTGTCAACAGATTTGTATTTCGATCATAACTACAACTGATTTCGCTCCGCAAGTTTCACATGCGGATTTTAGCATTCTGTATATGTGTGTGTGTATATATATATGTGTGTATGGTTGTCGCAATATGGCAAAGGAGATGCGGAATCGTGTGCGAATTTTCAACGTTAAAAAACAGCATTCGTCAACGGAACAGCGAGAATTCACGGAAACATAGTACACATGTGGTATGAGTAGAACTCTGCCTGGTGTGCCGAGTCATTGAAAACAACCGCGAGATACGGGTGTTCTTTACCACATCGTTTACGCAATGTAGCCGCTACGATCCACGGGTGTGTAACAATCGATAAAATGCAGAATCACATTGATGATTGGAATAAGTGGTGCGAAGCAACGTAAGTTTCACGCGCGACCGCGTTTACATGCAATTCGCGAATGTTCGTGCACTCGTACTCGGGAAGCTACGAATTGTCCAGAAGCGAATCGTCTCCCTCTTCATTTCAGTTTTCACCGTTCGACATGAATCCTTCGGATAAATCTTTCCTCGCGCATACCTCTCCGTCTAAAATTCACCACAAGTGTATTGGTCTAGCCGTAAAAAAGAAATGAAGGAAAAAGGGTGTTATCCACCTCTCATAAAATCTACTCGAAAGTTTACTTCGGCAAAGTAACTTATTCGAAAATCGCTGTAAAAATTTTACACTTGCGCTTGACTTTCTCGCGGTGAGAAGACTTCTCCTGCTTCCTATACCTGTTGTACGTGAAAACCGAATGAATAATAATAACGATTGCAGAAATGTATCTCCTTATACGATTTACAGTTGATACAAGAATGTGAAAATAGTGAACACTTTATCCGCGAAATCGTAAAGTACAATTGGCTTCTAATTATCGTCACGTGATCCTGACTTTATCCATTTTACGACGCGTTTTATAAAGAGATGACTTAATTTTAAAATTTCAAGATGTACTAGATACAAATTTCTCGACCATCTCTCTCTCGCTCTCTTTCTCTTTCTCCCCCTCTCTCTCATCTTTCTACCCTCTCCCCTCTGCATTTCTCTCTCTGTGTCTAAAAACTGTGAAAATATTATTTCACTCTATCGTAAGTCTATTTAATTAAGTACAAAAGATTTTTCGTATTTCGTTAACATTCTCTATCTGTTTCCTTTTTCCACATTTCAGCATAAAGCATATATAAGATATACGCGGATAATTGGTATGTTACATAGACAATATAATGACTCTGCGCGTAGCACACATTCAAATTGTTTCTTTTTTCTTTCCTTTTTTTTCGTATAACTAAGATCTCGTTATTCGAGAGAGAAACCGCTCTCGCATTTCGGACAAATAAATTAGACTATCAAGCGTTCTCTCGATCCTTCATGTTCGCTCACTCGCTCGCTCGCTTGTTCGCGCGTTCCACAATTTGTCTTCCATTCGACATATCGCAGAGAAGAAAAAAAGAGGAAAAAAACTTAACAAACGCTCGAATATTTACATAGACTGGATGCGTAATATGGTGATGATACAACTCGGTTATGTAAAACTACAGCCATTATTGATCAGAGTAAGTCTATACCCTTAAGCCAGTACTGAATGATAATGTTTTGTATGTATCTGCCTCGGTACCTGCGAAACGTATCGCGACCGTCGGCGATGTTATCACGACACGCACACTTGAGCAGTCCATTACTACTGACGTGTTTGTAATCAATCGTGAATTTCGAACACCTACGCCCTGTATAATTAACGCTCTCTACGTTATTAAAGAGTCCGAAAGAAACGAAAGTATCAAAAGCTATGTGCATTTGATTTGTGTACGCGAACGTTAGCGGTCAATTAACTTCTGCACTTGTATATCGTGTGAGAATGTGTAGGTGTGGATGTGTGCACCTCGGGTGTGCGCGTGTTCGTGTAAGGGTGTTTGTGTTGTGTGTGAGTCAAGCTTTCTTTCCGGTGTTTCGTACTGCCGTGCTGTTTTGTAGTATCCCGACAAAAGTAGCATCAAGCCGATTCGCATTAGCTTTTGGTACTCCCCGATCTTCGAGTGACAAAATGTGTCAATTAAGAACGTTTGTCCTGAGACTTCAGAACGCAATCGGGGGTGTTTAGTCGGTGAGGGAGATCTGAGCAAATCCTATTAACGCCTTGTCATCTGGTATTTCGTTTGCTGCGTAGCCGGAATTCTGTAATAAACAAGTGACAACACTTAAACATGTTGGCAACATTTAATAGCAGTTTTCCTTAAGTTTCTTTCGTTACTAGCTTCTACTAGATCAATCTTTATATACTATACGGAACAGAATTACTAATGGTATATTTGTGTTTATTGAATATGAAATTTGACAAAACGCGCAACGCAAACCACGATACTCACCAAGGAAAATGTCACTGTCCGCAACTGTCCCGCGCTCTCTATTAACTTTTTCAGATTCGCCGCTATCACCACGACGTCTTTACCGTCAACTAAACCGGCGGCAACCAATTCTGCCGCGATTCCTTGCGCGGAATCCACTCCAACGGTGAATTCGAACCTAATGTCGTTAAGTTCCCGTCTCTCGTTTCTATAAGAAACAAACACATGAATAAGAGGAACAAGCTGAAACTCGACTGGATGGATGTGAGGATTCGTAATGATGATTCTACGTACCGTAATCGGAGCACCAGATTGATAGGAACATTTTGCTCGGCAGCTTGTATCACGAGTTGACTCGGCGCTAACTTGATTTGACCCTCGTACTCTTCGTTCTCGCCAGCCTCCTCGTCACTGCTGGCTTTCTCGATAGTGTTAACCGGTAATGCTTCCTTGGCGGCTTCCTCGCCGCTCGACGCGCCGCTGTCCTCCTCCTCTGACGACCAAACCCACTCTCCAGTCACCGTCCGGTGCAAGCGACCCGACGTGCCAGGCTGTCTTTTCGATGCCTGCGAAGAAACAGCGCGAGTCTCTCCTTTAATATCTAGTAAGTTATCTGTTTAGCAATCTACAAGATTGCTATCACTGCTGTTCTGCAAATTAAAAAGACGGTCGAGAAAATGTTATAGACACAGGACACTCTTATCTCTAAATTTCTTAAAGTGGAAATTCACTCGAAGCCACAACGAAAATATTGTCATCCGAAATCATAAGACTCGAGCTTAGAACGAATTCTAACTTCACACAAATGGATGTTTCGATTGACAGAGTGAATATGATGCCGAAACCCAGCAGATTCGCTCTTCAATTCCAAGTGAAAGTATTCATTCGACGATTCAGAGTGGAGATTTCTCTGAGAATACTCTGTATGAGTGAAAAGTCACTTGAAATCCAGTGACTAGTCTATCAATTTGTTTCATGAGTGAAATCTAACTTCATGAAATTTAGTATGATCAAGAAATTTAGAGCCCTAAGCTCTAAACCAAGACTCCAAGCAATTTAGAGTTCTAGAATTCTATAAATTTAATTATTCAAAATTCGACTTGCGGAATTTCGTTAGGACTATGCGAATCCAAATGCGTACCTTTTGTACACGCGTTTCTAAACTAGGTCCTATTGCCACTAGCGTCTGTTGCAGATACTTCTTATCTTTGGCCTTCTTGAAGAAGGGATGCTTCAGCAGCTCGGTGGCCGTCGGTCTGAAAGGACAGAAGCCGTTGCTTAATAACAATAATATCTATTTCTTCGGTCCTTCTTCTAAAGAATAAATTATAGTAAAATATTAAAATACTTGCAACTACCGCAATGCTCAACTATTTTTATTTCTTTATTATTCTATTTTGATTTTTAAGTCCATATACTGCGATCAGCAGCTTCCGTTTAGCAAAATATAACATACAAATTCTGCGTTTGCTGTGATTGCTCTAACTCTTCCGGTAAACGATGAACAGAAGTAGGAATATGAGAGTGTGCGGTTGGATTTACCTCTTAGTAGGATCCTTTTGTAAACAGTCGACGATCATTTTCCGGAATGTTTTCCCGTATGCCTTGTACTGATCTTTATCGTCCGCGGCGGTGTCCAGGGTTGGCGGATCGTTCTGCAACGTCAACATTAGGACCTTCATCGGCGGATACTTGTGATACGGAGCTGTGCCACTGGCCATCTCGATAGCCGTGATTCCAAGTGACCATATGTCGGCCTTGAAATCATAGCCATGGTCCTGCACAAACAGAAACGCATATCGTAATTGATTTTACAGTGTACACATGACGAAAGGATTGTCAATAGTAATAACAATAATAATAATGATAATAATAATCTCATGAGATCGTGCTCGTGAAGGTCTCACATGCTTGGCCAGAATCTGCTAAACGCGATTCCCAGTTGCAGTCTCGCACGCAGTCGGTCGTTATCGGGAAATATTTTCTGTTTAATGGACTTTTTGCAGAGTTTGGAACGATTTTTCTGTCGATACAGTGAACTATATTTTCATGATGCGCCTATGTTTAAAAAACTACACTAGGAAAAGAAATTTAGTATCTCTAACAAAACTGTTTAGTTGAGGCATTTTTTAATAGCAACCAAATATCTTGTTTTATATAACAAAATATTTAGTTGTCTCAACTAAATATATTTTTCTGCTTTGTTCTCTGGACCAAATGATTTTGCTCTTAGACTTTATATATAAAAATTAAGCATTTTAGTTGTTTTATCCATAAAAATTACATAATAACGAAATATTATTTTACATAAACTAAAATAATGCTCAATGGATACTATTTTATCTTTCCGTGCACTAAAATTTAGATTTTATATATTAAGAAAAAATTATAGTGTTTTTAACAAAATTCATACAGTTAAAGCTTTTTGGTTGCTATAACAAAAGTATTACGTTATACGAACAAACCGTAATCAAACAAGATATTTGTTTACAGGAACTAAACAGTTCTGTTGGGTATATTTTAACCAAATTATTTTGTTGTTAGAACAAAATTTTGGTTCACGCAACAATATATTTTTCCTAGTGTAGAAGACACTTCTCGTTCTAATTCATATAATGTGTAATAAAGTTCCAGCAGTTCCGTGCGCCTAAAATTGCTTGCGTGAAGACGTGTGTGCACAGTCAACGTGTGCAGTTAAACGAGATTTTCTCGACTGTGAGTATGAAAGTGTGTAAAACGATTAGATACGCAGACACAAAAGTACAGAACGAAATGTCGGACAATAACGCACATAACGTATCGTTCTGATATCCGACTATCCGTATATGCGAGAATCGATTCCGATTTAAAAACTTGAAACCGCATTGTTTAAATGATTCTGATAATTTAAATTATCCGAATCCAAGTTTAGGCCATAAGAAAATATTAAGATTCAAATTGGAATTAAAAAAAAAGTAGAACACATAAATTTAATATAATAAAATTACCCGAAATAATTATTCTATAATAGAATTATTCTTCAAATACATAAAAAAGCACAATTGTCTCAGATTAAGTCATTAAATTACAGTTACAAAATATTGACCTATTGATTTTTGAGAGGAAACATGATTGATCAAGATGCAAGACATAAGCTGCACATACCACCGAGAAATGTAAGGAAAGCGGGCTTATTTCATATTGTGCTGTATAAGCATAATGCCGGGTTCGGTGATCTTATTAATCATATTTGTTGACAGGCAAAATCGTATCTTTTTTGCTCGCTTATAGATTATTTTATCAACAAATTACTGCGATGTCAATCAGTTACTGATGCGTGATTTGTAACTTATTATAAAAAACCCAAGTTATAATTAAAAAATATAATTTTAAATATAATTTTTTCCCTCTTGGATCTTTATAACTTAATTTTTATTATAATTTCTTAGGAACTCAAGAAATAGAAACTCTCTATAGTCACTCATCTTGTGCGCTAATCGATATTCCCGTATAAATAAATAAATAAGATTACTGCAAATGTGCTTGCTTGGCTGATCCCGCTGCGAATTTAAATCCAGATTTGACATTTCAACCTAATTTGAAAAATTCAAATCCCCGGACGACCGGAATTTCAAACATCTCACTTATCTGAATAATCGGGCACTGGGATACGTTCGAGTTTAAACGAATATCAAAGACCTAATGAACGAACGTCGTCGAAGTGATAAATCGCCCGCGGCGGCACGCCGCATTGTGATCGCAATGTTTCTTCAGCGTGGTTTTCTATGCGACTACTTGCATATAACATGCCTAACACACGGATCGTGTCATGCTCAACAAATGACATGATTGCTAACTCAAATTAATTCTTGCCTTAACAAGGTGATAAAAGCATTTCCTCGTGTCGCACGCAACAGCGAAACCGCAGCACGAATGCGAGACGCACGCCGTGGTGTCGTCAGTCGACGATAGCAGAAGCGGTATTTTACACGCGATTTTGTCGATCCTGGCGCACGCACGCATTTCCCGTCTTTGCCGGGGCAAAGTGTCCGCGTGTTACACCGACAAATGCAAACACAAGTAAACGTAGGCAGACACAGAAAACGCAGGCTAAGAAGTCGTAGTGTTACTTTCCTCTCTCACCTGCTCCATGACCTCGGGCGCCATCCAACACGGCGTACCGACGAAGGTGTGCCGCACCTTTTGTCTGCTGAGGTCGCGGCCGGTCGCGAGCCACGCGCTGACACCGAAGTCGGCGATCTGCACCGTGCCATCCTCGCCTAGTAGGATATTACCCGCTTTTATGTCCCTAATATTATTCTGCCGTTAAAATTCGTCTATACACGTAGTAAATAAAATAGTGTAAGTTTGCTTATCTCAGCGCATTCAAAGTCGGTCACGAAATCGCCCGTCTCTCAAGGCTGGTCACGAGTTTTCTCCTGCAATATGCAGCGAATACTGTTAACATCGAGTTCGTTTGTAATGAGAAACGCAAACGAGGAAAACTCGTGATACGACCGACTGCGTTTGAGTTTTGAGAAACGTGAGATCTCGTGAGACCGATCGCTTATATATCAATAATATAATAATCTGAGGGCTGTTCCAGCCGGAAAATAAATGAGGAGAACATGTGGAGAGATTGTGGAGTGTCACACGAAGAAAAGTAGATCGCGATGATTCGGAAGACAAAATGACGTTGGATTACCTATGAATCTGCCCATTGCTGTGAAAATACTCGAGCCCTTTGAGGACTTCTCGAAGCACAGTGGCTATGGTGGCCTCGTCGAACACTCCGTGCTTGCAATTGGTAGTCCTGGTCTTATGCTTGATGATATCCAGCAGGGATCCACCCTCCAACAATCTCAGAACCAGCCAGAGCTCCTCTTTCACCACAAACGACGTGTAGTACGTCACCACGTTCTCGTGATTGCAAGAAGACATCGCCTGTATCTCTTTCTAGATTCCCCCGCATAAAGAGAACGTCTTGATCAGTAATAATAATAATATCCTTCGCTCACTTCCCGATACATTCTACATTGATGGATCAATACGTTAAATTAGTTTGATCAGTATTAAGGGGAGATACGCAGGCGTGCAAATTTTCCATGAAACAACATTTGTGAATTCACATTTTATCAAGGAACAGATAGTCACGCTACATAATATAAAACGTTATATCCTGTTGGATAAGATAAACATTATAATTGATAAGAACATCCAATAGGATAATCCAATGAATCATACAATACGTGAAAGTTTTATCAAGAGATGTATTGATCTGTCGTTGCGCGAAATCCAATGTCAAGATGACTATAAAAAAGGGAGATAGAATGAGAGAGAGAGAGAGAGAGAGAGAGAGAGAGAGAGAGAGAGAGAGAGAGAGAGAGAGAGAGAAAGAGAGAAAGAAACTCACCAGCAGCTCGTCCATGTTCGTGTTCCATTTTTCTAGATTTATTCTCTTGATCGCGCATTTCTCTTGTCGTGGTATGCAAAATGCTGCGTGGACTACAGCGGTCGCTCCAACCCCTTGAATTTAACGGAAACATCGACAGAATTAGCATCGCAAGTCTCGCTAAAAAGCTTCAAAGTTTGAAGAATATCTAATTGTGAGCGGAGAAACAAAGGAGATAGGCAAATCTACCGCTCGATACAACGCCATGTATTGAGACTCCAGAGATGCTCGGTTAAAATGCGGTAAAAAATGGAACACAAAGAACCGGGACACTGATATATGCTTTAACTCTACTAACGACACTTAAGCAGCCAACGTTCTTAAAAATCTTCGTTCTTAAACACACGACCGGCGCACCATTCTGCGGACTCATAATACTACACTAGAACATTATCCATTTTTCTAACACTGGATTATGTATTTGTTTCACTCAAAAAGCAAAAATTGCACCTTAGTTCAATCGAAGAAGACAAATCTGAAAAATCATTCTTCTCAGAATAATCTCCATTTACTCTAATTATAATATTATTTTACTCTTTGCATATAGAAAAAAAATTTAATCGAGCGAACGTGATAATGTCCAAATCAAATATATTTTGGTCGAGAGAATAGAATTTTTATTTCTTATTAACAAAATTTGGTTCTAAGAACCAAAAATTCTTTCTTCAACGTCAATATATTCGGTTCGTTTATCATCACATTAATTCAATTAGTCTTTTTCCTCCGTGCAGTAACATCGGAAAGAGATATATTTTCCCAAGTATCACGCGTATTCTAGTAAAATATTAAATTCGAAAATTCAAAAATTATACCGCGAACTCGATTCAATCTAGCGAATCAATTTATTTCCGCTTCTTCTGAAGATATTGTTTGTTACATACGTAAGTATACATATAAAAGTAAGACTAAACTCGTATTTCAAACTCTCTTTTATCGACGAATGTTCAGAATACCTGTCTAAAACCAACAAATCATTAACAAGAATGGAAAATAAAAAGAAAAGAGAGCAAACTCATCGCCCGCTAAAAATAACATCCACATATTTACTAATTTTCATGCGAGAAATCTCCAGCTCGAGCCAACACGTAACACAAATTTTCGCTCGAACTCAGATCTGCTATCGGCCGACAATTTCGCGCGACACGGCTACCACGGTAGTTCCCTCCGGAGGGCCCCCGACCTGAGCATACAGATACGTCCCTGATAGGCGCACACCGCACCGTCCTCCGGTGCAGGTTAACTAGGTTAGGGCAGAACATATACCGTCGCGCGGCACGGAGTGCTTCGCGGTGACAGTGCGAATGAGACAACAGCCGATGGAACAGCTGTGTCATCTCGTTTTTAAAACGTCACGACGATCGAGACATCGTCGCACAGCATCGCACCGTTTCCACGCACGCACATCAACACGAGCAACGCGACCGACAAACCGTTCGCGTCATCGACGTCGTTCTCGTCCTTGTCATTCTCGTCCCTGTCCCTGTTCTCATCGCCGTCACAGTCATCGTCACCGTACCGTGACGTTCCGTTATCTCGACAGACGAGCTGCTGCCGCTCGTCCGTCTCCCCGAGTTGGACGTCGGTCGGCCGGTGCGCGTCCCCGGTCGGACGGCCGACCGGAACGGCAGCGCAACTTCCCGATCGACCGGCGCATTCGTTCAAATGTCGAATAACCCGGCCGGGCGATCGGTACTCACCGATAACCTCCTTCAGTTCGTAGTCGTCCTTAGTATTCGGCCAGCCCTGCACGACCGTCGAGGAGCTCGCGGACGCCATTTTGCTGGCCAGTGCCGGGCCGAGGCGTGCGTGCTTGGCGGCTGCTCGGGCGCCCCGCGACAGCGACAACGACAACGAGGCTGCCCGCGCGCCGCAGTCACGTGTCGAGACAGCGGTCGCGACGGGGGCGCTGGTGGTGGGGGTGAGGTGTGCACGAGGAGCGTAGCGATCGTTCGCTGCGGCGACGGTGACGGTGGTGGCGGCGGCGGCGGCGGCGGCGGCGGCAGGTGCGCCTCGTCTGTCGTTCCGCGGGCTGGAGCTCGGTGTTGTTGCGGTCAACGATGCTGCTAGCACCGCCGGCACCGGCACCTTTGGCGGCGTAGACGAGCGAAATGATCTCTGTCGAAACACACCCGGCGAGCACGACGGCAACACGTCCGGCGAGATTTTTCTGAAAAACGAGAAAATATGAGAAATATCACGAGTAACGATTGGAATTGTTGGATTGTTGGATAGAGAAGAGTTGCGCTTAAAAACGCAAAAACGCGTCGAATGGTCTGTTCTTTTTAGCTGCGCTATTGAAAACTGGTGTAGTAAGTTAAAGTGAGAAAAAATATAGTTGTCTCATTATAACTTATTGTACTAGTTCCGCAGTGCAGCTAAAAAGAATAGACCAATTACCCGCATCGGTGTCCTCACGTGTTTCGACCTTTCGGCTGGGTCTACTGTAGGTATATTGTAGTAAGCCTCAAGCCGTAAGAAATTGAGCTACCACAGTCGAATATGAGAAGAATAATCAAGAATCATATGGTTAGTCAATGTCTTACGACTTAAAACTTACTACATCTATTAGAGAGACCCTCCTAGTCTTACGCATCGCGATGGCAATCGCATCACTTTTTCCAGGAACGGAAACGTAAAAAGAGAAAAGTTTCACATTAACCTGACGACTTTAATGATCCGGCAATGGAAATGAGAAATTTCTCGCTTTTCATATTTCCGCTTCTAACAAGAAGTTGTATGATTGTTGCGCTGCGTAGTAATCGTATAAGTTTCTGCTAAGAGCAAATGTAAAAAGGGAAAAGTTTCAATTCAACAGATTTAGCAATTATGTGACTTTTCGAACACAATAGAAATGTGAAACTCCTCACTTTTCACGTTTCCACTTATGCTAAAGTAGACATTTTCGAACTTGAAAGCATTTGAAAACGTTCACTTCTCACGCGTTCATGCTGCAGAATGAAAGATTCATTTTTAAGTTGATGAATTAATTGAATTATTATCGATCGCACTAATGAAGATTGGTTAATTTGTATTATTTATTTGCCAGTTATTTTGATCAATTACAATTTTAATCGACTAATGCCCAATACTGATGCAAACTGGTGTGTCCGATTGAACCGGATTGAACAATCGTCGAAGATTTAAATCGAAAAAGTCGATGTAAGTTTCGCGAAGAAGATAGAAGGAATAGATTGTTTAAGAATTCATGGAAACTCAGCTCGGTTCACTTGTATGTCCAACACTTCGGTTATTATGATAAATGTCAAAGGTCGTGTACAGGGTGTGTCCCACAATTCGCGCCCTTAATTTCGACCACGAGCATTCTGACCGATCTGGAGTCGATCTCTTCAAATGACTGTTTTAATTCGGGTGTACAAAACGTATACAACATAGCGAGAGGTCGACAGAGTCTCGATTCGAACCCTGATTACAAAGATGTTAAACAAACAATGTTGAGAGTACAGTCAGCTTAAGAAAAGTCGCAATATCTTCATCTCAATGAATTTTAAAACGCGTACAGTATACAATAAGAAACTTTATCTTTTGACAATTACCAAAAAACAATTTTTTTCTATTGAAAAGCGAATGCGTTCTGAAATTCATTAAGGTAAAAGTTACAATCTTCCCCCCCTGACTTTACAATATCAAAGAGAGAAAGCTTACAGTGTTTTCGCTGAGCTCGAGAATTTCGCTGAGAAACGACCAATTCCAGATTCCTCGTAAAGAGGAATCTCACGTGACCAACGCGGAGGAGGCATGTGCGTTGGAGTCTCTCTTCGAGAAAAAAAAATTATCGACAGACGAAGACACGCTTATCAAGCGCCCCGTTGAAGCACAGCCTCGTCAAAGAGAGAAGCGCGTTCGCCGATAACCGTTCCGCGGTCCGCCTCGATTCATTGAGACGATTGATGTTTCTCGGAGAAACAGAGAGCGATCCTCGGGGAGCAATGGTCGGCCCATATGTATATACATCGCAACACAACAAATTAATCATACGGCCATTCGTCATATTCCCGACACGATCGTGCCGGCGCTCACAAGGCGACGCACCGAATTATTAAACAGCGCGAACGAAACATTGTCGTTGTCGTCGTCATCATCATCGTTGGCCGTCGATCACTTTAATTGGTTGGAAAAATAAAACGGCTTCACAGCCAACCCGTCGAGATTCATAATGGAAGATGAAGCTCCGCAATTACCAGACTCTCTCTCTCTCTCTCTCTCTCTCTCTTTCTTTGTTAAAACCTTTCTTGATAACAATATTACTCGGACATAGTTACGTAATCAACGCTAGAAACCAGTTTTTTCCCCCACGGGCGTTTTAGAAGGATGCTGTAATACATCAACGTTCGCTCCGTTGTTACTACGCACGGTATAGTCACCGATTTACGATCTAACTTAAATATTCTGTTAGCAGATACCGAGTTTCCATGTATTTTTATCTAATTGAGCTAGGTATACCTTGCAATTTGAAATTGAAAGTTTCGGAAATGACGATAGACTCGTCTTCGCTCAATATGTAATTGATAATGACAACAGATTGTGTCTGTGTTCCAAAAACTCAAGAGCTGATCTTAAAGATCTTAAAAATCTACTCTTGTCCAAAATTTTGAAGACCCGACCTTAGAAACTGAAACTTAAAGATCGAATTTCACGAGAAAAAGAAAAAAGTGTGAATAAACAAAAAGAAAAGAATTTCCCTCAGTAATATTTTAAAAATAGATAGTAATTTTTAAAATTTTTTAAATAGATAGTAGTGTCTTAAAAATAGATGACACAATCGATGAATGAATCTTTTGTACCGAGACAAAAATAACTTTCATATGAGGAGAGATTATTTTCCCTTTACGACGAACTCTTCCTAAGAGCAATCAAATCTTATAGCCAAAATCGTCTTAAATTTATTTTTAGAGATGCTGCACGTTTTGCCGGCTATATGAAACATCTGAAGATAAATCGATGTTAAATATAAGATCTGATTATGAAAATATCGTCCTAAGATATTATCGAAACTTCCGGCAAGCCGATATCGTAGTCGGGCTGGTTTCATTTACAGCCGGACAACCCGATGAACAGATATAATTGAATTAAGCAAATTCGCGCTCATATCGATACGACGAATCGCGTAATCGACTGTGATCCCGCGACTACTAACAATCGCGCGGTAGCGCGCGATTAGAGAATTCGATTAGAGTCGCGTACACGCAGATGCGATACCGCGCCCGTATTATCGCCGCTCTTTATTTGCACAGGGATCTGCCGATGACCTTTCTCGCTCGAGAGCGACAGGTGCTTTCCCCGTGTCTGACAACCGGTGCGCGTCATTCGTACCGATATCATCGGTATATAAAATCGACCACCCGCACTTACAGCTCCGATTCGTATTCCCAGTTATCGCGCACTCTGATTCTCACAACGAGTTGACGGATCTTTGAAAACGCGCGCCGCACCGCCAACACCCTCCGTGAGTTGAGCCGTGGACCCGCGATCATGTTCGGGAAGACGAATATCCCCATAGTAAGTCTTGATCGTAGCGATCATTTCAGTGTACTAGTACAGTGTACTTTTATGTATTTGCAAGCAACGCGTTTTCCCCGTTTGGGCGCGGAATTTCACGTTGAAATTTGACGTTCATGCAATGAGCAAGAGATAAATATTACAAGTCACGCAACGTTCTCGTATGCAACAGTGAAATTAGATCTATAAATATTACATTGTTTATGCTGTCTCTCTGAATTCTCATTATTAATTTACACACGTTTACTTACACACAGTGAGATAATCGTTTCACACTCACCTCTGTGAAATTCGCTTCGAAGCAACTGATGAATCGCTCGATCGAAAGAGAGATAAAGAGAGAGAGAGAGAGAGAGAGAGAGAGAGAGAGAGAGAGAGAGAGAGAGAGAGAGAGAGAGAGAGAAAGAGAGCAGAAATCGTGGAATAGACACACTCGCGTTACTCTCTACCTGCTAGATCGTCTCTTGTTGCGACGTTCGCGCAGACGAAACTTGTGCTGAATTTTCTGGCGCGGCGGATATATAAACCAAATTTCGAAGTGGGTCATGCGGGAGCAATCACGTGTGTCTGATTTCCGACGTCGCGTACGCGGCCGGTCAGTCAATCACTCAGTCACTCACCTACTTCTGCCGAGCACCAGAGTCGTCAGAAATCTGCTGTCCTGAAACTTCAGTTGCTCCTCCTCCGTCGATATAGGCGCCGGAGAGCCCAAGGCGCCCGATTTCCGTTGCCCCATGTTGCCTACGGTCCTGCAAACGGACACACGCGCACGTTAGACGGGTTGCATAATGTTAGGATTCGTCTAATCGGAAAAACTTGACAGAGGCTGTAAATGTCGTGTCTCTAAACGCTTCTGCTACTAAGACGCGCAAATTGTATATGTATATGCGTGTGAAAAGTTTTTTTAACACATTTTATGTGCATGAGACAGTTAAAAAAGGGAAAGGAACATCTTTCAATTGTAAAATAATTGAAGCAATCTAAAATAATAACAATGTGTAAATATAATCAATTCCTCTTTAGTTGTGCTGCGATAGTACAAAAAAAGTTTATCAAGAGCTCGTAACACTCCATCTAGCTAATTGAAGTTATTTTTATTTGATATTTACAGCACTTGACTTTTGCATCAATCTTTCGAGTACACGAAGTTCGAAACTATGATCAAAGGATTTTTGCGAGTTAAGTCTTGATATTGAAAATGATACTCTCTAACTTTATATTGTTCAACTTTACATTTCTTCGCAAACTACAAATGTAACAGTGAATATTTTATAGCCCAACGTAAAATTGGTCTAAAATAAAATATTTAGTCTAACAAAATTATCATTCGACGCTCAACGTTTGAATTTGCTAGAATATGTCGAACCGCTCTCATCATTAACAAATATTCTGTGTAGTATAATTTTTCTAACATAGAATTTGCACATCGAATATTAAATAATTCTACAAATATCCTCGATCTATTCTTTAAAAATTTAACAACATTTCACGAACGAGATCACGAATGAGCGCTCGCTCATTCGTTCGAGCGAACATACACGAGCGAACAATTCCACACGGAGGTGCAGAGTCTAGCGCAAAAGGATCCTAAACTGGACTTGATTTTCAGTGTACACGGGAGATGCGAAGGATTATTCGCATCGAAACGATACGAGTGAGAAGGCCCCGGTGCTTCGAGCGCGTGGAATATTTCTAAATTGGCGGTGTCGATTGTCACCTAAATATCTAGATAGAATAATTGGGCCTGGATTGGCCTTACCGGCTATTTTTAGCCAATGCGAAGGGGTAGACTCCATCCCGCCGGCTAAAAATAATCCTATGGCGAACGGACTGACATACGCTCAGGTCCTGCTCCCTTCTGACGGTTTGTATCTCATTGGATAGGTTTGAACGTTTGTCTTACAGAAAGAACTTGTACGAATCATCTTATTATGAAAAGAGATTCAGCTGAAAACACATAATTCAGACCTTACCAAACGAGATAAGAGATGCACTCGATATGCGAACAGTCATCGGTATAATCAGAAATTTGACTCTACGATGACATTTCTTAAAATCGCAGCTAGACTCTCTAAATTTCTTGAAATGAAATCTCACTTGAAACATGCAAAAATTCAATCGACGCAATGTTGCAAATACTACTCGAATTTGCAAGAGAGTGAATGTTTCACTCAAGCTTAGAACAGATTCTGGCTCTATATGAGCGAAGGCTTCAATCATTTGCAATTAATTTGTACCTATAAACCAGTGAAAAACCAGATTCAATCTTCGATATTAAGCAAAAATATTCACTTGACGATTCAGACCTTCAAAGATCGATTTTTTCGCGAAAAGAGTGTTCTCTGTAAACTTTTCTAAAAAATAGATCAAAGATGTTTTTAGAAATTATTTAATATTCGATACTTAAATACTCTGTTGGAAAAATTGCTTTCAACAGAAAAAATATCCGTACACAAAAAAATAAATATTTCAAGCAAATGTTATTTTTTGTTTGAAATATTTCATAAATTTATATATTTGCAAATCCATCATATAAGTTTATCACAAGCATCAAATTTACTCATCAGCATCAAAATATAATCTGAATCCTGGCATACTTAGTCAGTCAAGAATATTAAATTAAAACAGGAATATCATATTGAAATAAAAATTAAAATTACTTCCTAAATACTCGTATAGTATAAATTTTATATTTTTAAGAAGAGAATAAATTCTTTTTTGAAATATATGATAATAAACTTTCCTAAACTTTGTAAGAAATATATTTTAAGCAAATATTCTTTGCTGAAAATAACTATTATTTGAAAGAAAAAAGTATACTATCTACTAAGTAATCGTTTGTCTCAACAGTAGATCGATAATTTTCAACGTTGACAATGTTGAAGAGTTGATTATGCACGAAAGAAATACTTAAATTCGAGAAATTCCTCCATTTGCTCTGCTTTCCGAGTGCAATTTCACAGCAAGACTTCTCGAGAGGAGCTAACGGAGCATTAAAAACGACGCAGTTTCACCTCTTTTTGCGATCACTCGGCAACTTCGAATCGCGGATTTGCGAATCCTCTTGGCGAAAATGACCGAAGCACATATAACATGACGCGTAATATACGTAGTAACCGATCGAAGCTCATTGACAAGAATCTCTTTCCTCGTTGCCTAACATCACCTGATTACGATTAACAGATCTATAAAGATCCTATGCCAAACTGCTGGTCTAATTACATTCTCAAACACGGACAGTGCTCGCGCGAAAATGACACCTGCGATGTGTAAGAATACTCCACCGATACCTTATTTTAGCACGTACTTGTTAACACCTCGTCCGCGGCTCGCTTCGACTTCATATCACGCGCTCGAAGGGCTCGACCGAATTAAATCTCGCGTTCCCAAATAATACCGAAATATCTACGAAGATCTATAACGAAGAGTTCACGTTCTTCGCTATTTGTCTTGTGGAAATAGTTGGATAGCAATAATACTTTTGAGAAAATAACTAGAAAGAAAAGTAATAAGCAGGAAATAATAAAAATATATAATAATGATAAGAAGAACAATACGAGCCGATCGAGAGTTCAATTTGCTTACAATACGCAGATACAAATCGATAAGTCATCAATTGGAACATGACGACCATTTTTTGTGGTGATCCTCAGTCAAAGTTCGAAAGATAATTTCCTCAGTCGAAAGATAATCAATTTCGATGGGTACATTTTAAATCTAAGTATGTTATTTTGGCTGCAGCGCTTTTTACACGTTTCATACGTTAAATAACATATTTAACATATTTAAGCGTATCAAATTGTAATTTAATAAGCTCGCATTAAATTATAATATAATATACTGAAATGCGTTAAATGTATGAAATGCATGATTTAAAACGTTACGAAATGGTATAAAAAGAGCTTCACTCAAATTACACTAATATGTAAAAAAATAACACATTGAATTTGCAATGTACCTTCCCGAGATTAGTATATAAAAATAATAATAAAATAACTTAATAAGGGAATATAACATTGTTATAATAGAATAATAGAAAACTTTTTTTCTTCTTTTTCTTCTTCTTCTTCTCGAATAACTATTCTGGTATGTGTTCTTATGTACTTATTAATTAAGCGTGTCAGCTGAGTCAGCTTGTTCTCTCCTTTTCTCTCTCTTTGTTTCACGGGAGAGCCGTGGAGAAGCCAAATTTCCGCAAATGATCCCGGAAGGAAGACGAGACGACGACACTGCCCACTGTCTCACGCGCACTTCGCTCATCGTTGCTCGTCGGCCTGCTGATATTTGGGTTAAAAGTTTAACTCGCCGTCGGGCTAGAACAGCGATTTTAATTCGAGTTTCTGAACCGGGCGTGCCGCGCCGCGTCATTCGTTGCTGCCTACGTTCAGTTTGTGCGCAGCCACGAGAAATACTCTTCAAATTTTCATTCCCTCATTTCCTCCACTTCACTCAGTCGCCAGTGTCACGCGACGCAACGAACGCTTTGTCCATTTATTTGTTCGTTCGTGCGTTCGTTTGTATTCTTTTCGCACGGCGTTCTCTTCCTTTCCGCGAGCCGTCACACCTTCCGTCATCTGGACTGAAGACAAATCCTAAAGTCCTCGTCAGAGACATTTCTTTCATGGACTCCAGAATATGCCTCGATCGCGAATTACGTCTATTAACGGGGAATCATTTTCCGAAATTCATTTTAAGATTAAAATTTAATTTTCAAAAAATTATAGACGTACAAATTTGTCCGTTTCTTATAAAGAGAGATAAGGCTCTGGCAATGAATGACCAGTAAGAATGAGACATCGAGAGAAGAAAATGGTTAATGTCAATAAAATTATAGTCATTTTCAGCATCAACTAGATGTTCCTGTTGTTTTAACAAAAAATAGCAATTATAAGCAATATGCGTATGAAGCTATTATAGTCAACACCGTGACATTTTCTTTTTACTACAAAAATAGTCCTCCATAGTAAACACCAACTAGCATTAATGTCACATCAATATTATAATTTCTCACCCAAAGCAATGTAAGTATATACGTATAACACATGTTATACGTAACAGTTACATTGTCAAGTGGAAAACGGTGACATTGATGTAGTGTTAATGTTAGCTGGTGTTTATTGGATCCTGACTCTAATTCTCTCGCTACGCAATTATAGTTACAAACACTTTTTTTCCAAGATAAGCTAATGAGATTTAAATGATCGGCTCTTATTCTTAGCTTATTGTTCCCGCTTCTATTTCTTATTTTGTAGGAAAAACAGAACTTTCTAACTAAACGAAACTATATTAAGCATTCATGCCAAGTACAAATTAATTTTTTAAAACTCCTCTTTTCTAACGTCTCTTCACCTTTTCGCGACACTTGATAATTCGTCAAGTTCAAGACAGGTGCCAGGAGTGCCCAATAAAAAGCCCGGCACCGTCTGTCGAACACATTCGCATTAGTTCACCGTATTGAAAAGTAGATTGTTGCCAAATATTTACTCGACAACAATATCAGCCAGCGAATCGGCCTCGGTGTATTCTGACGTGTATGTACGACATACGTAGACCAGCACGTCACCAAATGAAATTGATGGATTCCTGCTGAGCGCGGAATTTCTAGGGATACGTGGATTTATTGAATTGACTTTGCATCGATCTTAGTCAGCCGGCGTGGTAGCGCTCGCCAACAATTGAACAAACAAATGTGTCGTCGCGATCGCCGTCTAGCCGGACAGGAATTATGACCGCCGTAACATCGCATCGCTACGTTTCAATTTGCTAACCACAATATAGGTCACCGAGTCCTTGATGACGATCCTTCAGTGAGGTGCATGAAAAAGCGCGCCGGGGATCTGGAAGGTATGGCTCATTGAGCGAAAGCTTCCGTTGTCTCGCCTCTATGACGACGTAATTTAATAAATACGCCCATGTTGATGTACCAATGGAGTTTTAATTTATGGCGATGATAATCGATCACGTGGTCCGCTGTAAGTCGATTATACGGAACAAATATTCTTTCACATGTTTCTTAAAAACGAAAAAAAATTATATTCCCAAACACGCAGGCTTTTAACTCGATTTTCTCCGCGGTGTTCTCCATTTTTGTTGAATATCGGCGTGATTTCTTGTTCCGTGTTTACCGATATGAGGAGATATATTCTGCAATACGAGATATATGCTGTGTAAAAACTGCGGACACATATGTTGTAATATAAATAAAGTAAATGTCCTCTCATTTTCATCAAGAAAAAAAAGAAGATATGTTCTCCAAATACGGGCTTTTAATCCGAACTTCTTCACGATGTTGTTCATCTTCACTGACTGAATGATTTTTTGTTTCTGTGTTCACTGATGTGATATGAGATATATATTGTTTAGATTTTACCGCAATGGACGCATGGACATATGGAGTCGATACTGTGATTTCTCTCTCCTCCTCTCCAAGCAATAAATTATTACAGGAATTTCATTAAATAGATTATAAATACACCAACTGTACATTTAATATTTCACAGATCACAGTTCATATTCATGTAACAATCATTAATTCGCAGACTCTTAATTTCTATAAATAGATCTCCCACATTTACTTTTCTCTCGCGATCGGTGACGATCTTCCTTTTGTGCATAACAAAAACGGTAATAAAAGACAGGTAAGAGTGCGGAAGAAATGAAGACGGTCTGTGAAGAGGAAAGAAGCGAGCGCTCATGGCACTGCAGATAGACAATCGAATTAGGATTTTCGAAGAGTCGAGATTTCGAGTTCCGCTCTTGTTCGAGTCTGCTTAATAACGCTCCTCATCAATGGGAACCTTTACTCGGCCGACCGAGGGTCAATTGCTTATTAACTCAGAGAGCCGTAGCGGCTATTAAACGATTTCATTGTCATTGAAATTGTTTGCAAAAAAGTGAGAACCGCCGCGTTCGCGCTCGCGCGGGGACACATCTCTCTGCTCGCTCGCTCGCTCGATTCTTCGATCATTTCGAAAATCATCGGCGGCTCCTCTGAAGAAGTTGAAGCAGAGGAGACGCATCGCAACGTTCTGTTCATTCGGCCGCACTTTTTCGGCATGTCACACTTCTTCAACGTCGACCTCTCGCGTTCGTCCATCATACGCGGAAACGCAGCGGTTTTGCTTTTGATGCCGATCCACGAAGATTTTAGAATAGACATACTCTCTCGGACACACAACGGCCGGCCTAAGCAACGCCGCATCAGCAGTTATTCGACGCCGTTACTTATGTACTTATGTACCATGTCGACGTTCGATGTGTCATCAGATGTCATATATACATTATAAAATCACTATGTTATCATCGTGTTCGTTACGGAATTATTGTTGACAGGAATATCTTGGGTCCTATATCTTGCGTACACTAGACTATCTCTGCTCCTCTCTCTCTTTCTCACCCTTCGTTCCATATTTTGTACGGACTTATCGTTTCTTTCACAAACATTCAGGTAGATATAATCTTTTCTGAATTTCATCGGCTTCAAACGCGAGACACATTTTCATTTTAATCTTCACTTTTTTCAAATTTCAAACAGATCGAAGCAGCAGGCCGACTTTCTTCGCGAATCCGCGAGCATCGCGATGTTTCGTCTTTTCGTGCGCTAATTAATACATTAGATTTCTTAGCTTTATCAAGCGCTTCTTCGGTCGTACGTGCAATTTGTATTTGTATTGTACGCTGCCCGTCGCGTTGGGAAAAACCGAAAGTTGCCGCGCGATTTCCTCGCATCCGGCTTTGACATTGAACGCGGTCGTCGTGTTAAGCAAATAAAACTTAGAGTTGGCCGCTCGCACTTAGCGCGCCTAAACGTGGCTATCTGATCCTCATGTCACGTTGACATTGAATGCTATCTTGATAGGCAAATAAAACTCGCGAGCGGATGATCACATTTAGCGTTAAACGCGCATCGAGAATGGGAACCTTTCTTTCCGATTTCACCAGCTTTCCTCAGATGTAAACGAGTGCATCAGAGTGCATTCTTTCGTTTGACTAACGTCTTCGACATGCGAGTGACTCGTGCAATCATCATTCTTTCAAATCACCGTAGAGAGATTTGATAGTTTCTAAATTGATGTTAAATATCGCCTGTTAGCATTTTTCCTCTTCGAGGAATGCGTCTACATTTTCAGAGATTTTCTGAAAATATGTCTACATTCATAGGCGTGGTCAAACGTTGTATTTAATGTCCAATAAAACAAAAATCACCATCATTATCATCATCATCATTATTATTATTATTATTGTTATTATAACACTTGAACGATCAAAGCACCGGATTGAATGGCCGCGTTGAACGTTGCATCGGATGTTTTAACGCGACTATTTTCGAGCAACCGAAAGAATCTGTTCGTTAAACTAGGCTGCATTTTCGGGCAAGCTTACTTTTCTTACTTTTCTTTGAAGTGAAACAAATAAACTAGCGTCGAAGACAAAAAGGAATGAAGTTTCAATTCAGCTAAAAGAAGGAAACCGGCTTCGAGAGTTCAATGATCGATTGCGATTTGGACTTTCGTGAACTTTCGTTATACTGGGGGAAACCCGGACAAAACGGAAGGACGCTCTATCGACGAGGCGTGAGTTGGTCACGCTCCTTATCAATCTCTTATCGGTCTTACCTGATGGACGTCGACTTTACAGAGCCATTCGCGTAGAGATCGGCTGCCATAGCATCGGTGTTAGCCCAATGACATTCTGATCGTGGACTCGCCGACGGATGTGCGGGCTTGCGCCGCTGATCGCCTCGATTTCTCCCCTCTTCGTGTCCTCCCGTCAATCTTCCCTCGGTCCTTTCTTCCGTTTTCCGAAGGAATGTATCAGGACCACGTTCCCGGCTCGGGAACGCCTGAATAATCCTGGGAATCACCTGGCGAAGAGAAGAGGCTGCGTGTCACTAATCAATCAATCAATCGTCAACCTTGACCGGGCCCGTTCTCTCACTGCGAACACACCGATCGCCTCGCTCCGAGCACGTTCGTCGTGCCGACATCGTTCCCGTGTAACATTCGTCACGTGCGGCTCGCCCGATGTCAAGGAGAAAACAAGTGTCTTTCTATTTTTCGTGTCGTTTGTAAAACGCCGCAATCCCGTCAGAAACACGAAATGTGACGCGATTTCGACCGAGGAACGAGGGATCGTCGCGCGGGCGCGCGCAGCGAGTGCAATTTCGAGGGAACGACTGTCGCTCCGACGCTGGGCTGGCATTCAGCGGAGACGTAGGATCATCCTGAGCCCGCCATCGACTGAACTATGTATGTCAGACGGGGGCACTGTCAATTGGATAACTACCTACCCCACATTGGCGTGTTGTCGCGTGTGTAATGCGTATCGTTGTGATGCTAAGAGTCGACGTAGCTCGTTTCTCTCTCTCTCTCTCTCTCTCTCTCTCTCTCTCCCTCTCTCCCCCCTCTCCGTCTTTTACGTTGTTTTTTCTGGATCTCTCATTTCGCCTTGCCGAAAAGTTCTCGAGTCGAGCGAATAGCTGGTACATTCGCGACAGGAGCAGAAGGATCTGAGACACGATATTAATAGTAGAAAAAATATTCATATATTTTGTCCTGTTTTTTTCTTTTCCTTTTGCTTTTTGGATAAATTTGTACGAAGTAGGAAAACATCGGTGTATGCTAATTTCACTTGCGCTGTTTGATCGACAGGGCAATTGACACATCGCAAGACTTTCCTTTTTCGCGTAAAATTATCCCAGAGGAAGAAGTGCGTCGATACCTTTGCGGATTCCTCGGCGCTCATTGGTTCTAATGTTACGCGGAATCGAAGGAGCGTACGTTATTCCGTGCGTCGTTCTGTCGTCACTTCGGCAGCATCGCGAATTAACTCGATGACGCGGGGAAGAATAATTTATATCGTACGACACACATATCACGTCAGCTCAATCAGAACCGACCTTGCGAACCGACTAATACCTATCTTCGCGGGAAAGCCGTCGTGTTCCTATTGATAAATTCGTGCGTTCTTATTAATGCGTCATCCGTCATACGAGGCGTAATGATGCATCAATATCCTTCTTCATTGTATTCTCGACGCGTGCGTCGCCTTAAACATTCCGTCGACCTCAGGTTTTCTTCCTGGTCCCCTAGAAGTTTTACAAAATTGCGTTAGAAGCTTAAAAATATAATTAGTAGCGACAAAGTTTACATTAGCTCTTCCTAGCGAGCGAGACGTGCAAATTGTTAAATATATTTTTCGTTCTAATCGTTAAATAAATTTCCTCAGCGAGATCTCTTTGTCTTTCTCTGTGGCGAGGATAAAAAAAATCGAGATTAGAAATAAAGGATCCGCGAGAGAAATTGGAGACGCGTGTCGCGTTTCATCGATATGACGGACCGCGTGAAACCATTTCGCCAGTGTTGCAGTACTCCAAACGAATGATTCATCACAACTCCGTTCCCACTTGCTCTCAGGACCCTCCGTGCGCGATTTACGTATCATCGGGTTTGATGGGTCACTAAAGGCTGCTGACTGAGACCTCCATCGAAGTTTAGGTCCTATCAGTGACGCAACGTGACACTTAAGGGGCATTCACGATTCTGTGTCAGCGGTAAAAGTGATTCGAACGTGCAGCAGTTCGCGACGGCTACTTCCCTTAAGATATCTTGATCCTTGCCGCAAAGTTTATCCCGCTTTAATCACAGAGAACTCGATAGATCGTCCTGGAAAGTTGTTTAAAATTTATTGTAAACATTACCTTGTATAGATTTTTAACGTAGAATTTTATTCGTCACGTTAATCTAAAGAGAGAGGCATTGATCTCAAAGTTTCACTCATCTTCATGCCACCGGCTTAATAACACACGTCATTGTATTTAAATCGTTGACCTTTTTTAACTTTGTAGATCGTGCTGTTCTTCATCATCAACCACGTGTCCTGCAAAAGGCAGAATCTCACTCAGCTGATTAAGGAGAGTTTCAGAGGGGAGCCTCAGCTATATTATTCGTACGATCTACGTAACATACCGGTGGTGAGGGATATCTCTTATCTGCCAGAAGATGATTATGACACGGAGAATGAAGCAAGACAGGACGAGCTGCAACAGCTGGACAGAGATAATAGAAATTTAATGCCCGTTAGTAAACAGTTTTCCACTTTCAGAAATTGATTATTTCGTGTGTAAGAAGATCAGGAACATCCCAGATAGCACGTTTAGAAACGTTTGTTTTGTAAACTGTTATAAAACGTTTCATATATTTAGAAAACTTATGTAAAACCGACACATGCTTTTAGAGCCCAAGAGTCATTTTTACACGTTCGTAGATTGTAAGAATCCAATCTTTAAAATTGGATACTCAATGAGAACTCAACGCCCCGTCGCGCGAGCTCTCGTCAGCTTTTTTCCGATTCTATATGTACTATCCCCTACATCCTTATCTCTTATTCAAGCGTCTATATATGTAATGCGCGACGTCGCGTTATGAGATAATATGATGTCTATATTAATCTTCTCTCTTGTACATAGGAGTACCGTAATCTTTGCGAAATAAAAACAAGAAAAGTGAAAATGGACAATTCCATTTACGAGCATCAGCCGCAGCATTATCACGAGGTCTTCTGCAAAAGCTACTCGTTATCGGACGACGATGGAGGGATAAGGAAACATTCGCAACAGGTAAGTTCATCTCCGCGCAGTGGCGTAAATAAGAAAGGCCGCGTAGCTATCGTGATCTCTCGGCGACAGATCGCGTGAAGTCTTGCACACAATTTTGTATATAATTGTGCAACACATGAAATAATGATCTATTATTTTTTATTTGGCAGAAATGCGCTTATCCAGGATTCCATTGCGTACAGAGAAGCCGACAGTTGCTTCTAACCCGACGGCGATGGGGCACTGATTGCTGGGAGCCGTACACGAGGGAGGTCGCCAGCGGTTGTGATTGCATGTGGCCGGTCACAACCCTCGACGAGATAAACGCACATTACTGATCTACCGAAGACGAATCCGTGAATTAGCTTAAGTTCAACAGTTTCACTATCTAGTACAAAGATGTCGAAAAGCTTCGGACATATATCTGCAATATAAACGTGCCTTTCTTAAAAATATTTATTCACTGTATTACAAATATGAACAAGTGAAATATAACGGATACTAGCTAACGGTCTCGCCGCTTTCTCTTGCATAGAAATGATTATTGCGAAAATTCGACCAAGGTGGAAATACGTTTCACTAACTGATGAATCCGCTCGTCTCCCTTCTTCGCGACGGGATCATTTCCACGAGTTCGCCTTGTGCTTCGGCAAAAAGTGGAATCCGTCAGGCACTTTCCCGAGCAGCATCTCCCTGAAAAGGAACGAAACTGTGTAAATATCGCAATTGCACGTCAGTGTCAATTCTAACTCGACGAAAGCCGAAAGCAGCTTGAGAATAATAGTCTTACGATAATTTCACCCAGTCGGCACAATTGGAACTGGCCATCAGTGTTTCCATATCGTTACGACCTCTGTAGAACGGTGGCCGCTCGTTGATCCTCTGCGGTGGTCTCTCCAAGATTCCAACGGGAACATATCTGTAACGTGTTACATTGTAAGCGAATACAACAGCAAAGTAGTAAATATTTTACACGATATCATATATCATATAATACAGTATATCATCAGGCTCTATATAATGCAACATGATAATAATACAATATGATGACATTTTAACAGGATCGGAAGAGAAAAAATTCCACTTACCAATAAAATTCAATATTAACAAGATACATAAAGCAATCTTAACACGATACAATAAACAATACTTAAACAACACTAAGAAAACAACAGATTTTATCCTATTTTAAACAAAATGAGATCAATTTTTTAATAAGATATCCCGAAGAAAGAGTATGATTATATTTAAACATTTTAATAGAGTCAAAAAAGATGGAAATTCTACTTACCAATAAAATTCGGCATTAATAATATAAGATAATCGCAATATAACTTAATAAAGAGCTTCGGAAATAAAATATCAAATTTCTCGACATCGAACAAAATGAAATAAATTTTCAAACAAGGACGAAAGTGTTTGAAGAAAGGCAGCTGGCTGCAAATTGCACAGTTGAATTCAATCGCTGCTTTTACCAGTGATGAGGAATTGCGAATAATCGTATTCAATTAATCTCTCTCGAGGCTAGTTTACCTGTGAAGGAAGGAAATCCATTCTAGCATGAATCTCCTCGTAGTCTCGACCCCGCGAGTGTCGGATCCCCAATGCTCGAGCCCGTAATTCGCATACTTCCGAAGAATGTCGAATCTTTCTCCGCTCGGTATGTCGATTAGCTTTCTCTCCTTAATCTCTGTAAAGATCCACGGCTTGATTAAGGCACCGCGACCGATTGTGATGCCCTGAACAGTACTGTAGGTCTCCTTCATTCTCTGGTAATCGTCGAAGGATAAAATGTCACCATTGCCGAATACGGGCACCGGACTCGCTGCCACGGCACATTTTTCTATGTACTCCCAGTCGGCTAGTTTCGTATATCTTTGTTCACGGGATCTTCCATGCACCTATTGAGAAAAATAACAGCTCTTCATTTGCGCTAAACATGCGACAAGGATTGCGTCGGTCTCTCCGAGAAGCTCGTACTTCTACTGCCTCTTTCCCGCATTTTCTAGAGGATAATGATAACTCTATCAATTTTCCGTAAAAATATTTCTGATTCGAATATCATTGCATGTTAAAATGTTTTTACATAATTTCCCTTACATGTCCTTTAAAAATGAATTTCCTCAAAAATGCTTTCAAGTGGTTTTCTCGAATTTTCTTTAAAAACATATTTTCCTAGAAATGTTTTGAAACCATTTCCTTTAAATTTTCTTTAAAGACTGATTTTCGTTAAGAAGTCCTGCTTCGCATCAAGAATACGTTCTCCTCGAAGAAACCGATTCAGCGGCGACCAAGAAATATAAATCCAACAGACTTACTCACAGTAATCATGGACACACCCCATTCATGAAACTTGGGCATTAAGTTATGCGCGATCGGTTTGTCTATGTAAACTCCGGTCCTTGTCTTAATAGATAATGGTATGTCCAACACTTGACTAACGGACTTTACCACAGTCTCCAGTACGTTCAATCGGTTGAGCATACCGCTGCCGCCACCCTGCCTATAAATCAAGTCGATCGGGCAGCCAAGGTTCAAATCGATATAATCCACGTCGATTTCGCGATTCAGTAGCTGGGCGCATCTCGTCAGCACGCCCGGATTGTTGCCACACAGTTGCACGCCGAATACGTCTTCACACTCGTGCCTCTTCACCAATGCCCACTCCTCTTGGGTACCTTTCAGTATCTTCGGCGCCAGTGCCATTTCGCCGCACGTGATGTCCGCGCCGTACTCTTTACAGATTCTGCGGAACGGCAGATTTCCCACAGTGGTCAGTGGACTCAGCAGAATCTTGTTTCTCCAGTCGATCTTCCGTTTCTCCGATTGACGCAATTTGATCACGTCGCTGTCGTCCACGGGTCCGATTCTTGATCGTTTTGATTCCAATGAGATATTATGCTCGGACAGGTTATTCTCCGCTTTTACACAATTGCTATCATCGGCGGTATTCGCGGACTCTGCAGCCGCAACTTTTGGTCCCGGCTTGTTCTCAGCTTCTGTCCCACGCGTCTCCTTATTGCTTATGTTGGTCTCGTTGGACTTGGAGCATTGCGATTGCATCTTCTTCCTAGATGGATCATTGGCTTTGACAATTGCCTCTGCTCTGGCGAAGTTGTACTTGTGCTTACGCAGATTGTTCTGCAAGTCCTTTGAAAGATGGTTCATTGTGGATGGTGAATGCTTTTTGTACTCCTCGAGTCTCTTCTCATCAACAATATTGAAACCATCTTTGGTGAGATGTTGTGAGCCTATTCTGCACGTGGTCCCTCGCGGACACTTACCAGTTATATTAAAAATATGACATTCTATGCCAATGTCCGCTGGTCGTATCTTCAGATACTCTTCGCGATTGTGGAGGAACATGCAGCGTTGATTTACACATTTTCTCTCTGGCTCGTCCGCCGTTTGATCCGCGATCCAGGGACATAGACTTAACTCCCTGGATGCCTTAAATGGCGGTGGCCTTGCTTTATTTTGACCTCGAAGTTTCTCCTTCTTATCATCCTGCTTGAATTTTTTAGCAGACGGCTCATCTGATGATGGCACATCTGGATCTTCCACATTTGTGCCTGAAAATACCTTCTGCTTGTCGATTTCTGTCAAACACTCCTCGCTTAGCTGCCTCACGTGATCTTCGATGATAAACCTGGAAGATAATATACGTGTTAGTTTTAAAGTAATATTGGGATAATTTATTAATAAACATGACATGTGTGAAATAATATAAACACATAAAAATATTACCTATATAACATTTAGTGTAATGATTAAAGAGAATGAGCATTCTTAACAATATTAAGTAGCAGTTTAGTTATAGTCATTAATACAATCATAAAAGTTTGTTGAATCAGGTCTACAAGAACCATGTGACTGGGGCAATGTTTGGAGGTTAAATAAAGAATAACGTTTTTATGATATGGTTCTTGAAATGAACCCATGATCAAAAAGTTGATGGGACTCTTATAGTATACCTACGTACTCTTCTTTTATCAAACATACTCCTTTTTGCTTATCCTCGCTGAAATCAAATGAACAGTCCCCACATTTTTCGTTGCATTCCGCCATTTCGCTCATGCACTTTGGTGCAGGTGCTGATCAGTGTTGCCAGCAAAACCGTGTTCGATTGTGCCAAAAAGTGTGCCACATTAGTGCGTTTTGTGCCATTCGAGCTAAATTAATATATTTTGAAGATTTCATAAGAACTGAGGAATCTATAAGTAGTTTTTATTGTCTAATCTTATATTTGCATCTTAAATCTGCATCTTAAAAGCTAACACTTTTTGTGTATCTTTAGAGGTGCGGAAACTTTACTCTGAAGGCCGTATTCATAGTCCGGTCTTATATTTAAGATCGTCTTAAGTTCATTTTCAGCTGCTGTACGGATCATTTCATTGGCTACAGAATATTTGAACGTGAACTTAAGACGGTCTAAATATAAGATCCGACTATGAATACGGCCCTGAATGTAGAGTAATTTGCATTGCTGAACTGGTATAACAAGTTGAAGTGAGAAAACCTACGTTTGTCTCACTTTAACTCAATGCACCAGTTCAGCAATGTAGACAAAACGAACAGGCCTATAAAGGCCATTGCACGTACAAAAGTTTTAGTCGTAACCGTAAGTCCGTAATCAAATTGACCAATCACAATTCATATATTTCGAGATGCTGGGTTGTGATTGGTCAATTTGCTTACGGTCTTACGGTTACGACTAAAATTTTTTTACGTGCAATGGCCTTTAAGGTCATTCTACAATATGTGTCGTAAGTTGTAAGCCGTAAGAACTGACCAATTATAGCCGATTATTTTTGTAATAATCGACTGTGATTCGCCAATTCTTACGGCTTACAACTTACGACACGTATTGTAGAATGACCTTTAGACGCAAGACACAGAACGCAAGTCGCAAGTCGTAGGAATTCACTAATCACAGTCGAATATTCTCTTAACATTCGATTATGATTGGTGGATTTCTACGACTTGCGAGTTGCGTTCTGTGTCTTGCAACTAATGTAGAACGGGCTTTATGGATGAAAAACTAACTTCAATTATGCGTTCCATATAATTCCATTGCGTTCCATAAAATTCATGATAATCTGTCCGATTACTTAATCCCGTATCAGACTATGAATTGGGATTGAGATTGGATTGAAATTTGACCAATTGAAAAAAATAAAATAATCTCAAATATAGTAAACTTAGCCCTGATTGGTTAAATTTCAATCTAATACTCAATCTCAATCCGTAGTCTGATACAGGCTTTACATTTGTATATATTGGGCTGCATTCCGAAATTCACTGCCAGTACTGAAAATACATAGTTTGTGTCACGTATATTATAAATTGTCAGTGATGGCAGTAAATATTGGAATGCAGCCATTATATAGAGTCTATTCCTTACAGCTGCATTACTGAACTAGTACAATAAGTTAAAATGAGACAACTATATTTTTTCTCATTCTAACTTATTGCACTAGTTCAGCAGTGCAGCTATAAAGAACAGACCCTTACACTGTCGCTATAGCTAAGAAGATACTGCATTTTTATTAACCATGTTGATACTGTGTTGTTTCATCAGCTAAGTTTTATCATAAGAGAATAAATATTTTTTATAATATCAATCTACGAAACAGCCAATGAAATAGTTGGACATGAATTACGCGAATACAAAGCAGGATACCGGGCATGAATCTTCTCCTCTTGCGTAAACTTGTAAAAAGTGAAAAATTTTTTATGTAAAAACACGAGAATGTTCACTTTCTTAAATTTACATTAGTGAAAAAGACTTATGTGTGATAGATAATAGTTCGTTTGCAGAAAAATCACATGCAACTACGTAAAATTCTACATGAATTACTTGGTGTATGTTTTTAGATTCTGTCAAAATTAAAAGTATATACCAATCAAATTAACGAATTTTACAATTGTCAAAATAACTTTCTCTATTAAACGTAGTCATTTAAAATATTCGTATGTGAATGCATATAATTGAATTTGATAAATTAAACTTTCTTTTCGATTTGTTCATTTTGTCCCAAATGGAAATAGGAAAAATCAAAATTTATTAAAAACGATAGATTTATGTGAGATCAACGTTGCGTTTTAATGTTATGTTTTAATGTCGGGTAACAAGAAAGCGAAAGAATTTTAATTTTATTCATCTTGTAAAGGAACAAAGTATAACGTTAGTTCAATTAAAAAAAAGAGTATTATTTTGATAGAATCTATATTTTTTGGATCAGTCCTTCTGAACGAGTGATAATGTTTCTTCAGGATTCCTCCAAATAGAAGGTTGTTAATAATAATTCTGGAATTATGTTTTTATCCATTTTATTTACAGAATTAATAAATATGCAATATATTTCGCTACTATGTAATGATAGTTAATACAAATTATGAATTACATAAAATTTGTTATATTGTGTTATATCGTGTTTGAAGCATTAAAACACATATTGTTTCAGAATGGATAAAATATTAATAGAGAGTTCCTCAGATGAAGATGATACATATACAAACTTTGCTGGCCGCTTAAGAGGTAATATCTTATTTAATCTTATTTAAAAATAACAATTATGGTAGAAAAAGACAGAACTGTGAAATTAGACAATTTTCTTTTTATTATTAAAAATATACAATTAATTTACATCAAATATAAAATGTTATGATTTTAGCATTGAAAAAGAAACGTCTTGAAAACGAAAAACTTGCCAGGTATGGTACTATATATACAATATTTTATCTCATGATATACGATTCTTATCCATAACCATTAAATTCTTTTCATGCGCCATTATCTGCATATTTGTTATTAAAATAATAAATATTACTTTGAGTAAAAAAATATCGATAATTATTTCATTTTTAGTGTTGCAGTAACAAGTGGTGAAAATAATATAATAATTAGTGATGATGAAGTTATGTCAAATAACATAACAAATAACATAATTATAGAAAGAGAAACTAGAATTACAAGATCCAAAAATGGAAATAGAGGTAAAGCTAGAGGTAAAAACAGAGGTAGAGGCAAAGACAAAACCAAAACTTATCATACTATGTCAACTACGGATAGGGTAATTTTTTAATATATACTTATATTAATTTTTTAATACCAAAAAAGTTAAAATTTTGCTAAATAACTTTATGTAAACTAAGTATACCAATAGATATGATTTCATGATGATTTTGAAACAAATATCACAAAGATACAGCACATAAAAATCAATATTTAATATGTGAGGATATATATATTTTTTGTTTATGTTTTCTAGCCTTCGTTTATTAATAATCTAGATTGTACCGAGATAGAAATTGTACCAGATATTGTATTTGAAGAAAACTTTAACTCAGTTTCTGAATCTAGTAAGAATGATATCGTTGCCTTGTCTTCGGATGATGATGCTTGCAATGAAGATGACAACTATGAAATAAATATAAAAGTATTATGGAGATCTGTTAGGCTCGACCGTCTGAATATGCGTAGAGTATGTATTCCAATCTCACAGTTGGCAACTAATACCATTTATACATGCAACTACAAACTTTTCCCTTGTTATTGCAGCATGACAGCTTTTTAAAGATTTTTCAACATTATGCTGACTTGGAGAAGGTTTCTGTAAATGAAATATTAATTATGAAGAATGATAAGATTATTAGTCGCATTGACACACCAGCTTTGCTTAATCTCTCAGTTATAGATATTCTCGGTTAGTATAAATAAATCACAGACCTCTAAGAATAACAACAATATTATATAATGATTGTATCATAGATGGTGGTATAGTAAATCCAGGTATGAATGAGTTACCCGATAAAAATAAAAAAGATGATGAAGAAGACATATGCAGTATTAAAGTACAAACTGGAAACAAGAAGGAATCGTTGACCATCCCACTCAAAAAGAATCAACAATTTAGAACGTTGTTTTCTTATTGCGCAGTACAATTTGGTGAAGAAGAAAGCAATCTGAAGTTTTATTTCGACGGGGAACAGATTGGCCTATCAGATACGCCGGAATCATTAGATATGGAAGGGGAAGCATGCATTGATCTTCGAATTTCGTCCGCATAGTTTGATGCATTGCAAAGTAAGGTAAATGCCCCAGTAACTGGATGTTTAAGTGTAGGTCGTCACGAAAAATACAATAAATAATATTAAAAATAGTTTTGATATAAATATTTGCATTTATTCGAAAACTTAAGATTCCCTTAAGTAGAGAAAAATTATTTAAACCAATATACAAGGTGAACCAAAAGTATGGAAACTATTAAAAATCTTGAAAGATATAAGTTTTACAGAAAAGTATTTCAAATAAAAGTTATAAGGCTCCAAACGATGTATTTACTGATCTTATTGGTTTGACCTTGAGTGGCGTTGCCTAAGTCAGGTCAAGGTCAACTTAATTTTTTAAATGGAAACCGCCATTTTTTATTATATCATCTTTTTCTACCAATTAATTTGAACAACTTTTGTCTGGAACATTTTTTTATTTATCTAATATGTTTTGAGATGTTTAAGGAAAACTTGATGACTTTTTCAATACAATATTTTGCTAACTATTTGTTGGAAGAAAGAATGGTAGTAGACTGTTTTACTCTATTTGGTTAAGAACATATTGTTACAACAGCACCCTGACTTTTGTTAATTTGATGATTTTGAAATTTCCAAAAGTCAGGAAGTTAATAAAAGTTAGGGAACTATTGTAACAATATGTTCTTGAGACCAAATAGAGTAAAAAAGTCTACTACCATTTTTTCTTCCGACAAATAGTTAGCGAGATATCGTAAATTAAGTATTGAAAAAGTCATCAAGTTTTCCTTAAATATCTCAAAACATATTAGGTAAATAAAAAAATGTTTCAGACAAAAGTTATTCAAATTAATTGATAGAAAAAGATGATATAATAAAAAATGGCGATTTCCATTAAAAAAAATTAAGTTGACCTTGATCTGACCTTGGCAACGCCACTCAAGGTCAAAAACTATATCAGTAAATAAGATCAGTAAATACATCGTTTTGAGCCTTATAACTTTTGTCTGAAACATTTTTCTGTAAAACTTATATCTTTCGAGATTTTAAAGGGTTTCCAAACTTTTGGCTCACCCTGTATATATCTATTATTAATGAAATATTTATACAAGTAATGAAGCACAATAATATGTGACCGGACAGTTGAAATATAGCCTAATGTTCAGATATAATTTTTCCCAATGTCTGACCGCAATTAGAAAATTAGTATGTGCTAACAAAAAATAATATAAATATAGATGCTGTCTCTTAATCAATTTATTAACAATTGACCATTATTTTACTAAACCATAGGTGCATGCTTGTTTAATTAATTTTTATTTTAATACAAAAGTATCAAATTGGGTATATTTTTTTTAACTAATCGTCAAATGTTGGAGTTTGTTTACAATAATTATTACTTTCATTCATTATTGTTAAAATGAATAGTAAATATTTTTGATCAAAGTGGTCGGATACTGGGACGTGTCCAGCTATTAGGACGTTTACGCATTGTTTTTTTTTTTCTACAGAATATTTTACAACCATTAACACCGTGCCTTTTATGGATTTCTACAGTTTAATATAAGAACGTTACTCATTTGAAAATGTTGCGCATTCCCGAAAAACTATTATCAATATAAAATTGTAGTGTATAAGTAAGTTATATATTATTTAATAGAAAATATCAAATGGAAGTTCATATATTAAGTTAAAGCTCAGAAAGCGAGAAATTTAAATAAAAATTCAAATCTCGTTCACAATCGCATCACATGAAATTATCAACAATTTTTTAACCATATTTCATTTTATTTATTTCAATTGTATCCATATATATGATGATGAAACACAATATTCGGTACATTTAATCTTATAAGAGTATAGGACACATATTGAATTGACAAAAAAACTATATACATAAAATTGTAACAATTGTTTAGTCTTATGCGTTATGTTGTATATTCCATTTTAAATTATATGTGTCAATATAGCATTACATTTTTTAGCGTTACACTCCTGCAAAACTGAAGTTTTTTAAATACACCTTTTCAACAACAACAATGATTGATATATTTATTGTATTGATACATCGTTGTTTTATACATAATGTACATAACATAGTGCTTTATATGTATATAAGTATATATACTTATATATATATAAAATACACTCGACAGCTAATATCTTTATTTGTACGATGTTTTGCATCATTTTGAACGTATTATACTTTTTTCACAATTGCTATTCATTTTCAACATAAGTAGTCAAGAACATTAACTACTATGAACTCCATCAGTTAACATTCCTAATCAACTAAGAAAGTATGCTTGGTTTATGAAGTGACTTTACAGAAATTTTAATGGTTATTAACGATGTCGAATATTATAATAGGTGTGTGAAATATTTTTTTCCTGTTTTTGGATTACTTTACATGCGATATTTCATGTTCTTAATTTTATTGAGTGTTTTCGTAGAGTAATGTACACAGTTAGTTCACTGCTCCAATAGTGATTATATTGCACGGCAATCATCCATCGTGTCGAATACTTTCATTGAGAATATTGAACGCGAATCTCTCAACGACAGGAAAATATCGTACGCTAATTTTATTCTACATAATACACTTGAGTGAAAGGCGACAATAATCTGCTCAATAAGAAGGAATGTTTTGGAGAGTTAACACTGTCAAGGAGAGGTAGTTTAATCGTTAAACTTGCGGTTCTCGTTGCGTCCGAACAGGGCACAGCGGATCTCGGGTATCAATTGCTGAGCTATCAGCTCTAATCTGGTCTCCAAAGTATTGCTCACCTTTATGCGGCCTGTAGGAGTTAGATATTATTTGTTATTAATACAGGCATATTAATAAGCGTTGCAATAAATTTTATTATACAATTGTCTTACCAAAGTCAGATTTAGATAAAGTTGAGATACATTGAGCTCATTATAATTTGAATATAGTATTGTAAATATATTATCACTATTACAATTTTCTTTTAACAACTTACATTGATAATAATATTGTGATTATATCGAAAAATTGAAGGTTTTTCTTTGATATATTTACCTTTAGATGCCAATAAGTCTACACCTCCACAGCTTTCGCTGGGCAAGAAATTATCAGGATCGATTTTTAGGGTAACATCTTTCTTAGTCATGTACTTATACTGTTGTTGAACACTCTCGAGAAGAGATTGTACAATATGTACATCAGCTTGACGTACGCGAAGAGTAACATGTGGTTCTGTTAGCTAGTAAAAATATACATCATTAATGAAGAGATATTGAATGTTCCATTAATATTCATTATTATATACTATAAAACTCTATGAAGAACATAATGATGTGATGATGATTATATTAAAATAATAGATATATACTTGATAAAGGCCTTGGATAATCAACAATTGAAGAATTTCCTTATATCGGCTAGAATCATGAATCACTTCGCCTAATCTTCTTCTAGCTTCATCAAGGACATTGCGTACATGATCTTCACGGACTTTTAGAGCCTTCAATCGTGCTTGATTAAGCATATTTGAGGATTGTCTGTAAAAAGTTGTTAATATAAAAGATACAAATATATATTAAATTATCTTTTAGTAATATTTTCTAATAATTTCTTAGTAAGAAAATAAATTGAATAAAATGTTTGATCTTTTTCAAAAATTTTTTCCGGTATGTATAAATTTTAGTATAATTATAACAAAACATATATCAATTTAATAAAAATGATGTATACACCTGTCATACATACATCTTTTTCTGCAATTCAACTTGCTTTTCTTTCTTCTCATAATATTCCATGATCTTAAGACGTTGCTGTTGCACCAGACGTCCCTTTTCAATGTTAAATTCCTCTTCAGCTTTGGCATCTATTTCCTCAGCCTTTTCATTGGCCTCTTGTTCTATGAAGGCCATCATATGTTTGATCTATAACATCATTTTTCATTTTATTACCTTATAAATTTTCTGTGATAATATACAAAACTTGTCTATTTTTTTTTGGATCACAATACTATTTTATTATTAATAATTTAATAATAAAATACATAAAAGTACATATTTTATTAAAATCTTTTTCTAATCAAGAGTTAATCTAGTTTGAGCTTTGAGTACAAAGTTCAAATTTCAAAATTTTTAGACATAAATATACATCAGAAACGAGGCAATTTTTTGATAAAATCAAGACTACTAGTAAAGGTTTCACAAGCAATAATTATTAATTTATTCGATTTTATCAGTATTCGGATATTCACAGACTTGCTCAAATTGCTTCTCGATTCTAGTTGTAATTTCGTGACTCACAGAGACGTGAAATCCGATACCCGTATAACGTACAGGATCCGCAAAACATCAGGATTTATATTTAATCAAAACAACGGAATAACATAACGATAAATTATAAAAAAAGTATTAATAGCATGAATATGTGTGACATATACGTCGAAGATGTTACAAGGTTTCAGAATATAGCGGAGTTTTTCATTATTAACCTGCTTCTGCACGTCAGCGTCGCTGAGGGCCATGGTGCTCCGTGTGTTTCCGCTTCACGAAAAAGACTCACAAAGTTCGTCAGGAAGCACTCGGGGAACTCGCGGAAACTCAACAGACAGACACACCGGAGAGGAGTCAACGCCTATGACGGCACATCAATTCTGGCGTAACGTCGATCATATGACCCGAAATGTGACCGTCGTTCCGAAACCCACACCCACATGATCCGGATGAATGCTCGAAATACAAACACACCCTAGGTTTGTTCTTTTTAGCTGAATTAGTGCTGCACTTGAACTGGTTCAGAACTAGAACTGACGAGTACAGCAAAAGTTTATAGGTGCAGAAATGCTAGATAGGATGGAAAAGAATGTGTAGGAAACATTATGGCGCAACACGTTATTCCAGCTAATGGTTGCGTTCAGCAGAACAAAGTGATCATTGTCTGTGACTGGAGCATTCTTTTAAATTCTTCATAGACCCAGAAGTATTTACCAATCAGAAGAGAGAATCACTAAGCACTCACTGATCATTTTGTTCTTCTGAACGCAGTCTAACAAATAACAACCAATAGGAACATCTTACGCCTGTGCTTATATTAAATAAGGCTGCGTTTCGATATTCACTGCAAGTACTGAAAATCTATAATGTAACAAGAACTATAGATTTTCAGTACTTGCAATGAATATCGAAACGCAGCCTATGAAACGTTTAAACTAATAATAAACTAGTTAATTAATTAAGTTAACTAACTTAGGCCTGGTCTACAATACGTGTTGTAAACTGTAAGCCGTAAGAACTGACCAATTATAGCAGATTATTTTTGTAATAATCGACTGTGATTCGTCAATTCTTGACTTACAACTTACGACACGTATTGTAGACCAGGCCTTACAAGTTAGTTTGTTAATTAACGCCTATTCGCGGGTCTAATGACCTTTTGATTCGCTATTGGCGCCAAAAAATTAACTCAAAAATGAATTAGACATACTTTTGCTTTATTCTAAAAAACAGGCAAATTCGACGAATTATAATTTCGATAAAAATAATATTATATATTGATATATTTTGGAAAGAGTTTTAAAGTTTGGAGAACTTATAATTTTCAATTGTAGTAATATAATTTTACTACTGTTTTTTATTGACATATATACCAGGTATGTCGGTAATTACTTTCCGGTTTTTGTAACAGATGTCACTAGCCATAAGTATGCAATGTTATGATTTGATACATATGTCATTTTATTCTACTGACATTAACCTCAAAATTACATAAGTTACGTTCCGCCAAAATAACAGCGTTATAGGTTAATAATTTTTTGAAAATGTCGAGTTTTGTGCCTGGAAACGTGCATTTGCGGCATGCATTACTTTTCTTGTTTAATCAAAAGAAAAAAGCCGCTGAAAGTCATCGTTTGCTGGTAGAGACTTACGGTGAGCATGCTCCAACCATAAGAACATGTGAAACGTGGTTTCGACAATTCAAATGTGGTGATTTCAACGTTCAAGACAAAAAACGTCCTGGTAGGCCGAAAACGTTTGAAGATGCGAAATTGCAGGAGTTATTGGATGAAGACCCAACACAAACTCAAAAACAATTGGCAGAAAAGTTGAATGTGAGCCGAGTAGCAATTTGTGAACGATTACAAGCGATGGGAAAGATCCAAAAGATGGGAAGATGAAAAATGGCATCCATAAATTGCCTGAGAGATGGGCAAAACGTATAGAATCAAATGGCCAATACTTTGAATAAATATATTTTAACTATCCATTGTAAATAACGTGTTTTTTTTAGCGAAAAAACCGGAAAGGAATTACCGACACACCTGGTAAAGTTAATAAAATAAGAAGCGACTATTTAAATGCACAAGAGTTTTTGAAATTTTCTTTGTAAAAAACATAAAGAATTAATTCAAAAATATATCCGGCAATTATAGAAACTTTGAGTTCATATGGAAAATTTTCTAAATCTCTTCATTACTATTATTTTTACAAGTTACAGCTTGTTGAATTTCAATTTTTATTTTTTAATGTTATATGTATCGATTATTTTGTTTTATAAATTTAATATAATCTTAGTGTGTATATAATGATAGTGATAGATGTAATAGAATAAGAAGAAATGATTTTTTTTGCTTTATTTTACTCATATGATATACGAGGGCGGTCCGATAAGTACTTAGCCTCACCGCCCGATGGCGCCACTATCGCAAGAGAAATTTACTATCGTGTAGTACATTCTCGTAGACGGCTACTGTCGAAATTTCAGCCGAATCGGACTCGTAATTTTGTTTTGACCGCGTGTGGAAGCGGGCGTGTCCGCGGATTTTAGAAAAATGGAAAAAGAACAATATCGGTCGGTGATTCGATTCTTGTTTTTGGAAGAGAAATCGCGCAGCGAAATCAAAGAGCGCTTGGATGCTGTGTATGGTGACTCTTCTCCTTCGATGGCGACCGTCAAAAATTGGTTTAACGAGTTTCAACGTGGTCGCACGTCAGTTTTTGATGAGCCACGCTCAGGTGCCCCGAAAACGGCTACCACGGAGGATAACATGACAAAAATCCACGATCTCGTATTGGCAGACTGCCGATTGAAGGTGCGCGAGATAGCTGAGATAGTAGGCATCTCAAAAGACCGCGTGGGTCATATCCTGCATGAAATTTTGGGCATGAGAAAGCTGTCGGCGCGATGGGTGCCGCGTTTGCTCACTCCGGACAACAAGCGCAACCGTGAGACCACTTCAGAGCAGTGTTTTACGCTGTTTAAGCGCAATCCGAAGGAGTTTCTGCGTCGTTTTGTGACCGTCGACGAAACATGGATCCACTGGTACACACCAGAGACCAAGGAACAGTCGAAACAGTGGACTTCACCCGGCGAACGTGCTCCGAAGAAGGCGAAGACTGTCCTACCGGCCGGAAAGGTGATGGCCACCGTTTTCTGGGATTCACAAGGTGTGATCTACATCGACTACCTGGAGAAGGGCAAAACGGTCACAGGGCTATACTATGCCGAATTATTGGGCCGATTCGACGCCGAATTGCAGAAAAAACGGCCCCATTTGGCGAAGAAAAAAGTGCTCTTCCACCATGACAGAGCACCGGCTCACACCTCCGCCCTCGCCACGGTCAAATTGGTCGAATTGGGCTACGAACTGCTGCCCCATCCACTGTATTCTCCAGATTTGGCCCCGTGCGACTTCTTTTTGTTTCCAAACTTGAAAAAGTCACTCGCCGGGCAGAAATTTGAGTCGAATGAGGAGGTCATCGCCGCCACGGAGGCCTACTTTGCAAGCCTCGAGAAAACGTATTTTTCAAACGGGTTAAAGAAGTTGGAGCATCGCTGGGTCAAGTGTATCCAGCTAAAAGGAGACTATATTGAGAAATAAATCGCCACTTTTCAAAAATTTTCGTTTTTCTTTTGTAGGCTAAGTACTTATCGGACCAATTTCATGAATAATGTACAATGTCATAGTATATGATGCACACATAGATAATATTATTAAATGAATATATGTATATAATTAATTCATTTTGAATCGCTTTCTCTTTTAAAAATAATACTATGCATACTTGTATCATGCTCTTAAGCCTTTAAATTTAATAATTAGGCGATTTAAAAGTATATTTCATACATATATAATTCAAGAAAAATAAAACATCTCTTTTCTGTAATCTTTTATACTTTCTAATATTATCTGCTTGAAATGTCGCCGATACTCATCATATAAAATTGTTTGTATTATATATAATACAATTATCCAGTGTATAAAGTATAAAGTAAAAGTGTACAAAGCATGTGGAATCAAACTGTTCAATAATATTTTGTACTTCATAATTAGCATACCGTACTTATCACAAACATACATGTATTTAAATGTAGTTACATAAAAACTTACATATTTATATATTTAATACAATTCGAGCACTGCAAGTATTTGCATATAATAATACTTTTCCTTATGTTTATCCTTAAGATATTTTGTACATTAAAATACAAAAGCCTCTTATTACCTACGGATCAACTGAGTTTTTAGTCCCATATTTCTTTTTTCCATAACATTTGATTGGAAGGAATGAGAGAAGTGTGTATAAAAAGTTTAGAAAATATAGACTTTTCATTTACAATGAAAAGAAAACAAATTTTATAACAACATGATAAATATTCCACATCTCTTTTGTACATAAAAGACTGTTGAACTATTTTACAGATAATTGCACTTCGTTGTGTCAGAATGTATTTTCTTAATCTCTTCTTATGTCAACAAATATCTTCTTTTGTTAACAATAATCATATCTCTTTTATATAACAATAACTTTATGTTTTATATATGCACCTATGATATAAATATACCATATATATCAGTATATCCTTATATTATTTTATTATAAATCTCTAAGATACGATAGATAGCTTATGACACGCGCAAAAACATTCTGATGACATAAAATTAGATACTTAAAAAAAGACGACATATACAAGTAATCTAATTTACACTTTGTTTGCTACTTGTATATATACTAAGTTAAAGACACGTTTATGAAAGATCGTATAAAATTCTTATAAAACGAAACACATGTCGTGGTCCGAATATTTCTTTCTTTCTTAATGATCTTGCTAGAAATTAAGAAATATGTTTAAAAATCTGGCAGTCAAATAAAAATTTGGCATTAAGCACTAATACAAGGGTAGTCCCAGAAGTACCCGACCTAACAAAGAAAACACAAAAAATTTGGGAAAAAATATCTTTATTTCTCTACATAATTTCCTTTTAACTCAATACACTTTTTCCAACGATGTTCAATAGCTTCGATACCCTGTTTACAGTAGGAATCGTCGAGCTCTTCAAAATAGCCATCAACCGCAGACTCCACCTCTTCATTGTTGGCAAATCTTTTACCACAGAGCCATTTTTTCAAGTTTGGAAACAGAAAATAATCCGAGGGGGCTAAATCTGGCGAATAGGGTGCATGAGGAAGCAATTCGAACTTTAACTCATTGATTTTGGTCATCGCGATAATGGATGTGTGAACTGGTGCATCGTCTTGATGAAACAAAACTTTCTTTTTCGCCAAATGCGGCCGTTTTTTCTTGATTTCATCACTCAAATGCTGCAATAAGTTCGCATAATACTCGCCGTTGATTGTTTTTCCTTTCTGAAGATAATCAATGAAAATTATCCCACGCGCATCCCAAAAAACTGACACCATAACCTTGCCTGCAGATGGAACTATCTTCGCCTTCTTTGGAGTCGATTCTTCCCTTTCAGTCCATTGTTTTGACTGTTTCTTCGTCTCAGGTGTGAAGTGATGGACCCATGTTTCAGCCATGGTTATGAATCGATGCAAAAACTCGGCTTTATTGCTGTGAAACTTCGCCAAACACTCGACTGAAACATCCTCACGACGCTGTTTTTGTTCCATTGTGAGTAATCGCGGCACCCATCTTGTGCACAGCTTTCTCATGTCCAAATTTTCAGTCAATATGCGATGTACAGCACTTTTTGAAATGCCTACCATGTCTGCTAACTCGCGCACTTTCAGTCGACGGTCATCCAATACCATTTTGTAGATTTTTTTCACCATTTCTGGCGTGGTCACCTCATTTGGTCGACCACTGCGATGTTCGTCTTGGCAGCTCGTACGGCCTCGTTTAAACTCTGCCACCCAATATTTTACTGTTGTAAACGAAGGAGCAGACTCCCCCAGAGTAGAATCTAGCTCCAATTTGATATTGGTTGGACCGAGGCCTTTCAAATGAAAGTATTGTATCATATAACGATAACCAATTTTGTCCATGTTTACAAATTCACTGAGAACATTCACTAATGATGGCTGCCGAACAAATACTAAACAACGTAGCGTCGTCAAACTTCAAACTTAAGCTTTATAAGATTGGTACTTTCTACCATAGTCATTCTTTTCAAACAACAACCGCCATCTATACGTCAGGTCGGGTACTTCTGGGATTATCCTCGTAGATCGCGTATCTCGAAATGTATGAATAATTGGTATACTACTGGGGCTGTATTCCGTACCTGCATATCGACAGTTGTCAGCGTCGTTAGCAGTATTGCGCAGCTTTTTTGTTATATGAAAAACCTGCGCAATGCCGCTAACGACACCGACAATTGTCGATATGGTACGGAATACAGCCCCAGTGATGCGATTCTGTAACTCGTTATTGGAGTTAACGAAACTGTCGTTAATTCCAATAACGAATTAAAGAATCGCACCACTGGTGTAATACTATATGGATTTCAATTCAGAGATATTTTTTGTAAACATACAAATAATTACAAAATATAATCAATTTTCTTCTATTACCAAGTCGCCTTTGCGTGCCAAACCTTTGCGTGTCAAGCGTTTCTCAAAAAATCGCGATAAATTACAATTACTAAAATATCTTCCTTGCTATAGTAAAAAGTGCGATAATAAATCAGTTTAAATAAACTCTAGTAATGGCATATAAAAAGGACTTGTGCTTTGGACGAACGAGCATCCGTATTTAAATACCACAAAAGAGTTATGATATTATATGATTATACACGATGCTATAAAAGCAATATCTTGCATTACCTTTGTTTTTCACATGCACGTTAAAAATACGTTTTAAAAACAGATTAGCATACCTTCGCATAATTCTACATTTTGAATATTTCTAGCTATTATAAAAATAACTTTTCCAGCAGATTTGTGTAAAATTGTGTAAAATGGTGTTTGTATGTAGCGTAATTATAGATATTGTACATGAAAGTCGAAAGGAATGCATTTCCATTAGTCTCTAAATTAGTCTCATTAAATATAATTAGTCTAATTAAATATGCGAGGTGGTAAGAATATATGTGTATATGAGTGTATATGAATATAAGTATTCTGGTATTATTAAAAAGAATACGTGTATAAAAAGACTACTAGAAAAGATGTTTAAATATTAAATACTTATTCGTTCATCGGTGACAATTCGTGTTGTCCATTTGCATTGTTGCTGCTATTCCCAAATTGTGCTAATGCAGATTGTCGCCACTTCCCATTCTCACCATTCAAGTTCTTGTCTTCACATATGCATAAAAATAACGTGTCGATGACGGTCTGAAAAGCAACAAAAGTTTTTATAAAATATTCGATGATTTGATGAATTAAATGTAGAATGTTAGTTAAACAAAAAAAAATAGTGTGTGATGTGTATGCACGCGTGTGCGTATATATTTATATTTAAATTTATATTTATATATTTATATAAAATGCATAACTCACTTCGTAAAGAGAAATTATACAATGGGCGATGAAAAATGAGAAAACACAAGTTACAAAGATCGGAGCGGCATAGAAGTGTAACCTCGGATCTTGTTTCATAAAAATTAATCCGATACTACCAGTCGCCGCCGTGACAAAACATTTTCCCAGAAACAATATAAAGTCGCCGAATCCGTTGATTACTGCTATTTGCAAAGCGTTATTAACAAGTGTCGTAAAGGCCTGAAAGAAATAATTATATTCACATATTCCTTTTCTTATAATTAATATAGTACAACATAACACACTACGTAAAAATATAATTACATTATCTATAATTATATTAATTATTACAACTATAATTAGATTATGAATAATCATATAAGTTATTGTTAAGTTCATTTCAAATATTTGTTTCTTTTTTCTTCAATTTACTCTATATAGATATCTGTCAGATGGATATATTAATATTAAAACATACTATTTTCGCAGCATTGCAAAAATGGGTGCCCTCTATAGCGACGACAGTATATGCATTCTGATTCATATATCGGATAAATTTTTCTAAACAATAGAAACAGCAAATGCAAAACTTTAAACCGCACTGTGAGCATGGAGACGTTTCTTTAGTCTTCTCAAACCTGTGAAATACAACATATGATCGTTAACAACGTCAAAGATGAAATGGAAATCTTTCTTTATTCATTGACTTACTTGGCATGCAAATACGTTAAAATCAATCTAGGCAATTTGAAGATCGTTATCAAAAATGAGCCACATGCTACAGAGCCCAAGTGATAGCAGACTAAGTGTCCCATGGATGAACATACTGGTGATGCACTGGCATCTTTACCTCTGATGAAAAATAAAAGAAAAATGCGAATTGTTAAAACCATTGTCGAGTCAAAGTGAGCATCGAAATGACATAAAGAGAGACAGAGATAAGAATATATTATCAACTGTAAGTTTATATAACCAAAGGAGTTTTATACAAGTTTTGTATAATCTTTATATTCTTTTAGTAGAAAGTATGGAAATATTACCTGAAATACCAGTGCGCGACGGCTCCTGATATCACCATAACTTGACATCCAACAATGAATTCCGAAACCCATATTAATCCTATGAGATACACCCACCACATGTATTTCACCCACGTTGCATCGACGTACTCCACAAGTGTGAACGCTAAAGTATTTAACAATTTATTTTCTTTTTTTTTTCATAAATGATACAGGAAGTATATTAAAGTATGTAATACATTACTTTTAAAACTATCAAGGGAAAAATCAATCTTCTTCTCCTCGATTAACAAGCTATTTTCACCGACCGAGCTTAAATTTAAAGGCTCAAATATGTTGTTTTCGTACATTTGCACTGATTTAGTTTCCGGATAATCTGTAATGTAGAGTTTTCGTATAGAGATAATTTATCGCTGATCGTACAATAAGATATTCTGCTGATAAAAGTGCGCAAAATACTCACTGGCTGTTGCGAGACATAGAATAACAGCTACCCAAAAGACAAAGAACAGTATTAAAGCAACGAACGTTAAAAACGGCTGGAAAAACAGGCCAGGTAATTCTGCTAGACATTTTGCGCTCTCTTTAAACAATGCTGCCATAAAACTTATGCGTTTGCGTAATATGCATGAAAGGAACAATAAGATAATCTGCAAATTAGATAGATTTTAAATAGAACAATTATACTATTTAAGATATTACAATTGTCTATTTATATCGAAATTATACTTACAGTGATAACAGTAGCAATAATGGAAAATGCAAGGAATGCTCTTTCATTTCTGACAGATTCTTCCAAGAGTTGGTTTGGGTCTGTCTTATCTAAAGTTCTTTTAATGTCTATATATGTCCACCATAAAAGTACAGTACCACCTAAAATAAGAGTTTTTCATTTGTAAAAAATTCACTATATATAATTTTTAATATTCTAAATGATGTATGCTTATCATAATCATATATCATATTATAAGTTTATAACAACTTAATAATGATTCACAAAAATATTGACTTTATAAACATGCTCTTTGTATTCTTGCTTCGATAATGATTTTTTATTTTGAGACAAAACATATGAAATATGTATCATTAATATATCTGCTTATGATATTGTTGATATATCACTCGTTTAATTATTTATTTATAACACGACCTATTTATTCTTTAAAAACACTTTTTTATATTAATACTTCTGTGAACTTACCTATGCAAGTGATGGTTACAAGTACCATTACAATCCATGTTACGATACTCGCCAGTAAATGAAAGATGGCTATCATAAAAAGTGATAAAACTAGGAGAGAGAGAGAATGAAATAAGTATCCAGTAGATTATTTTGTATATTATGATACAATATGCAGCAAATTTTTACCAAATGCTAGAAAAGACAGTGCAAGAATCTCCCTCCAAGTTTTATACAAATCTCCCAAAACTTGTTCAATAACGTCCCATGAATTGATCAAGCCATATAAATTGGAGATTATTGTTTCACCCACATCTTGAATTGCTTTAGGGATACAGCGATTTAACACTGGCGTACTGCTGTAAACAGGCAGCTTTGGACAAGATCCATTCTTGAATTTACTGCTGCCACTATTACATGCGCTAAAATCACTACCAGGTCTATCATGACACAATTGTGATCCTGTTTTTTCATAAAAATCACAGATATCTTTCATTGACGTGAGGGTCCTGTCGGGACATTGCTTCACGCAGATTTTTAATGATTGCGTGACATTATATATATCCAAGAAGAATAAGAAACTGGAATATGATATAATATCCATTTTTAGAACATACTGTCATAAATACTAAACAGAAAAGAAAAATATGAGATAATAACGGCTTATCACTAGTATCTTGGCCAGACAACTCCATGCTGCCAAACTTTGGATTATTCTTCATGCCACATGTATTTCCAAAACTGTCATATCCATTTATAAGGCGTAAGGGATTTCCATAGACTATGGCAAAGGCTGCGATCAAGATCTAGAAATGATAAGTTATCACATTAGTTTATATAATTAATTCACAAACTTCAAAAGAATTTACTCATTGCAGATAAAAAGTCAAATTTTCATCCTTTTCCTTACAGAAATTGTAGTTTAATAGTACGATTTTAATGTATTTGCCAATTTTGTTGTACATTATAAAAAATTATAGATGAATTATAGTCAACTGAATTTAGATTCAATTGTAATCATTACTAGACTCAAAATATCGTTTTCTAAGTATCTTCTTTTCACAAAAGCAATCAAATGTATACATAGTGAACACCATTCGTATACCATCAGAAACCAGAATGCTATGAAGATGCAGAGCCAGAAGACGTCGGTGCAGCCTCGTACTCGCGTCGGCTCGACGCGATCCTCATTCTTGTCACCGGTGCAACAAGACATCTCTTCTCTGTTGTCTTAGGAATCGCCACTACACCACTAAACTACGGCACTATGCTAAGGACACGGTTTATACACAGGATTGTTGTTATCGTCGTGAGTCCCTCTTGGGGTTTGGACTAGTGCGTCGAGTACCTGCGTCTATACACGTCCAGTGCCGTAACTGTGACGTAACATATGAGGAAGACATCAAAACGTTTATCATAATTTTAATCAGATATCAATATGATCTTGTCGCTAAGTTCAGATTAACACGACGAGTTCGGGATAACACGAGCGATGGTAATCTCCGTATTTTTCTTCATCTCTTTATTTTTAATCATACTGGAGTTTAAATTTAAATTTATTCTAGTCTGATAATTACATCTTTGGCTTTGTAAAATGAAACTTTTATAATTACTGTTGTGTTATATCTTTAATTTTATGTTACTGTTACATTTTGTTCACATGTATTATCTCTAATTTCATTTTATTATGTACCTTTTTAATTGTATATCTAAAGAAATTTTATCACAGAGTTACATAAATCTATCTACCAATTAATTTCCGATTAAATGAAACACGGTGTTTCTTAATAAATGCTCGAAAAATTCGAATACATTAATCAGATTTACACCGAAGTTACAAATGATTTATTCCATTTATTTGTATTGGTTTGAATCTCTATAATGCGCGATATTTGATAATTTGCAATTGACTGAAAGAAGAACGGTATTAAATAAAAATCTGCGCAAATTTATTTAAATTTATTTATTTAAATTTATTTAAATAAAAAATTTGTGATGTCGAGTGATAATTCGATCGACTACGGAATATCTGCTAATGATCACATCGCTAATTGTAGTTATGAGTCGAGTACTTTCGACGTGGAGACAGCCCTGGGGATGCGTTTCAACGGCGTAGCATCGTTTCCACGGTAACGGGCCCGTACGTCACATGAGTCGCCTCAATGGAGGCGATCGCAACGGGACTGGTTGAGACCGTCAGGATATGGCAGCAACAGATACCCGCGCCATTCATCCGCACGAGTTGACGGCATGTTGTGGAAACATCGGCGGTTCTAACAAAACAAACGTCCTCGTTTAATCACCTTCCAGTTGTAAGTAATGCACGTTTCACAAACGTTACATATCATGGAGAATTTCAAGCTCGTCGTTGTTGCCCGCGTATCATCAGGAGCGTCCGAATAATCTATTTGCTTGCCTTAGAACATAACCTATCCGAAGTGTATCTGGGACATGATTATTGGCGATACAAATGTCAGAAACATTTAATTTTCCCAGGAAAGGAAACTAATTCGACAGCTTACTAACAACAAACTCCGAGATAGCTCGTGCCAGATGTAATTGCGTTTGATCATTGCAATTACTGTCGGTCATTCCAAATCTTACTTAGTTTTATTGATAATTTTTATTAAGCAATAATTTACATTTGTTTCGAAAGACAGGTTTCGATAGAGAAAAATACTCTTCCTTCTGTTTATCGATATTGTAATTAAGTAAATGGTTGATTAATAAGTCTGTTCCAAGCTGAAATTTAACTCATGTATGAGTTTATATTTAGAGATTGAGATAATTGTCTGTCATGTTTTATTATTTTTTATGATAAGATTATGTATTTGTAGAAACGATATGGAGATCGTAAAGTACATTAACAAAACTTATATACCAAGATCTATAGTAATTTAATGATATAAAAAAAATTAGATGTAACTTAAAATGCAAACTGATTTCAGCCATGGAGGAGAATGGCGGCAAGAGGATGCGGGGCAGCAGGACTCGCGGTAGGGCTCGTGGACGTGCCCGAGGTCGGGCTAGAGGAAGATCCAAGAAGCAAGTCAAGGTAGAGGAGCTTGAGTCATGCAAATGTGTTTTAATGCACAAAATATACATGTATTGAAATCATCTTTAGGTTATTGAGAGCGACGATGAAGAAACCACGCAGCAGACGGAAGAAACCACCATGGAAACTGCTGCTGGTGAGCCAGAGGAACAAGAAACACCAGTGGCTCAACCACCCTCAATTGAACAGCAATTTGACCTGGAGGCTGATATATCGCAGCTAGAGGCACCAACTTTCACAACCATCAATCGGGGACCGCCGGAGCCGATGCTCCGTCTGCGATGGGACCATCGAGTTAATCTCATTGGAGAGAAAGTGCTAAATCCTATGATACACTGTTGCGACAAATGTTCCAAGCCTATCCTTATCTATGGTCGCATGGTATGTTTGGTTGTAGAACACCAGCGCAACTTTTCACTAACTCTCATTTCTCACGTTGACTCCGCTTCTAATCGTCGTACTGTGTTTTCAGATACCTTGTAAACATGTATTCTGCCTCTCCTGCGCCAAGAGAGAAGATAAGGTCTGTCCTCGTTGTATGGAAAAGGTATCCCGGGTGGAGCAAACTGGGTTGGGTACTGTTTTCATGTGCACACACGGAGGAACGCGGTATGGCAACACAGGATGCAGAAGAACGTATCTGAGTCAACGAGATTTGCAGGTAAAATTACAGAGAAAAAGAGGAGAGAGATAAATACCGAGACCTAGACGCTCACGCGCTGATATCACTTCGTCGTTCTCACGGTCTCCTATGACGTTTGTTACAGGCTCATATCAATCACCGTCATGTATCAGCGCTTCCGCAGCAGGTGCAGAGTATGCAGGTGGATCCTCCACAGTATGTGCACGCGAAGTCGGAAATGGACGCCCAGCTGACGAAAGTATCAACAGTACCGATGCAAAACGCGCGTCTCAAGTCCGTACAATCGCATATGGTGCCGCCGATCATGGGGAACGATCCGCGAGTGAACTCACTGGTGAACCAACAGCCGTTGGAACAACATAGACAGCAGCATGGCAGGCAACAGCAGTCACTGATGTCGATGCAGTCGGGTTATGCGCAGGGCGCTGCGCCACCACCGCCGCCGCCTCCGACTAACGCGCCTATGCGTACCAATCTTATCACCGTGCCAATCCAGGACACGTCCTCGTTGGCCGCACACGACCTCCATGCGCAACAAAGCCATCATTATTACCCACCTCCACCGCCGCCGCCGCAGGTCAACTACGGTGGCTACACTGTGCCGCCACCGGTGCAAACACAGTCTCAGCAATATTATCCGCAACCACAGCATCCAACTCAGGTGGCTTATGTGCCGCCGCCACCGCCTCCGCAGCAGCAGCAATATGTATCGTCGGCACCGGCCTCCATAAGACCGTCGCCGAGCGGTTACATACAGGAACCCCAGTACGGCCCGCCACCGTCGCAGCAACAACCGCCACCGCCGCCGCCACAGGCTCAATGGTCGCAACATCAACAGCAGTTTTATAGGTAAAAGCAGAAGAAAGGGGAAGATGTGTTTTCTCAAAGACCGCTGTTGTGAATCGATATTGCATTGTGCGGTGTAATGGTGAGACGTGAATATTGAACTGCGATTCGTGTAAATGATAAAACTATTTACATATACGTACATATACATATATATAAAATAAGAACCCGTTGTTCTCTCTCTTTCTGTCATTATCAGTGAGATCTGGGTTGGAGATTTTATACTTTTTTGAATGGTACGATTATATGATTGGAAGTGATCGAATTTACATAAGACGCATTGCTAATAATAAGACGTTTTTATTATGTAGAAAATGATTTACTTTTTTTTCGTCCCTTCAATACTTTCAATATTCTATTTTGTCATTGTATATTGCTATGTAGCATTGTATCATCAAAGACTGCTGTTAAATTAAGATAGACATGTTAATTTTCTCTTTGCAATATAACAAATATTCCGTTTTATGTCTTTGATAATTTTTTTTTAATCTTAACGCTCGAGAATGTTGAAAATATTTTTATGGATTATTTAAAAAATGTTACTTATCTTTTTTTTAATTTTTTAACAATGTTAAAAAACATGGTAACAATGAAATCAACGATAGAGGTTTTTTCGGTAGAATTTAATATTGTACAGATTGTAACGGCTGTAACTTATGTACAAAACTAATGATATATAACATGTGTGTACATATATGTTATAATTATTATTACATTATAGATTCTTAAAACATGCCTCGTGTGAATTCAACAAGTATTCAGCCATTCACGCAACCAACTTTGACCTTCCACTTCCCGTAGCGTTCGTGGTAATAAATATTAATTGATTATATGTTATATAACAAAAGTACTTAAAAGATTTATTAATAACGCCGCGCAAGCAGAAGGCCGAAATCGCTCAACACATACTCATATATTTCGAGAATTTTATCACGTCATACATAAAAATAGTATCAATTTCTCCATTTTATCCCATCATATACATACTGCTATATATATATATATATATATATATATATATATATATATATAACCACACTGTCCCTTTTTTATAATATCTTGTTCCCTTTACGTTTTACATCAATCTTTATGATATTTACAAACTTGCCTGTGTTATTGTGGAGTTTTATGTACAGAATACTTCATTCATTATTCGTTATTATTAATTAACTATAACTAATTAAACTATCTTCCATGTACTTCTATTTATGTTTATATATGAATTTATATATATGAGTGAAAAATGTGCCATGCACTTTATAACATTAAATATACATTGATATAAGATGAAATTATTAGTGATTATTAATAATTACATCTTATATTGTATCAAATATTATTTTGCTAATTATTAAAAATTATAGAAATTATTCTATCAAAACCGAAATGTTTATACACGTTGATATATATAGAACTCCACATTATAGAAACCCCAATAAAAAATAGAACTTTAGCAGTATAGTAAATAAATGTTACAAGCTACATGGATTATGATTTCAAACATGTTTCGTTGAAAAAATATACATCTAAATTGAGATGTATGAATGTAGAACTCATTTTATAATTAGTTGATTTCAACATATATACGTAAGTCAATAGTAGGAGACATTATATCATATGACGATGACTTTTAATAGTACAAAATTTACTATAAAGTAAAATTGAAACTTTATTCACTTTCTTCAATTTCAAATTTTTTTCTCCTAACTGGATTATGTTTGCGCAGAAAGCATCTATTTGCTATATATTATCATTAAATTGCCATCGGACTTTTTGATGAAATAGTGTGCTCTAATCGTGTAACACTAATGACCTATAAGGTCGTTAGTTTTCCATGTAAATATTAAAATTTTTGCATCATACTCTCACTGACTTTTAAATAATCTTTATGTAACAAAGAACACTTTTTCATTTCTTGGAAAGATGGAAAGATAGATCTTACATTTCCCATACCCTCAAAAATCTTCTAAAGATTATATTTTAAACCGGCGCTAATATGGCATAATAATCAATAAGGAGTATTCTGTGAAACTCAACGAGTAGCTACACGTAACAATAGAAGTTTAATCGACACTACAAAGAAATAAGTACTATATTAAAATAAAACCTATTATGCAAAATAGGGAATTATTATTTTTTCCACTAAGTCCACTACACAAGTGATTTAATTTCCGTTAAATAGCAGTATGTCAATCTTTTTAATTTAGAAGCTTCTTCCATGATACCTTATTATAAATTTATAGTCAGTTTTCTCGGCATAGAAATTATATTGAAGACTATAAGTTTAATATATTTAAAACTTATGCGTAAAAATAATAATTATCAACAACTTATAACGACATTCTTCCATATTTTAGATTTCCAAATATCAAAAACTAGATGAACCTGATGTATAAATTTCTATGATATTCTATTATTTCTTAATGTAAATACCTAGTACAAAGTAGTACAAAAGCAGTACGAAGCAGTACAAATAAGTACCGTCAACGAAGTGGGAATCCTGTCCCAAGTGCATAGTATTTTTATATCATATGCACGCGGTAGCGTCACAGTACCAAGTATACCAGCCGAATGCAATTATATATTTACAACATAATACTCTTATAATATTGTGTTAACTTTAACCGAATCGGTCAGCAAAAACGGTACTTAAATTTCTTTCAAATTATAACAGCAAAAAAACCGCAATAAATAAACCGTATATCCGTAGATACATGAAAAAAAGATATACTAAAAAATACAATTCCGAAGTTTTCAGACCCGTTATTGAATATAGCCATATTACAGACCTGTCTCGTACTTATATTTCTTTAGAAGCTTCCTGACTTATTTAAAAACCTATTGTGAAATCAGTCAGTCTCGCGTAATCACGTGCTGGTGGGATGATTGTGTATGTTGATGTTAACTTGCGGAATAAGTGGAGACGCTAGCGGCTTGGGCGTGGTGGATTCGGGTATCGGTATAGAGACAGCGGGGGGAATTGGGGAGTGTTTTTTAGCTCTATCTTGTTGCCAAGGTTTCGCGTTATCTTTGCCTAGCCTCTCGCTGAGTGCTTTCAATGCTATTTGCCTGTAAAATAGGTACCAATTGAAAAGATGAGAATGATTTCGTAAGATTCTGCTCTGAGATCAACGTTCAGCACGTTCAATATGTAAAACTAAGTTTTTGCATTGCTACTTTGTGTTTTATCTCGTGGTTACTTACCTGCGTCGTTCACTGTCGTGAGGATCTATACCCGGGAGGTTAATAACTAAGCCAGGCGGTGTGTTGGACATGTCAAACCTCCGAACTACTTTTCGGCAAAGTCCAATACGCACAAAAAATCCATGAATAGTATTACTCACTACTGCTATCGGTGGTTGCAAAACGTTTGGGAAAAAACTATAAAGAATGTTTAACGTGAGATAATTATTCTGTTGATATTTCACGAGTTGATTAGATTTGCAGAATTATTTTTTACCTTGCAAATGTAAAATTGTCTGCCATGTCTCCTCGAGTACCATTATTGTGTTTCTGATAAAATCTCAGATATATCCAAGACATCAATAATCCGCTGAGAAACATAGTAGGATGAGTACCTTCTAACAATCCTATAAGCCATAATATCAATCCCAGAATCCAAATCATTAAAGGTATATTTCTATTTGTAATCTTTCCAATGGGTGTCTTCACTAAAATATGATCTGGCATTATTTGCTTCACTGCCACTGAAACTCCTGCAAAGTAAAACATAATTTATATGATTTTGGTTACACATTAAAAAGTATCATATTTCCATTGAATCTACTTCATCTACATGATGCCATCATATGTTGAGTAGCAATAAAAACTTTTGATGTCAGATAAAAGTCATTTATGCAATTAGTCATAGCTACAGACTATAGTGATAAGACTATGAATGTAACTTTTATATAAAAAGTCATTGTGATTTAAATATGCTTACTTTTTACATAGAAATTAATTTATATAATAAATATCCTATAAGTAACATTCTATTTCGTAATTATGTGTTTGTCTTTGCTTCAGAAATAGAAAATAAGACATCTGAGATATTTATATATAAATAACATGGAAAATACTTAGATTAAATTGCACAAATATTCTGGTTCAATATAAATACTCTCCATGATATCATTTGTAATACTGTTTGTCAATGACAAAGCAAAATCAGCTTGAAGGAGGAGGTACCTGCGATGTAACCGGCCAAGCCGTGTATATGTATATTAAAGAGCAGGTCAGTGTTGTTGGTACACATATAAAGAAACAGGTAGAAGAGAGCCGACAGCACGGCGACGCCGAAGTTGACGATGGCGAAGAACGTCATCATCTCTACGGCGCCCCAGAGCGGCTCGATCAGTTTGCCGCACAGACCGACAGTGATGATGTCCGCGCACACCTCCCAAAAGTGTATCTCGAGGAAGCAGAAAGTAAATGCAGTCCAGAACCAGAAGGCCGGTGGCAGCAGGTAACCTGGCGTTACGCTCAGGATCCGCACCGCTTCCTCGGAGAAGGACAGACAGTATGAGAACAGTACGACCACGCAAATGAACTTGACACTGGTGCTGGTGTTGCCCAGCAAGGCAGTCGCCTGTTGCCTCAAGTAGGGAATATTCCTACCCAGGCCCTTGATCGCCGCCATCCTATCGCCGAATAACCTCCACGAACCTAACCTCTCTCTCCTCTTCTCGACGAAGGGAGAGAGTGAGAGTGTGTGAGAGTAAGCGAGAGAGAGAGAGAGAGAGAGAGAGAGAGAGAGAGAGAGAAAGAGAGAGAGAATCATTCCGTTATTCGCGCTGCCGTTTGACGTTGGCCGCGAGCGCCGTAACGTCAGATTACCGTCGATTCGCGATATCGACGTACGTACAAGACGATTGGCCAATCATGTGTCTTTATCGAAGTCGAAACGCTTGAAATAATTTGAACTCGGGAATTAACGTCCATTGTGTAGTTCATTTACATCTTATCTCCTGAGACAGATCGATCGTTCATGTCGGATCGCAAAATTGCGGATCTCCGTGAGATCGCGCGGAATGTCGAGTAAATGCGTTTGTTATTCCGTAAGTTGTATTCCGAATCATGTTGTATCGAGTAAGAAATTCCGATGAATGGAGCGAGGCGGTTGTGTTCAGTTATCTTTAACCTCTCGCACATTGCTTTATTCATTTCTGGTACGAATGCAAACTTCACGCAACAACTCTCGGCACCTTTTTAGCTAATTCCGCATTAAATAGCGTGACGATATGATTTATGTAGTCTTTGCGGAGCATTAAATTATAAAATTCTCCAGAGGAAACGATTGCTCGATTGTTTTATCAATGTTGGGTTTTGCAAATTGTATTTGGTTTTCCCAAGTCGTGACTGTGCAACCGTTTGTAGGTAAATGCCGAGAACTTCTTGAGGACTGCAACGTGGCGACTCACTGCGGAAAATCGTCTTGCAAAAATTGTTGCGCGCGTTAGCTACTCACTACGACGATAACTTCCTCGTTACCTGCTGATTTCCTCAGAAATCAACGCAATCTCGAAGCTTGTTTTCGCACAAGCGGTAGTTCAAATCTGCGAATTGGTGTCGGATCTTAATTGTTGCTGTTATTGCACCGGGGACGATATAATACTTGCAAATCTGTCGCTTCAAGGGGAAAACAATTGTTGCGATTGAATGCAGTAGGCTTCGTGGAGGCAGTGTCAACGAAGAACAGGTAGAATATGATGATATTTTAGGCTTACACGGTGTATAGAGAAATATTTTATTTGATTTCCAAGTTGTATGTATGATGCGTGTATGTGTTTATCTTGAATTTTTTCTCGACATTTTGTGAACATTCCAATTTACTTCTTCAGGGAAAAAAAACGTCGGAAATAAAATCCAAGATGGACGCGATAAAAATCTGGGAATTACATAAAATCACATAAAATCAGGTAGAATATATATTATATATATAGTATATACACACAGCATATACATTTAACAATATAGGACATATTGTGAGGAAATTCAATATTAGGTTAACGTATTTTATGAACTACAAGTATAATATATTATACTTATTTCTCGATATTTTAACCAAATCATTGGGTATTCACTATATAAAGTGAGTTGTTAATGCAAAATTGTGCTGTAATAAAATAAATTGTGTAACATTTTATATAATTTATTTAGATGTAACATTGAAATTATATAAAATAGAAAGAGAAGAATTGTATTGATAGCGTGAGTATGCATAAAAATAATAGTATAATATCTCTATTTGTGAAGTTATTTTTAATTATATTAACAACATTTTATCACGTAGAAAAGTGATTATTCAATTTATTTATATAAATAAGGTTAGAATTATCAAAAATTAGAAGAAAATTTTGTTGAATCTTTAATAATAATTTACAATATTATCGTTTAAAATGTCAAGAAAATTTGAAATTAAGAAAAAAATATTCTTGAAATGAAGTAATGGGAAATTAAAGTAGACTATTTCACATTTTTATATGCGTAGGTCATTCAATTGTCAAATGTCGACGAAGCAAGAGCTGTATTATTTTTGGATTGGATCGTCCACTGAATCATGTGTTGATTTCAAGAATAATGACGACATTAATAGCAAAGTAATTAATGAAAGTCATCCGGTATCTTAGAAATCGGAGCAACAAGATCGATCGAAAGAACATCGAGAAAATTGGAAGAAATCGAGTCCCTACAAGGACATTGGCGACGAGATCAATTACAAGATGCCTCACGCTCAGTCAAGGATTCGAATCTTAACGGAGGAATGAACAGCCCCCAGAATCAATTGAGGTAAAAAATTAAATATATTATCCTGTGTTCGATTACTTCATATTTCGATTGAATATAAAATTCACTCAACAAAAATAGTCAAAATGAAATTGAATCAGGATCACGACTTATAGGAAATATATATATTTTATAATCTTTTTGAAACTTCCGCGGGAAAAGTTTTCGTTTCTTAATTGAGATCATAATTTTTTGGTTACACAGTTGTAACAAAAAGAAAAAGGAGATAGGATATGAATGAAGTAATAATATAGAATAATTTTATTATTAAATACACACACACATACACACACACATTAGGTATATTTTGCTCCTATGTTACTTTGAATTTATCATTACGATGATAACAATTCTAATCACGCCTGATTGTAAACTCACACCTGCGTGTGTAGTATCTACATGCGTAACTGCTTGCATCACAATCGTGAGCGGCCGAGTGAGATAGAATTGAGGATTGTGAGCACAGATATTTCTAGTACGGGCGAGAATCGGACAAGGGTGATCCTCTCCACTTGCGAGTGTCCTATCTCCCGCGACTCTAAGACCATCGTTAGCGCCGATATCCCGAGACGAAAGTGCTCACGCCAGCCGTTAGCGGCGGCAAGCCGCAGTCCCTGCATACCTTCTCGCAAACGAGTGTCCTTTAGCGACGTCGTCGTCGAGGCCACCTCAGCCGCCGTCGTCGATCGCAGGACGATCATGCAACATGATCCGTCGCGTTCACATTGTGACAACGACGAACGGGAAACTTTCTACGACATATGGCAGGCGGACGATTCTGTGACCGGCAGAAGCGACGACGGATACGAAAATACGCCGAGGATCAATAATTACTCGGAAAACCGCGTATCAGGCTGCAACTTTAACAAAGGCCGGGATTTGCCGGAAAATATCGACGAGACCGTCGTGTCGAGCGATGAACGTGCGCGAGACGTACAATCTGGCGACGGTGAGAGCGAGGTTCGTCCGGAGGATCACATTGCCGAAAATGCGGCTAGAAAAATCGAGTACGAACACGGTACCGTGTCGCACGAGGATGTATCTAATTCCATCAGCTATAAAGATGTAACCTCAGTCGACCGTGAAGAGTGTCGTATGCGAGGAGGTTGCGGTGGATGTTGCGGTACACTACGTGAGAAGTAAGTATGAACTGCATTATCGTTATAATATTTGAAATACAGAGAAAATGCGATTTTATTACTTACAATTCTGTTATTGAAAACAATTCGCTCTGTTATGTTTATAATTGATCTATTTTCTACACAAATATACAAACGTATCAAATTCATTATGTATAATACTTAGAGTAGTTAATAAAAATCCACGGAATAAATCCTTAATCTCTTCAGGTTGAATTTATAAAAATCTAGTAAAAACAATTTAGTTTTTAAATACTTTTCTATCGTGTGATTCTCTCTTTTTTTGTGAAAACTTGTGGTGAGTATTCATTCACTATTAACCATGTTAATTATTAACTATGTTAATATATCTTCGTCGACAATGTTTGAATTAATAATATTACTGATATTTTGTTAGCTATATTTAATAATATTAGTGTGATAGTGACGAAAGAGAGAGAGAGAGAGAGAGAGAGAGAGAGAGAGATATATATATATATAAAAAGAGAGTTTGAATTGAACCAGAAGAATTGAACGTATGTAAACATATACATACGTATCGGTATCCTTGAAGAGATTAAGGAATAAATTCCTATTTGGAAAGCGTTCAGGTGTTCATGAATATGCTATATTAACGTTATTCGTAAATATTCAAACGTGTGAAGGACACTCGGTGACAACTAACGACGCAACGTCTCGACGCGATAGTGTCTCTCTCAGGAGGAGTTCGCAGGATCACGGTTGCTGCTACTGCTATCGCTACTGCTGCGGTGGAGGACTCATCGCGGGGCTGTATGAATCATGTGCGCCGGAGTCTACTAGATGTGCAGGTAGTGTCAAGGCAGCTTGCACCACCGAGCCGGCGGCGCGTTGCTGCTGTCGTTGCGTCCAAGGCTGTCTCCGAACGGTCTGCAAGAAGGCGGCCATCAGGTGCGGCGAAGTGGTGCCTGGGTGCACGACAGGTGCCCGAAGTTGCGGCGGTGGTGGGTGTTGCGGCGGCGGGTGTCGCGGCGGTTGTGAGAAACCTGGTCAGATCTGCACGCCGTCCTCGCGAGTCCGCAGCTCGCCAACTCGCAGCCGACCTCGATCCTCGCGAGGGAAGTCGCCTTGCACGCAACCTCGCTGTCCCGCACGGTCGCCCTATCCTCCAGCGGATTGCGCGACAACGAGCGGATGTTCGTCCGGCTACGGAAGTTGCCACTGCTGCGGTAGCGGAGGATACGAGTGCGAAAAGTGCGAACCGCAAATTTCTAGATGAAATATCTCGGAATTGTTCTGAGAATGTTCTATCTTTCTTTTCTCTTCCTTGTCTTGTCATTGATTCGGAGTCGATTTTCTTAATTTTTCTAGATATATGTTAGCATCTAGTGTCATCAAATGAAGACAGATGTTTTTGCGATAGACATCCGAAGGTTGAATCTGGACTTTTTTGAGAGATGTCTAGCTCTCAGTCTTCAACTCTAATGATATTATATATCAGAGAATAAATTTTTTGATATTAATAATCATATAGTGAAAGAATCATTGTCAAGAAAGTTATTTTTTAATAAGGGTTACTATAATGTTAAAAATAATAACCTTATATATTACAACTACCATTTTTTTATTAGAACAAAAAGATATAGTTAGTGCTGAAAATTATTGGGCGCTTTCTACAATGCCTCACTAGCTGCTGTTTGTGATGGTTATTCATATCAATTATTGTATACTATTGGCTTCGTATAATATCGATCAATCGTAAACACAGTCATGAATTTTCCGCGTTTAAATCAAGAAAATCAGACAGTCGCAATTAATCGTTGAAAAATTGATTTAATTTGTTGTACACGGATATATTCACAAAATATTTGTTTTTTTATACATTACTTAGCAAAATTATTTAATTAATGATGATCGCAAAACAATATATCAAGTGTCGGACCCTATTGTCAACCGATACTGCTTATAATAATATTCGCCATTTTGCGGAAACGTTTAATCGTTTAACTATAAAGCAGCTCGTCGATACTTTTCAAGCTAATTCTAAATCATTCGAAAGTAAGCTTTTTAGTGGAATTTTAGTCCAGTTTAACTCAGTTTAATTCAGTTTCAGTCACCAACTTACTTGAATTTAGTCCAATGCAATTATCTACTTTGTCAAGTTTTACGAAGTTGCACTAACGTAATAATATTCATAACCTAAAAATTTAAAGTTACCACGGCTTGAGATCTTCTTCACATATCTCTTTCCCTTCCTCTCTCTCTCTCTCTCTCTCTCTCTCTCTCTCTCTCTCTCTCTCTCTCTCTCTCTCTCTCTCTCTCTCTCTCTCTCTCTCTCTCTCTCTCTCTCTCTCTCTCTCTCCCCCTACCTCCCTCCCTCCCTCCCTCCCTCCCTCCCCCCATCCCCCCTCTCTCTCTCTCTTTCTCTCTCTCTCTTTCTCTTTTTCATTCTTACTTTTGGGTAAAATTATTAAAAATAATTATTAAAAATAATAGTCGAATAATCATTACGACGTCGAAATTATCAAAATCGCGTCCGTGTAAACATGTTATAGCCTCCTAGTGTTAGAAATAATAAATCGGGAAGCTTCGCTTGAACGAGCGTCTGACACTGTGCTTCGCTTATTACATTATAAACAATTTTTGTTTTCAGTTCGAGATGCCGGTCTATCCTCGGTAGCGGATGCTGTATGAACAATCGAACAAAATGCGGTGCCGATGGAGCCTGCTGTCGACTGAAAGTGCCGGTGAATTGTGACTGCTTCGGTGGCGGTCTTGACTGTCGACGATGCGGAAGGAAGGTCTACCAGGCTGAGATGCAAGTAAGTACAAATTTTGAATGCTGTTTAACAATTTATTACACTGAGACTTGTATATTATATCATCTGTAATAATTGAAACATATATAGAGTGTAGAACATTTGCATCTACAAATTCGTAAGTTGAACCACGTGTTTACGGACATTTGCACGCAAGTCATGGCGTGTGCGTAACTACTGAAAGTTAGCTGTTACCAATTTATAGATGAATGAAACATCTAGACCGAGCAGTGCTCATTGGCCTATAAAACAAACAGATAAAAAAATATATTATTATTGCATTATGATAAATCCATTTTGAATGAAGTATGACGAGAGAATCGAACTTGAAATTGAACTGTATGAAATAGAGGGCGGAAAAATGTTCAGGAATCGCGCTGGGAATGTTTACGCTCAATTTATTAAGGGCTGATCGATTCCTTTTTAAGATCACCTCCGGAGCACGGTATCATAACATTTGCTTCAGCTGCTTTTGTTGCCGAAAGCCGCTAGAACCGTTGACTTACCAGGAGAACTGCGGCGAGATATATTGCAAACGTTAGTATCACTACTAACAAGTATATAAACAAACACATGTAAAGCTTCGCATTCTCCATTTTTAAGGAGGATATAACTTCACCTCTTTTCTTTCCCTCTACGCTCTTCACTTTCTTCAAATGCTATAAACATTATTCGTACATCTGACTCTCCAAGTGATGACAATACTGTTAAGTTAAACCAGTCAATATTATCGATATTAAGCTGAGTTTTTCCCCGATGAATCGCGCAGAATGTTACGTGCGCAATTTTGGGCCGCAAGGATATGGTTACGGTGCGGGGGCCGGCGTGCTGCAGACTCCCTTGTGAACTCGTTGACTGCCTGACATACTTATGAAAAAAAGCATCCAAGTATAATGTAACACGTTTTTATTCGCCTCCATGGTTGTTTTTTCTTTATTATAGTTATAAAACCGCGATAAGGAGATTTAGAGCGTATTAGGTATCGGCTTTTGCGGAGCCATAACGTTTTGCACGACAGGCTTCTCTTATATACGTATATTTGATATATAAGCGTTTTCCCCGAATAAAAATTTTGCGACAAAATATTCAATAACGTTATTATTCGTGCCGTTCGATTCGACCGTTCGAAGAAGTCACGAAGAAAAGAAAGAAAGAATGAAATAAAGTGATCATGCGCAAGCGAATTAAAAGAAAAACGGAGACAGGGCGGGAAATGGAAAGCATTCACGAGATTTCCAAAGAGAGGGGGAGGGATAATACACTTAGCTTATAGAGTCTCTCTTCGCCAGTGATTTGTCGGGGATAAATCGAAACAAATTAAATGGTACAGACGACGAAGAGAAAATCTAACGAATTCCATGCAAGAAAGACACGAGCAGGCAAATATACGCGAGATACGGATGAGAGGTCAGAACGTGGACGACGTGTTTGAAAGTGAAAACGCGCGAGAACGCGATTGGATTTTGTAAAACGCGAAATGAGGAGAACAATGATAGAAAGAAAGAAACAAACAGCAGCGGTTCATAACTTCCATTCAAAAAAGACGAAAAATTTTGAAATAACCCGTCGAAGACCGATCGGGATAAACCCGACATAAAGAGAGAAAGAGAGACAGAAAGAGGGAGACATGTTTATCTATCTTATTTAGAGAGTTGGGAAGAGTGTTACGAATTCAAGACAGGAAAAATGGAAACCGAAAGAGATTCGCGATATGTAGAGAGAAGGTGGAAAGAGAACGACAACGCCTCTACTTTTCGGAAGGAATAAAAAAGAGTGAGAGAGAGAGAGAGAGAGAGAGAGAGAGAAAGAGAAAGGGGAGAAAGAGAGAGAAAGGGGAGAGAAAGACAGAGAGATGCACGTAGTGGAAGAGGACGGCATTTCGTTCGGGTTTGCAAAACAGAGAACGAGGAAGACGAAGGAGGAAAGAGTGAGTGGTTGGTTTATTGAGTCTCTCCACCGCCGGTGGATTGCGGAAGGCGCGCGGCAGCAGCGGGCGGCCGGGGTGATGAGGAGGAGGAAGAGATGGTGGAGAAGAGGAACAGGGGGAAAGGGGAAGCGGGCGTTTATATAGCTTTCAGGCGCAGAAGCTTAATCTAATTTCAAATATAAATCTGTTCTCTCTCTCTCCGCGCGCCCCTGCCCGCTTCTCCGCCCCTCTCTTTCTCTTCTCGCTCTCTTCTCCCATCTGTGCTGCGCCCTTTCTATCCGTATAGCGCATGGCGCGCGCTCTCTCGCCGGCTTACATTATACCCGTTCGACTACGAATAATGTTTTTCGCTTTTCCCATTTACGAGACAAGACACGACAAGAGGACGGTCTGCGCGTAACGTTCAACGACGAGCGTTTGTCGTTTGCGCGCCACGTCTTCGTTACGGGCTACGATTAGGACGGAGAATGAGAGAGAAGGAGAGCGAGAGAGAGAGAGAGAGAGAGAGAGAGAGAGAGAGAGAGAGAGAGAGAGAGAGAAAGATAACGGCGACACGCCAGGTCGCTAGCGGCAGAAAACCGCACGATGCGATCTCGTCGAGCTGTTTCGCGTTCTTATTTTTTCTCGTTTTCCTTTTTTTTTGTGAATCGAGTCAGGAAAGGTCAATGTGTGTGTCGGGAAATTTCACCAAATTATTCGTAGAATTTATAGTCGCGTTACGTGTCAAATATACTTTCCATAAAATGTACAAACGGCGTGTTTGACGCGCGACCGGCGATCCGTCCGACGTTTCGCGTTCTTTTCGAGGCGAGCCGCGTGGATTTATTTGCGAATTCCTCTTTGTGTGCATTATTTCAAGCGACGGTTTGAGTACCGGCGATTTATCCCCTCTTCAGCCTCTCTGTGAGATTTATCCGACACAAATTTTTTAATATCCTCCGAGAGTCCAAAGAAACACGTCGATATAGTAATCACGCGCGCGTGCTGAGTCTTCCTTCGATGATTTCGCCTGTATTTCGTCGGAGTTTTGCTTACGTAGAAACGCAACGGGATGCACGATGAGAATGGAAAGGAAGGGAGGACGGTTTGTCCACGGGGGGCACGTTGACCGTCGAATGTTTACACTACAAGCCGGAACAATTTTCGATTTTTCGCCGAGCGAGAGAGGGCGACGCAGCGCGCGTCGCTGTCGCCGCGGACGACTCTATGCGATTCACCAATGTAAACCCGCGTATTTAAATTGGCCCCGGGGGCAGGGAGCTTATACGAGTTACGAATTTAAAAACGCTAGCTGCAATTTTTTTCCACCAGCGCGGCGATGCACCGCCGTGCGGTGTGCGATACGATGCGATGCGGTCGACGAAATCGGCAAAATATCTCTTTACGTTTGACGGCCGCCGATTCGTGCCGCTCGGTCCTAGGTCCTTTTGTGCCGCGGCGCTTATTTCGAACGGTATGAAAATCAATTATTTCGTTAATTCGTGCGTTACATTGGCTGTCACGGGGCCATCACTGTGAGCGACAGCGGCCCAAGGCGCTATTTTTCAATTCCCGATGTCGCCCCCGCCTTTTCGAACGTATTTCCGTCCCGTTCTCTCTCGCCCTCTTCCTCCCTCTCTCTCCCTGCCTCTCTCCCTTCCTCTTTCTCCCTTTCTCTTCTCTTCTCTCTCTCTCTCTCTCTCTCTCTCGCTCGCTCGCTCTCTCCTTGTCTTTCTCCCGCTCGTTCTATTCCCGGCTGTTTCGCGACGGCTTTATGTCTCCATACACGCTCGATGTCGAGTCCACCATTCGAAAGCTCTCGAGATCTGAAATCTGTTTAATTCGCCGTAGGCCGACTATCCGAGAAAAGTTTCACGAGAAAGAAATCGCGAAGCGTCTCGACAAAAGCTCGACAACTACGAGGTCTCTCTTCGAAATTGAGTCATATGCGGATTATACGCGCCTCCGATCGAGACACTTGGCGCGTTTCCGTGGAAAACGGAAATTTCACTTCTTCCTTAGGATTTCTAAAACGTCACTCCTCAACATCTATATTTTCATAATCATATTCATATGATATTTCGTCACATCCATACCGTAAAATTACCGTGAAACGCCTAAAAGTGTAGAGTTTGTCGCTGCGCCATAGCGCGCGCGATAAGCATATCTTTAAAACGAGAGGAAAAAGAACACCGTGCAACTGCGTAATAACGTACACTGTCTTCGCGCAACGCAATTTTCGCGTAGCGCAATTTTTTCCGTATCCGACATTTTACGCGCAACGGACTGACCGGTATTTTTAACGTAACGGCGTAACGCGCCGTTCCATATGCAAAAGTTACTTTAATTTATTGCAATGCATCTGACTGCTCCTAATTAACGTACAGCGCGAATAAAACGGTACGGTTGATGCGTGATATGAGTTCCAGTCTACATCGTTCCGCGAGTGTATAATTAATTACCAACATTTGGACACGCGCGTAACAGCAATGAAATCGCGGCAACGATTCACGATGGTATAACGTTGAAATTAATATCGTCTCATTTGTCAAAACCCGATACGTCTTTCGGCGTTCTATAGCGAAAAGGGAATGAGAGAGATAGATCAATAGTGAGTGAGAAGGAGAGAGAAAGAGAGAGAGAGAGAGAGAGAGAGAGAGAGAGAGAGAGAGAGAGAGAGAGAGAGAGAGAGAGAGAGAGAGAGAGAGAGAGAGAGAGAGAGAGAGAGAGAGAGAGAGAGAGAGAGAGAGAGAGAGAGAATGCTCTTAGGGGGAGCTCGAACAAATGCCGGACCCCAAAACGGGTCCCAAACACTGTCACAACATACCTACGTAACGGGGCGATCCGTCGACGACGCGTTAAAAGCGATGGTATTAATAGCGCGTTATGAATTAGCCATTTCTGTGTGGAGCAGCAGGTAGGCCCGATTCCCATGATACGTTTTCAATTGGCGGGGAAGTGGGCATGTTTTGGGTCTTCTGAAATCACCACGGCGCAAATATATATGGGCGAGTCCTGGAAGAAGGGAAAAAAACACATATATTTACATCTTCGCAATAAGTAGGGGCAATGTCTCTTTGTCGGTTCTTCCACAGTTCCCGCTTGACACTAAACATTGAAACGACATTCAAGCAATGTGATGCAACATGATCGCACGTTTATCGTTTGTTGCGGGTTTTATAAAAATACTGGTTGAAAAAAGAAACGAAACCATACCTAGGATCTTAGATATTCGATTATTGTACTGAGAGAAAAAATATCTAAAGAGTAAAGAATATTTATACGGTGGGTGCTGATAACATATTTACTTGAATTCTAATTCTCTTATTTAAATGGAATAAACAATTGCTATCGTGAAAAGCTGCAGCGTTTTTAAGAAAATTTATATTTTTCCATCTGAAACAGATTTTTTTTGTTGTAAAAATATATATATTAGTGCAGGTAAATATGTTATTAATATCCATTGCGAATAGATATTTTCTACTCTTTAGAAATTTTGCTCTCAGCGTGTAAATTAATTTCGTAGCTGATGAAAGCCGCGTGAAGATGTGACGGCGAATGTTGACCGAAAATTAATCTGGGCTGTTTAATGAATCGCGATTGCGAGAGAGAGAACCAGAAGCCCGACTAGATCTCACGGGACAACGCTTAGCGGACGATGGCGGTGTGATCTTATCCCATGTGTCTAATTGGCCGTCGCGTGTGGACGATGCTACCGTGAAGAATCCGCCGCGTGCATTTGGAATGCATTGCGGTCCATTCGGAGAGCGGCGCCGAAGGGGGCAGCGGATCATCTCCCAAATGACGCTTATCGAATCGAGCGCTATTTAAATGGAATTAATGACGCGCCCGGGTAGAATCGCGTCCATCTCCGTAACGTTAATTTATTTTGCATTGTTGAGCCGCGTAATACGGCTAAAAATATATTTACATTCGCGCGCTTTATCCCTTTTTACGCAAATCCACGCGAG